TGAATACAAGAAAGGTCAAGTTCCTGGGATGTTGCTTGGTGATAATTGCAGAGGTCAAAGAGTACAGCTTCACAGGGCACATCTCCACTAGGTGAAACCCGACCCCTGGAATTGCTCAAAGGGCCCTTGAGGCTCATTCTGTGACCACAGGAGCTTCATAACTGATCTCTTTTTACTCTAAACCAAACCTCCCAGTCTTCCCAATGTCTAGCTCCGAAAGTGCTGACAGTGGCTCTAGACCTCTGTCCAACAACGGTTTGCTTGGACAGAAACTGTATTTTCACAGCAGCCACGCACGTCTGTAGCCCTGGACCCCTCCCGGGTTAGGAGGGGCAGGAGAGGCCCTGCCTGTGCAGCAGCTCCACAAATGTTCACATTTCACTTGCAAGAGCCCTGAGACACAGACCACGGGAAGCAGATCAGCCCTCGGAGCAAATAAACCACACACCCTTGATCAAGTTCTTTCATCTACCTTCACATCATGATGACTCTGTGAATCTGCTCCTTGCCTCAGAAGGGTAGTTTGTGAGTATTGTCTTGGCAAAGCATCTAAAAATAGTCAAAGCAGTGGCAACTTAAATGTTGCTTCCCTATCGCCACTACTGGCAAATAGGTACCTGCTACTCCAGGCCTACTCACCCTGCCCCCTTCTCTAGCTGTGCTTCTTACTCTCTTTGTCTATTTCATCTTTAGGGGTGTTGCCACAGCAACCACTGTCACCAGAAGAGGCAAGATAGTGTCACCCACTCTGCTCCAAGCAGCAAGGTAGAGGTAACCTTGGGAAAGGTGACCTAACAAGATTTCCCCCTATTCCTCAGCCTACTGGGCTCTTTAAAGGGAGATCCCAGATCATTAACTGCAGCAGCAGCAGACAGGAAAGAAGCAGCACGTCATCCTACCTGGACAGCACAGGCCCTGTATCTGCAGAGTATAGTGGGGATATCATGTGACAAAAACACATCGTGTGCATACCACAGCGGCACTGCTAGAATCACTTTATTCACGTGAACAGCCACAGGTACTCAGAATCCTGTCCATACTCCGGGGCAGGGAAACCTAAAAAGGGCCTGAATCCTAAAGACCCTAAATATGAACCCAAAAGGACCCCATTCTTGCCTTTGTACAGACATGAATCCTAGGCTTTGTAAGCCCCCTGCTTGCTTTCGAAGCACAGAAAGTGAAGAAAGACAGGAGTTAGTGCATCTGCTTCCAAGTGGAGACAAAGAGGCCTCTGATCCCCAGGGGCCCTCCTATCCCTGCTGACACGTTCTCCCCCAAAGTTAAGTGACAGTCACTGCCAAAGGACCTTTGAGAGGTCTCTGTATGCCCCGGTGCCCCTGACAGACCCTGCTCTGCTGCTTTGGGAGCACTGCTGGAACCGGTTCAAGTCTTTCAGTGCAGCAGCCGGCTGCAGTCAAACAGCTTCAGAAACTCGCTCAAGGTCACCCTCAAGATCATAGCAGAAATAGAACTAGGAATCCTTCCTCTAAGTTCTACAGACACACATTCTTCTCCTAATACATGGACACAACCCACAGATACCTTCCATCTCAAATGTCTCCTAAAAGGAATTGACCCCCCAGGCCCCTGGTGTGTCCCTCTCCCCGTTTCCTGGAATAGCAGTTCCCCCACTGGAATCACAGGCAGATCCCATAGCCTCGCCAGTTCACAGTGAGTCAACAGCCTCAGCCAGTTCCCCCAGCAGGGGCTGCCACAGTTTAATGAGTGGTTATTTGTGGTGCTCTGCACACAGCTTGGAGCTGAGCCTTCACCCCATACTGAGGGGAGCGGGTGGGGGAGAGAGCACTGCCAAAGCATCATTTATTACTATAATCTTCAATGTGCATCCCACCCTGGCGTTAACATTCCAAAATAAATGAATTCATCCCCCCCCCCCCCCCCAGCCTTTGAAGCAAACACTCAGCTGGAGGCCTCTTTGTGGGAGGGAGGCAGCACCAAGGACAGCAGGTTGGTAACCCACCCCTCTCCTCCCTGGGTTGGGACTGGGAGGCTCAGTTAGGCATGTCTGCAGGAGACGGGCAGATGGAAGCGGTAACCAATTCAGGGAGAATGGGACGAGATCTAAGTTTCGAGTGAGGCACTTGTTTCCCGGCACCTGTAAGGATCCAGATCTCTTTGAAAAAGTGGTTTGGTTCTGATTCTGACTTGGCTTACTCATGCAGGTAAAATATTCTGGGGCAAATTGAGCCATTATGAACAGCAGTTCTGGAGGACAGACTTAGAAAATCATGCACTTAGGATTCCAAAATCCCAGTAGGCTCTCACCACTTACTTAGCCAGTCTAACATATCCTTCTTTCCCCCTTTTTGGTTTTCTCCTCCCAGTGCCTTTGTACTCTCCTTGGAAGTCAAGTGGCTAAATGCAAGAGGACTATGTGTCCAGCATGGTTGGTCGTCAGGTACACTAATCTTACTTAGACACCTGCTTGATTGCTCTGGGTCCTGTAAGTCAGACACTTCGGAGTCAAGAAATTGGTCTCATTTCTTTCTTTTCAGAAAAAAGGCCTGTGCTCTGGTCCTGGGTACTTAGCAGTTATGGGAATCAATAATGGACGCCAGAAATGAAGGATCCAGAAAAGGAGGCCTCCAGCTTCCCCTTCTTTCACTCCTATTCAGTTATCCCCTGGGGCACGTTCACTGCCCCTGCTGTGTGGGGGACCAGGCATCCTGTAAGGATGCACTCGCCTGCCCTACCCAGTATTCTACCCAAACTTACCCCATTGATAAATATCATCCTGGACTGGTCTCTCTCCTCTGTCATCTTGCTCAGCATTTATTAAATCACACTGCTTAGCTTTCCTATAGAAAGTATTTGTAATATATCCCTTAAAAGTTGCATGTTAATTAAATCATTCTATATTCACTCGGGTAACACGATAAAGAAGTCTTATGACAAAGTCTTTAAGTCGGCAGTTCTGTGCCTGAGGCAGTGAGCTACATCTTTTGATGAAGATTGCCGGAAAGAACCTCAGGGACTGAATGCATCCCCCCTTCCTATCCTTCACTGAAACCAGTGAAAAGTTATTCAACTGGAGGAGTAGACTGTGATTCACGGCAATCAAGTCCTGCCTGCAGCTGTGATTGCAGACAAGCTATTGAGGAGTCCTGCAGCTCTTCTGGGGCATGGAAATGCTCTGCTGCAGTGCTGAGGGACAGCAAGCAGCCACCAAAGTAAAGTGGAGCCAAGACCCTCTCAGCAGCCCCAACAGAATCTCTACACTTTCAATAGTTTGGGTCTAGAGACTACTTCTTCAGTTGAAAGGAATCTTTAAAGAGAACCTAAATCCTCTTGTTTCGTGCAGTTTCTCTGAAGCAAGAAAATAAGCAGGTGGGGGATGTGAAGCTTATATAAGATTCGGGTGCATAAGGCTTTCCTGGGCTGGACACTTCGGCCTGAGCAAGGAGATCCTGGGGCTTGGCTGAGAGGACTAAAGGGGGTTGGAGTCTCCCTGGGGCTGCAGCGCTCTGGGCAACACTTCCGCTTTCCATCCTACTTTACAAGAGGAAGAAAACAGGCTGTGTCCTGGCCTCTAAGGAAGCAGAGACCCTCTGGAGGTCTGGTTCAGAGTCGGCTGGCCTCTGTGTACAGCCTGGTGGCTGCTTCTGGGTTTTATAAATACTCATCCCCAAAGCCAGGCTCAGCTCTGTACTAGGAGGCAGCCTCCACGGTAAACTGCTGACTAGACCCAGCTCCTCCGGCCCAGCGGAGGCCCGATGAGTGCTGACAGCTCGTCTCCATGGGAGGGTCCCACTGTCCTGTAACTAAGCTCCCGACTGAGGCTAGCCCAGGGCGGCTGCTGGGTGGGGACTTCACTCTCCCTTCAAACACCGCTGAAACAGCTTTGTCGCTCCACCAAACATCACCCTAAATGTCAGCCCCTGGAGGGAGTCCTGCCTGGAGGCGGGGCACTTCCCCAAAAAAGCACAGGCCAACCACACTGCTGCGTGTTGGCATGGCCTTCGGATCGCACTCCCGGGGGACGGCTGGAAACGCGGCTGTCAGATTTAGAAACGCTCGAAGGGCTGCTGAACTCCAGAGCTCAGTGACGAGAGGCCAAAGAAAACCTCCCTCCTCATATTAGGGCCGAGACGAGCGAGGGGACAGAGCGCCGGACCACGCGTTCGCTTCTCTGCAGAAGGCCGCCGTGGTCGCGGCCACAGCCCGCCGCTCGCGTCCGTCCTCGGCCCCCAGACCCAGAGGACACGGCAACCAGGACGCGCCGTGCTGCCCGGCTCCCGGGCAGCAGCTGCCAGCGGAGTCCTGCTGAGGACGGGGACGTGCCCCGGGCCCCGGGGGCCGCTGTCCCTGCACGACCCGACCCCCGGAGGCCTCGCGCCGGTTTCCTGCAGCCTCTGACGCGGGCGACAGGCACAGGGGGCGCTGGGCGCCTGCTCTGTGCCCGGCGTCCATGCTCGCGGGGAGTCCCGCGGGACCGGCATCACCGCCACCTGACAGATAAAACGCCGAGAATGAGGCACCCGGAGGGTCGCCCACCCGCCCGGGACCCCGCCAGCGCGGTCAGAGCGCGGCGGCCGAGGGGGCGGCGCAGGAGGTCCGGCGCCGGCAGGGGCTGCGCGGCCGCCCCGCCGAGTTCGCCCGGGACGGAAGAGCCCGGCTGGGGGGCGCTGCCCGCTCCTGCCCCGACGCGCCCCGCACCCCGGCAGCCGGGCGGAGGCCGGTCCGCTCCCCAGGGCCCCTCTCGGGGCCCCTGACCAGCGGGTGGGACGCCGGCGGCTGTGGGGGGCGCAGGGGGCGGCCCGGGACGCGGACGCGGGACACGCCGGCGATCTCCTCAGAGGTCCGGGCGAAGGGAGGGCGGCAGCCGGGACGCGAGCCCGAGGCAGCGGGCGGCTCGCGGGGACCTCCGTCCCCTCGTCCCCCAGACCCCGGGGTGCGTCCCCCTCGCCCCGCTGAGGCACATCCTCGACCCCCGACTCCGGGCCCGCGGCCGGGGGCGCCAGTCCCGCAGCCCCGCTCACCTCGCTCATCGCGGCGGCGGCTGACGGAGCGGGCGGCACGTGCTGTGAGGCGCGGCCCGGACGGTGGCGAGTCGCCGCTGGGCTGCCGGCACGACTGCCGACCGCCGGGGCGAGGAGAGTCAGTGCGGGGCCCGGGCTCGGTGCTGGCTCTCGGCGCTCACTGGGCGCCCGGCGTCCGCTCGCGTCCCCGCAGTCCCGTCAGAGCCGCTCCGCCGGGCGCGCCTCGCGTCCCGCCTTTTATAGTCAGCTCGGCCCCGCCTCCAGCCCGACCAATAGGAGCGCCCTCCGCCGAAGAGTGACAGCCCCTCGCACCCAATGGAGGCAGGCTCGGAGGCCTGCTGCATTTCCAACTAGGGTAAGAGAGCCGGAGCGCGGGAAGGAGGCGGCACCGCGCGGACGCGAGCGCGGAAAACAGAGCAGGGGAGCGAAGGCGGAGAGGGAAGGGGCAGCACGCGACGCAGGCAGAGCGAAGGGGCGGCCTGTGCGCCTGCGGAGGCGAGGAAAGAGGGTGCGTGGGAAGCTAGAAGCAATGATCGAAGCGGGAAAAGCCAAGAGACGTCGCGGATTAAGACTCGGTGATAGGACAGCAGGGAAATCGCAAAGTGTCTGTGTGATTTGGAAGATCGTAGATCCTAGGAGTGGAAAGACATGTAGGGCCCATCAATCCTACGTCCTACATAAGGAAAAAAGGGGGGGGGAAAAACCCTCTCCAACCAAATGATGATCCCCCTACGTCCACCGTCCCTCCCGAAAGGTTATGCGTCAGATTCCAGCCTGACCACGTGCCGGGCGCAGGGAGGGCGCTGCGGAAAAGGGACACGCACCGATGGCCTTGCACCTACTGCTGCCATTAGAATAGGTTTCGACAGGCAGGTTCTATCTCCCAGAGTCTCGTTCGTTTCTTCCAGCAAGTCAGGTAGCCGCCCACCGGTGGTCCGCGTTCCAGGGCCAAAGCCAGCCCCGCGGACTCGGCCCAGGTGTGGGGAACAGGTGTGAAAGTCCAGCCTATGTGGGTTATTTCTCAATAAGAGGGAGCTTTACTGAATAATTACTGTGATGTATAAGTTTTAAGGGGAAAATATGGATAGAGCGAGAAGAAAAGCGAGAGAACGTCTGGGTAAATGTTATGAATATCTAGCCTTCCTTTCTGCTTTAAGGAAAGCCTTCCAATTCTCTTGCCCGTGGCACTTCTAGGCATTGTAAAATCTCTTCGCCTACGTACAGCTACTGTCACCCAAAGCCAAACACTTTCCTGTTGATAGTTTCTTTCCCGGCCTGTAATAGCTGAGTCGTTCCTAGCTGAGCTTCTCCCAGCCTGCGACCATGGCTCTTTTCTCAGCAGCAGATTCAGGGGAGACCCCAAACAGCCTCCCTCCAGCTCCACCCTCTGTGTCTGCACGTTTCCTGTGCCAGGTCAGAAACAGAGAAGACGAAAAAATGCGGTGTCTTCCCCCATCCACCTGGATCCTCTGACTCTCACTTTCCAATGAGAATCTGGTACCTAAGTGGCTAGTTTCTGGTGGGGGAAGGGGGACAGTCCTACGAGTCCTACGAAGTCTCTGCGGCCTACTCCTCTGGCTTCCCTCACCTTTCTGATGAATGGCTAATTAGCATGGAAAAGGTTGTCCTTAGTGCAACAGACCTCCCCAAAGTTGTTAAACAGCTATGCAAAGAGTATAAAGGGAATTCGAGATCCTACATCAGAGGTCAGCAAGCTTTTTCTGTGACAGCCAGAGAGTAAATGCTGATGGTCTCTGCTGAAATTCCAAGTCTTTCCTCATAGTTTGAAAGCAGTCATAAATGACATGTAAACAAGTAGGTGAGGCTATATTCTAATTAAACTTTATTTTTGGACACCAAAGTGTGCAGTTTATATAATTTTCATGTATTATGAGATATTCTTTTTCTTCTTTTAACAATTTAAAGACTTTATCTGTTTATTTATTTTTTTTAGAGAGCGAGGGGAAGGAAGAGAAAGAGAGGGAGAGAAATATTAATGTGTAGTTGCCTCTCACGCACACCCTGCTGGGGACCTGGCCTGCAACCCAGGCATGTGCCCTGACTGGGAATTGAACTGGAAAGCATTTGCTTAGCAGTCCGGTGCTCAATCCAGTGAGCCACACCAGCCAGGGCTTCTTTTAAAATTTTAATTTGAAAAAACAGCCCTGGCTGGCATGTCTCAGTGGATTGAACGTCAGCCAGAGAACCAAAGGGTCACCAGTTTGATTCCCAGTCAGGGCACGTGCCTAGCTTACAGGCTGGGTTCCCAGTAGGGGGCGTGCGAGAGGCAACCACACATTGATGTTTCTCTCCCCCTCTTTGTCCCTTCCCCTCTAAATAAATAAAATATTTAAAAAGAAACATTTTTAGCTCAAATGCTAAGCAGGCCACAGGTCTGATTTGACTAACAGGCCACAGACTGCCCACCCCTGCCAGAGGTGATTAAGTGCCCAAGTACACTACAACGGTAAGTTATATAATACTAAATAGTAGTAGGTCCAAGAAGAAAGACATTGTTCAGGGCCTGAAGATTCAAAAGCTTCCTGGGGAAAATGGGGTTGGGTTGGACCTTAAAAGAAGGTAAAATTTAGACCAATGATGGAAGGGAAGGAGGAAAAGACGAATCTATCTGGCCTCGGGTGATAAGAGAAAAATGATGAAAGAAGACTGAGGTTGAGGATGGGGAAGTTGCGGGAGATGCATCAGAATAAGGAACTTAAAGCTGACCCTCATAGAAATGGCATCTTCAGATTATTGTTACCGGGAAACATGGGACTTACTGACAATAGAAACAGAGCAGGAAAACAAGGCAGGGATGTTGTCACTGGACAAAGTTTAAGAGTCTGGGTGAGGGCAGCGATGACAGCAGAAGAGAAGGGACTTGGAGAAATATAAGGCACAAAGAACCGATAAGATTTGGTCACTAACAAGATGTAAGAGAGGTCTCAAAGTGACTTTTGGAATTCAGGACCAGAGAGTTCGGAAGGTCTTCAATCCTGCATTGGCTGTGAAGCATACAGTATGGGCGGGATCCATGCTGGGCACTGGGAAGAGGAGACTCGCAGGACACAGAGCACACAGCCTAGGAGGAGAGAGACGGTCCTGTGGATGCGAAGGCACAGTGCTGCTGCAGGTGCTGAGGCAGAAGTCTGGGCAAGTGCAGTCGGTGTCCAGAAAAAGGAATCGAATGAGATTTACCCTTACCGGGCATCAGAAGAAACTACTAAGAATAGCAACATCCCCCGGAACTGGGGTTGTAGGTTTTGGAGACGTTCACAATCCAAAATGAGGACAACGGCTGAAATCAGCAATGTCAAGGTGTACTGTAAGCTGTGTTGTTACAATGTCAGTTATTTTTACATTTTACCAGAGCCTTGTGAATAGACAAACTGTCGGGGAGGAACATAGAAGAAAGGCAGAGGAGTCGAAATGGAGCCTTAGAGAAAAGCCTATAGTTTTTCCTAACTGGTAGGCTTAGGAAAAAGGGAGACTCCATAATGGAGAAAGAGAAAAAGAGTTGGTAGAAATAAAAGTGGAGAACCAGGAATGCGTAACATTATAGTGGCTAATGAGAGAGATTTTCAAAGAAGATAACCTTATTAGTGAGTCGAAGCAGTAGGGAGGTGGATTGCACACTGAGTTCAACAGGCCGTGGGAGATCACTAGTAAATGTATACAAAGAAGATTGGAACCAGGTTACAAAGTGCAAAGGAAAGGAGGAAGCCTGAACACTGCAAGGAAGTGATTGTGCCAGGACCCGGGGGTGGGCAAACAGGGCAGAGCAGACCCAGACTGCGAATTCCCCTCCGCGGACACCTGAGTGAAGTCACTGCATGTCAGATGCAAACATGGCAGGTAGGAACCGTAGGTGGGAGCGGTTCACAAGTCAGAAAGGAGTCAGGAATCAGACTAGAAGACATATGAGTACCCGGTCAGAGAGGCAGGGCAGCAAAGGATAATCAGCTAGGAAAGAAAGCCCCTGAAGGGAACAGGAATGTATCCAGGTGACAGCCGGGACCCCACTTCACTGGGACATGCCTGGCGCAAAGCAGTCACCTGTTAGGCACTTGCTGAATGAATAACTGCAACACAGGTAATAACATAATGCCACATGGAAAGAGCATGAACTTGCAATCAGAACTTAATTCATATCCTTGCCCATTAATTTATAAATTCCATAAACAGCCCCAGCTGGTGTGACTCAGTGGATTGAGCGCTGGCCTGTGAACCAAAGGGTTGCTGGTTCAATTCCCAGTCAGGGGACAGGCCTGGGTTGTGGGCCAGGTCCCCAGGTGGGGTGGTGCGTGAGAGGCAACCCTCCCTCTCTCTCCCTTCTTTCCCTTCTGTCTAAAAATAAATAAATAAAATATTTTTAAAGAAATAAATAAATTGCATAAACACTCACTACATGTGCCAGGAGTACACAGACCCTAAGGATCCAAAGCAAAAGCCTTAAACAACTCACAGGTGATTGATCTTGCTCTGCAATGTGTGGGTGCATGGCAAGCGTGTGTGCAGAGGCACAGCTCTGCTGCCAGCCCCCACCCTGCCCACCCCCTCCCCCCAGCCCCTCTGCTCAGGCCTGAAGGGCAAGCAGGTCAGATTTGGGAGAAGCAAGGGAGGGGCCACGTGAAGATTCTCACCAGACAGAATAACGAAGGCAGATGTTTGGAGGTCAGTAGGCACAGCACGTTCAGGAAGCTCTAAGGCTTAAGCACATCTGCAGCCAAAGTGTGAGGCGTCAGGTTAGGCAGGGAAGTGGGGTTGGAGGGATAAATAGGGGCTGGAGCACAAAGGACTTTGCGTGTCAAGCTGAAGAGATTGGGTTTTATCCTGAAGGTGATGGGAAGCCAATGAAGAATTTTAAGCAGGGAAGAGACATGATTAAATTTGCATTTTAGAAATAGCGAGAGCATGGAGGATGGGTTGCAGGAGAGGAGGCTGGTAACGGGAAGAATGATGAATAGGCAACCACATAATGAGTGGGAAGTGATGGGTGCCCAGACTAGCTAAGAGGCAGCAGGACAGGCACAGGTCAGGAGACAGAAAGGACAGGGGGTGACGGAAAAAAAGCGGGCCCTGCCCACCCCCAGACCTCTCTCCTGCCGACCACTCCCTGCCTGAAATGCTACGCTCCACCAAGAAAGGCCTGCTTGTGGTTCTGAAAAAGAGAAAATCCACTTTTCTCTGCCTGGCTTCTGGGACTTCTCTGATTGCAACCTCTTCCTGAACAAGCCCAGTCCTCATTATCCTTATAAAAGTCAACTCAGCTCTGACTGGTGTGGCTCGGCGGACTGAGTGCCAGCCTGAGAACTAAAGGGTCACTGATTCTATTCCCAGTCAGGGCACATGCCTGGGGTGCGGGCCAGCTTCCCCAGTAGGGGGCGCATGAGAGACAACCACACATTAATGTTTCTTTCCCTGTCCTTCTCCCTCCCTTCTCCTCTCTCTAAAAATAAATAAATAAATAAATAAATTAATTAATTAATTAATTTAAAAAAAAGAATCTCAAGACAGCTACATCCATTAAATTGAGCCCAAGACCCCTCTCAGCACAGGGGTGTGACGCCCTGGCGCAGGAGCCTCTGATTTATTAGAGACCAGCATGTCCTCTACCCTCCCTACTTAGGAAGTGGGACCTCGGCCTAGGGTGGTCCTCATTAGACCCCAGTCTCTCAGAACTTCCATTTGGGGAGCACTGTGTAACTGTCACACCTGTCCATCAGACCCCACGTGTAAAAAAAGCTTGCTGTCTCCCCTTTCTGCCCGGCATGCCCAGCACCCACATACAGACTACTGATCTGGCCTGAAGCTCAGCAGTAGCAAAAATCTCTATAGTCTGATTAGGAGCAGCTTGAAATGAGTCATGAGGTCCCCACCCACCAGGGCCCCTCCCCACGTACCAGCCAGCAGCACCACGGCATGCTGGGAAAACCACCCCCAGGCCTTTGCCCTGGGTCCAGAGTCTGCGCCCTTCCTAGGCAGTCTGAGAGCAACTGGAGGCCACACACAGCAGCAGTTCCTTGTTTTCCAGGTACTGAGGGCGGTAAACCCTAATTCCAAACACAGGAAGCTTCTGAGATCAAGGGGAACACAGGGCAGAGTGAGAGTTTCGGGAGACGCATCACGAGCCAGATTCTGCGGCCTGCAGGTGACATGATGCCTAAGAGAAGGCAGAAACTCTTCTGGGGGCCAGAGACTGAAAACAGTAAAATACAGGTTAGGCAGGGGTCAGGCCCAGGGCATGACCTGGAAGGTGCTCTGCAGCAGGGGGAAGGTCAAGGGTGGTCCAAGCAGACAAGATGGCCACTCTTCCCACATTCAGGGGCTCAACGCCAGAAGTCATGGCCAGTGGGGACACTGTACCGAGGGACTGTTTGGTGCGGGCACTAGGCCATGGGCTATCACTTCGAAGCCCTGGCTGTAGAGGTAAGTCTCCTCCCCGGTGGAAACAGCCCTGCCACCTGCCTGAGCTTGAGCAGCTGCATCCCTCCTGCATCCGGGGCCTGACACCGTGGTTAGCTCTCGACAAGTCACCGAACTCCATGCTACAGGTGGCATGATAACCAAGGAAGGCCGATGTTCGTCCCACGGACACGACCGCTCAGTCGTGAGCACTCAGGCTTTCCTGAGTGGCCCTGTGCCTCCATGCCAGTGCTAGAGGGCAGGTGCCAGCCATGTCCACCCAGAAGGGCCCGTGGGCACAGCTCTGAGTAGCAAGCACCGGCCTCAGTTGCCTTTCCACTGGGAGCTGCAGGGTCTCCCAGGCCTTTCCTCTGCCCAGCCTGCAGGGTGCGAAAGAGCCTGGAGGCCGGCAGGAAGCAGAGCAGTGGGTCGGCCCCTCCTGTCCGTGCCAGGAATCCCCGGACCAGGTCTCTCTCTTCTCCCTGTTCCCACAGAGCATTCCCCACACAGCAAGCTGCATGAGCTCCTGGCACATTCGAGATGAGGTCGCCATTCTGCTCGAAACCTCCAAAGGAACCATCTCCCTTCTGGGCCGTGGTCCCACGTCCAGCTCCTCCGTGCTGCCTCCTGTGACTCTGTCACCCTTGCTCAGCATACCCCAGCCTCTGGTCTGCCCTCGGCCACCCCCGGGACTCTCCTCGGTGCCTCCGTGCTTGCCCCGGCCATTGCTTCTCCCGGAACGCTCTCCTGGAATGAGCGGGGCTTTCGTTTTCTATCTCACGTATGGTGCCTGCCACTTGGAAGGTACTTGATAATTGAATTAATTACTTCTGGCTCTTTCTGTGCACCAGGGGATGAGGCGATGCTCCCAACAGATGGCGCAACCGGGTTCCACACACGCCAACCCGCCCAAGTTCACTGAACCTCAGAGCCGTAGCCGGTGTTCACACCTGCCCATCTGCCGCCCAAATGTTTGCCGTTTCCATGACCTTGGACCTGTCACTGGAATTTCAGCCTGTTTACACTTCCAAGAAATGAGAAGCACACCTGCGGATAACAAATCCTGTGTCTACCCATAGGATTGCTTCATCCCATCAGATTTGGCCAGACAGCCTTTGAAATCACAACGCTGTCGCAACATAAGGTGATACTGATCTAGGTATGAAGAGCCCGCCCTCTTCAGTGATCCCCCAGAAGCCAGGCCTCTGCACACGGTCCCCAGCACAGTGCCTTGCTCTCTGCCGCTGAGTCCCACGGGCTCTGGAATGTGGGCAGGACCCCCCAACACCTGGAGCCTCCGGAGGCCTCAGGACTCCCTCCCTGCACCCTTCACTGGGCAGGCTGTTTGGGGTCAAGACCAGAGGCCGGCAGCCCCCCGCTGGTGTCCACAGTTTTGTCACGCATCTCGCCTGGGCGCAGTGACCCTGCCTGCGGTAGCCCTGGCCCAGCCGGCCTCTGAGCAGCCAAGGAAGAAGCAGAAAGAGCCTGTCCAGATGCTCCTGGGGGCCCACACAGCCACAGGGGCCCCATGTTTGACCAGTCTGTGCAACCTGGGGTGAGCACCTACAGGACTTGGGCTGGAAGGTGACCCAGAGGGTGACCAAGAACAGCCTGAGGGAGGGGAGCCGTGTGTTCTGCACCAGTTCAGAGCACAGGACTTCTCCAGGACCCCACGAGGCAGGCTCCTCAGCGCCAGGCCCTTCCAAGGCTGGGGACACCAAAGGGACAGCCCCAACCCTGGGCCTCGCTTGGCTCTGACCTCTGCAGTCCCCAGCCCATCTGTCCTCCCACCCTCCGTGCTGCTATGCCCACCCTGGTCCCCACACTGCTCCACTTTGCAGCACAGCACGTCACCCAGTTCACCAAGGACCTGCCCCACGTCCGGTGTGTGACCTCTCTGTACCTTTCAGGAAGAACACGCTGCAGCAAGTTCTAACCCCCACCCCCACCAACAGAAACAAAGCACAATGAGCCACTGACCCAGCTAACCCACCCCTTAGCCTCTCCAGGCACCAGGCCTTGAATTGCCAACTTTGTTTTTGTGTCTCAGTCAGAAGCAGGAGGTCCTCTGTGTCCGGCCCCCCCATGGTGCCCTGCCCATGCGGGACCAGGTCTCCCTTCTCAGGCCAGCAGAGGCCGAGCTCTGTGGCACACACTCAGCACCACTTTCTGCCTCCACGCACAGCTTCCTCCGTGTGCCTCTGGGCTACACAGCAGGACTTGGAGCCCCAGGTGAGATGGGGGGCGTCTAGAAAGGGTCTTGAGAGCTCCTCTTTCCCTTTCAGGGAGCATCAAGGTGACTGCAGCTCCGGGAGCCAGAGTGTGTGCTCCTGGCTGCACCACCCTCTCCTCTCCTGCTGAGCAGCCCCCAATTCAGAAAGTTCCTCTCAACACCTCTGCCCAGCCCCCAGCTCCTTACACCCATCCACCCCAGGCCCATTCGTCCTCCAACCCGCACCACAGGCCTCTCCCGGACTCAGCCCCCTGGGGCCCTGCGCAGGCCCACTCAGCCCCACCTGGCTCCTTCTTGCAGACTGGCGGGGTCACCCAGAGGAAGGAGACTGACCAGCTGCAGGAGAGGCACTGGCTCTGCAGAGCTCCATGCAAGGCCAGCAGCCTGGGCCCAGGATCCCGGTCCATACTGGGGACGGGGGCTTGGAGGCTGCCCCAGGTGAGGAGGGGGCTGGGGAGACGCTGAGCTTGGCATGGGTGCTTCTCTGCCCTTTCCCTTGGGAACCGAGATCCCTTGGGGTCTACTCCTTCCCTCCTCTCCACGCGCTCCAGCACCCACACGGCTCCTGCTGCCTTTCCAGCTCGCTTTTTCCAGGTTTTTTATTCAGTAGAGATGCGAAGTAGTTGCTCAGTCTGTATTGCAGCATTCCTGAGGCTGATGGCACCCTTCCCCTCCCCCATCCATCCTCCCCAACAAGCAGCTTCCGGAGGTTTCTCCTGGGCCTCTGCCCTCCTCTTCACTGGGCCACTCCTCCCATTTCTCATGCCCTTGAGGGGATGCTCATTCACAGCTTCACAGCCAAAGCCCCTGGCTCAGCATCCATCCCTCACTCCTGTCCACCCCTCCACAAGCCAGTCTGCCCACAGAAGGATGCTTCAGATGGCAGAACACATCCACCTTCTAGAACCTGCTCTAGAATGCCAGACCCTCAGATTCCACACAGTCAAAGTTCTCGCCACGTCTGGGGCTTTCCCCTCATGGGGTCCCCAAAGCTCTGGGTTCAAGAAAAACAGCACAGTGAGTGCAGACAGTGTCAGAGGCCCCCTTGGGAACCTTTGGAACCTCTGAGAAACCTGTTACCCCAGAACATGGTTTTCTCTGGTGGTCAGACCTAGCTTCACTGAGGGGCAGTTTGGAGGATTTGGGGGGTGAGGGGCAGGATAACACTCTCAGTTGCTACATTTCCTTCCTTTCCCTGTGACCCCGCTATTTCCTCCTCCAAAGGTTTCTGAATGCAAAGCTGCTGGGCCCGTCGGCTGCGCTCCAGAGCACCAACAGCACCTGTGGACACCAGGCCCAGCACAGCCAGAGACGTATGCCAGGATGCCCCTGCTCCAGCAGATCTGCGGCTGCCTCCCCAGCCCACCTGGACACATGGGGCCGGGGAAGGCTGACGTGGAGGTTGGGGGCTGGGGCCAGGAGAAGGGGAGCCCCATGGTTCCAAGGAACGACTAGGGCAATAACTGCCTCTTCACACAATCGTGGGGGTGCAGGGCGTGGCCATGGGGGTAAAGTAGTTCTCTGGAAGCACAAAAGAAAGGGAAGGAGGTAGCTCCTTCTCGAACGTGTGGCCCCACTTTCTGAGGTCAAGTTGGATCCTGGCCTTGGAAGGCTCTGGGACAGGGAACAGGGTGGGCGCTAGTCCCATGCAGAGTGGTTTGCTCTGAAGGGGAAGAGGGGAGGAGCTTTAATCCACAGGGACATGAAGAAGGGGGAGTGTGAGCGAGACAACTGAGCCGGACTGAGGCTGATGGCCCCCTTAACCCTCCTCCCTCAGCCCAGAGCCACAGTGTGGACAGAGGGCACACGCTGGGGGCAGGGGGGTCCTCAAACCACTGCCTCCTCAGCTCCCTTGTGGCAGCTCCAGTTCTGAGGAGGGCATGGTCCTGTCCCCTTTTTGCCCCTGGGACCTGTGGGTCGCCCAGCAAGGTGGGCTCTGGAGAGGGGCCCGGTCTCCGGCCCTGGGGCACCTGACTCAGCGGCGCGGCAGCCACTGGCTCAGCCCACAGTGACACTGAAGCCGCAGTGGAACCTGTTGCGCCAGTGGTTGAGGAAGGCTCCAAGGGCGAGGGTGACGGGCAGCGGGGGCATCTTCTTCTCCAGTACCGCACCCACACACCAGTTACTGTCCACCAACCCTGCGGGGAAGGGAACACAGAGGAGGTCACTGAGCGGGCTCAGAGAAGGGGTCAGTGGAAGTAAGGCGGGCTTCCCGCCCCCCACCGGCCACCCCTCGGGCGTTGTCTCAGGCACCCTCACCTCTAAACACCATGTTGGCCTGGGGCAGACTCAGGTGGTAACCAAAGGAGAAGGTCGTGTCTTGTAGCCTGGTGTTGGCCTCAAACTCCACTCCGACCTGAACCTGAGGACCACCGGGAGGAAGCACGTGTGAAATACGTGTGAAGCCCAGACAGGAGGGACAGGGGGTAGGCAGGGCCGATGGAGGTCCAGGGTGGGCCATGCTGGGTGGCAGGGGGACCCATTGTCTCACCTGTTCATTTGCCCTGTGGTAGTAACTGGCATGGGCCCCACCGGACCCCACATTCAATGTAGCCACCCAGTGCACAGCTGTGAAAACCAAGGGCATGAGGAAAGGAGCATCGCAACAGCAGGGCGCCAGTCGGGAAGCCCAGCCACACACCCCATTCCCTCCCCATCACCTTCCTCCTCACCCCATACCCGAGTACTTCCCAGCCAGCGTCAGGATGGCCCCCTCTTCGCCTGGCCGCCGGTGATAAACGAGCTCTCCTCCCAACACCAGCCGATGAGTGAGGCTCTGCAGGAAGTGCGCCACCACGATCACTGGGCGGGGGACACGGAGTCAGCCCCGGACACAACGGCGGCCCGCCCCCTGCCCCAGGAACTGCACCCAGCCTGCCCCCGAGGTTTCTTTTCTAATCCCTGAGCCGTACAGACGAGGGAGGGGCATCGCCAACATGAGCAAGTGGGCGGCCACAACAAAACGAGCCCTGACCCAAGTCCTCACCCGACTCCCCGATCAAGTCAGGATTCCCCAGGGTCAGTGTGGCCGTGTAGTCATCACCCCGGTACTCGCCGTCAAACTGCCATGTCAGGAACTTGGACTGCTGCGTCTGGGTGGTGAGAGCAAGCAGTAAGGTCCCCCTGTCTCTGGATCACCATTGCTTCTGCTCTGCCCTGGAACCCTCCAGCAGGACATTCATGGAGCAAGGAAACCCTTGGCTGGGACAGACACCACGGGTCACCTGGAAGACAGCCTTGGCTCGGAGCCGTTCTGCCAGGAGGAGCAGGACCTGGGCGTTGAGACTGCCGCTGCTGTCCAAGTCCCCTACCACAGTGGGGAAGACCTGTTGAAGAGCGCACACAGCTGGGGTCCCCTTGGCCTGAGTCCTGAATGGCGACAAGCGCCCCCTGGGGGCACCGCAGAGAAACACTCCTGCTCAGCACCCCGTCCCTACCCTCTGCCATTCAGCAGAAACCCACCCAAGTAGGTAGGCGCCCTGCGCCTTCTTCCCATAACTACACACTTCCTCCTCCTCTAGATGGGCTTTTAGGGAGGTGGCCCAGGTGTGTGGAACCCTCACCTCAGTGGGGCTAAGTTGCCAGTCCCCTGCGTAGGCTGCGTGGAGGTGATAGCCAGGCAGGCCCAGAGCACTGAGGTGCACGGTGTGAGCCACCTGAGGAAAAGGAGCCGGTGGGAGACAGCGTCTCCTTCCCCTATCTCGCCCTTTAACCTCTGCCCATCCAGGTCTTTTAAGAATCCCAAATATTCCCACATATACAGAGGGTCACCTGGGTAAAAGCAACAAGTCCCAGGCCAAGGAATTTGAAGACCCCCCCCTCCTTGCTCCTCTACCCCATGGGGCCTGGCCAAGGCAGGGGTACAAAGGACAGGAGAAGAGGAGGGGACAGGCAGTGAGGAACAGAGAAGTGGGACCACCTGGAAATGGCTGCTCAGAACCTTGTTGACCACGAGCTTCACTCCCTCCATCTGTCCTGGGAATACATCTGTGGGGAGGAAGTGGGGGGGGGGCTAGTAAGCACAGACAAGGAACCCCTCCCCCAAGAAGTAGTCCCCGTTCCATCCCACAGAAAGCGCTTTGGAGGAACTGACCTCCTTTCAGATCCTGCAACCAAACGCTGCACTCCAAGTGCTGGGCTCCGCTGGGGCATCTGGTCCAACCTCAACAGCTGTGATCTCCCCTTTCCCGCACACCCAGCACTCAAGACCCTGCCCTCCTCCACGCCTCCAGCTTGAGACACCAAATGCCAAGTTCTCACCTTTGCACAGGCGGTGCAGCTCATCGAAGCTCCCGGGGTTGGGCAGAGGTTCCTCTCGACGGGGGCCGCGGCGGGGCAAAGCCCCCAGCGGGGCCAGGCCCAAGGTGTTCCCCATTTCAGGACAGAGGACAGGGAGGGGCCGGGCTGAGCCCGGGAAGGGATGCTCTTCCTCCCTCTATCCCGCACGGGCCCCACCCCCCATCATCCAGCTTCCCAGGCCCGGAGTCTTCCACATGATCCGACACTAGCTCTGGAACGAGAAGGTGGCGGGAAGGGCACCAGTGGGGCGAGTGAGTCCCAGGCACAGCCCCGTCGCATCTTTGATCCCTCACCCCGACCTGTCACCCTGTCCCTTCCCCCACTGTCTAGCCTTAGCCCCACCACAGAGCTCACCCAGCTTCCTAGTCTTTCTACTCCTCATCCTTAGGCCCCAGGGCGAGGCTTGCAACGAAGCAGCAATCCTTACCGTCTCAGACCATCATGCTGCCCCTTTCCCCCCGGCACACCCCGGTCATCTTGATGGGGGCAGCCATCTTGAGTGATGGCAGAACTGCGGCTTCACGCTGCTTTCTCGGCGTGGTCACGGATGCCATCTTTGAACCGGGCAAAAAAAGCTTTTAAAGACCGACCCTCCCTTGATTGGGCCCCGCCCAATCTATTAAACATAAGCAGCCTTGATCACCCAGAGACCAATGGGAGAGGAGGAAGCAGAAGAGTGGCAGGCCCCGCATCCAGAGACCTCTAGCCCCGGCGAGGCGGAGGGTTGAGGGGCTTGAGGGCCGCTCCCGAACCTGACTCAGGCGGTGGAGGCCTCGGTCATCCCACCTGTCAGAGGTCCAGGGACCTGGGAGCTTGCAGGGCTCTGGAGGGAGCATCTTGGAGCTTGGGTCGCTGGAGCTCCCTCCGCCATACAGCTTGGAGACTTGCCTCTAGAAAAGAGTGGCGGAGGGGACGACAGGAGGACTTCCTGCGAGCCTGGATTCAGTTGCCCCTCCGCGCCCCCACCGCATGAATCCCTGGGCCCCTCCCCTAGCCTTGCACCGTGCGCTGCTCCCTGCCCGCCTGCATGGCTGCCCTGGGACACGAACCCTCATCCCTCCTGCAGGTCCACGGCTCCCCAACTTCTCTGTTCCTCTCGCAGTGGCACTCGGGGTAAGAGCTGGGGCTGGAGGAGCAGGGGCTACAGCCTCGCTCCTGACAGAACTGAGCCCTCACCCAGCTGCCCCGGTAGCTGATCCTTCCCTGATTCCCCAGGCAGAGCCATCAGATAAAACCCAGATCCATGGACCCCCGCCCCAAAGTGCGCTCCGCGCCAGGGCCAGGCAGGAGTCAGAGGATGCCTTCCAGTGCCAGGGGCTCCACGGGGAAGTCAGGGGCTCTGGTCACCATCCTCACTGGTCCTCACATCTCCAACCCATCTTTCAGGAATGTCCTACCTACACTTTAAGGGCCAAAGGATGAAAGATGCAAATGCTGGCCACCCGAATGCCTGAGGGAATGTACTCCCTTCCTCTCAGTTGAGGCTGGCCTGGGGCCTTGGTCAGAGGGACACCTTGGCCCCTGCTAACTCATGTTGGCTGGCTACCACCTAAAACCGATAAGGTGATACAGAGACCAGGGACCTTCAATCTTTATCCTTTAACCTTGACCTCCTTTCCTACCAGAGACTTCCCATAGGGTGGGGGGAAGAGCAGAGGCTGCTGCTTCCTGACTTTGACTGAGGATAGGGTGTGCTCATTGGTCAACACAGGGGTCATTCTGGGCTCTCATGTTTTCTGCCCCCGCCCACGCAGTCTCATTACACATTAACTCAAAAAGGGACAGAATCGATCACCTGCCCTCTGACCCTCACCCCTACCTCAAATTTCATATTCTTTCTTCTGGTCCCCAAGGTCTCTCTGCCAAGTGGCCGTGAAGCGGGGGGGGGGGGGGGGGGGGTGTCTGGCTAAGGAGATTAAATCCACTCATAATGGGACAAAGTTACTGAAGGCTGAGGGCTTGATGTGTCAGAGCTTTCCAGAGAAAAACCAGCACCCCAGCGTCCTTCAGCCCTTGGAGCCGACTGCTGCCCCACTCCCCGAAGAACAAACCTATAACGGGCCCGGAGGATCCCTCCGGGCCTCCACGCAGGCCTGTTTCCCACACCGTCACCCTGCATCCCCACCCACCGTACTTGGCCTCTCCCCCCTCATTTCTCCCACTTGTTTACTCCAACTTGGCCCCTGCCCCGATACCTCTCCACGGTCCCTGTCACCTGACAAGAGGGTGGGGAGGCAGGCAGGTATATAGGCCCTGCCTCCCCGGCCAGGCCAGCCCCAGACCCAAGGACTGAGGCACTGACCAGGTAGGAAGCAGTGGCTGTGAGGAGCCTGCCAAGAGGACTAGGTTTTATTCTGGGGAGGGATGATGCCAGGTTGGAGTGGGCACCTAGGTAGGGGTCCCTGGGGAGGGGCGGGGACCCACTGAGCAGTGTCCTCCCCCACTGCCTTGTCTGCGCAGGCCGCCCTCCCACTGCTCCACCATGAAGCTGCTGGCACTCACAGCACTGCTCCTCACTATCTGCAGCCTCGAAGGTGAGTGTGCTCTGGAGCGTGGTCCCCGCTGCCCCCCTGCCAGCCCTCTGTGCCCAGGTAGAGCAACCACGGGGCTCAAGAAGACTGTTCCTCCCTAAAGCCCGGAAGTCCCGTGCAAAGACTGAGAGCTGGAGACCTGTTGGGCCTGAGGCCTGGCTGCGGGGCAGCCGGAGGCCAGGACTCCTGGCCGGGGGCCAGCTGAGAAGAGGCCCCTGTGTTTCTGTGCATGCAGGGGCATTGGTGCGGAGGCAGGCGGAAGAGCCGGGCCTGCCGAGCCTGTTCTCACAGTACTTTCAGAACCTGACTCAGTATGGCAGGGAGCTGGCAGAGAAGGTCAATGGCCAGCAGCTTCAGGCCCAGGCCAGGTGAGTCTCAGCAAGTGAGGTTCAGGGCCCAGGGGCCCTGGGGAGAAAGATGGGAGGGTGGGTGGTCCTACAGATGACGGAGCTCAGGGTGTGGGTTAGGGAAGATGAGCTTTCAATTGGAGAGAAGAGTTGCCTGCCCCCCCCCCCCCCCCCAGTCTTGTGAGCAGATGGGCCCAGCAGCTGGGCTGTGGGTTTCTATCTCGGGGTGTGTCCCTCTGCCCCTTGGAGGGCTTGCCTCTGCTCCTAGGAGCTGCCAGCATGGACTGGGCACAGAAGTTTGGGGTCTTGGGTCTCACCTCCACCACCACCCAGGCCCCTGCCAGTGCCACAGGTCCCTCACACTGACCTCTGACCCTCGCACATCCAGGGGTTACTTGGAGAAGACACAGGAGAAGCTGACACCCCTGGTCAAGAAGGCTCAAAGTGACCTGGCGAAGTTGCTGGATTACTTCACGGAATTCATACCACAGGTGGATGCCCAGCCAACTGCAGCTGGTCCCTAGAGTGCCCCCTGGCTGGGCCTCCCCCCACCCCATCCTCGTTTCTACAATAAACAGGAACGGGAGTCCAGTCTGTGGTGAGCCTGGCATTTATGAGGGAGAAGGAGGAAGACGGAGAGAAACCCAGTGAGGGGGCTTGGGTGTGAAGGGTGGAGAAAGGGTCCCGGAGACGAAAGTCAGAAATGATGGAATGGGGTGCAGAGGAGTCTCCCGTGGGCTGGGAGCGGCTCCGAGTGGAGACGGAGAAGGCTTTGCACGGATGAGGAATGGGGAGAGGAGGCTCGAGAGATCCACACATTGCAATCCTGGCCGTGAACAGGCCACGGGAAATGAGGGCTTCCTCAGAATTCCCTCTAGATCATTCAGTGAAGAGGAGAAAGCTTCCGAAAAGTGAACCCAGATGGGTCACCCAAGGTCCTCCCTTCTCTCCCACCGCCATCCTACGGGAAAAGATGGGGCTCGCTCTCCCCTGGAGTCTGCTCTCACCTGGACCGCTGTCTGGGGACACCTTTCCACACCCCTCCCACTCGCATCTGGGTGCTGATGTAGCCCTGGCCCCTGGGAGCCTGCAACCAGCAGACAGGAGTCAGTCCTCCAGCATGGTGGACACGGGGGGTGAGAGAGGCTGGGAGCCACGACGCTGGGTCCGATCAAGGTGGACCTGAAAGCAGGCTGGGTGGGTGTGCGAGGCTCACAATCCCAGAACTAGGGTCAGGGAAGCTGAGGCACTTTCAAGAAAAGTCGTTCCCGCTTCAACTCTGAAACAGTTGCTTCCCTTCCCAGACTCACTTCTCTTTTCACATCTCATCTCAAACCGCCTTCAGATGAGGCTCCAGTTTCTCCTGTGTATTGATCGACCTGCAGTCTGGCCTCCACGACCCTGGCCCTGCGTGACCACCTCCGTCCCCTCCCTTCCCAGGATCTGCTTTTCTCTCGCACGCTGATGCATGAGGGGCGGTTCTCCGTCTGTCACTGGCAGGATGACCTTGGGCAGGTTAAACTTGAAAGAGCCTGAACCCTCACAGCTCCTTGTGAGCTGGAAACACACTTTGACAGGTGTGACCCACTGTGAGAGCAAGGCACTGCTCGGCGTGGGGTGGCCAGGGCCGATCTGAGAGGGGCCCCGGCAGGACTGGCATTCGGATGGGATTCAAAGACCCGCAGGGTACCCCGCCTCCTGGTGGAGGTGGACACGGGCCAGGCCCCGACAAGGGGGATTCCTTTGCCACCCACCCCTGTGCTCCAGGAGCTTGCCCCCCACCTGGACCCGGTCTGTCCCCTTTGCCTTGCGCCCACCCAATCCTCACCTGGCTGGCTAAGGTGCCTCCCTCTCCAGAGCCTACCTAAGACCACTGTTCCCACGTGACCTTCCTCCAGGAGCGTCCCAGGAGCCTCCATCACACTGTCCCTCCTGAGTGTCTGACTTTTTGGTCAGGCTAATGCCCAGGACACGGGGAACTATCCCACATGACTCCGTGACATCCACTGCAATGGCACTGGTCACTCTTTGAGGCTGGACAGCCAGGCTGCCCCACAACCCAGAACTCATTTTAGGTTCGAATGTCTGAATGTGCCCAGAGCCCTGACACAAAAGTCCCTGCTCCTGCTCCACGCCGGAGAGCCTGGGGTCAGGGGTCGAGTAAGTGCCCCTCACAGGCCATTTACCCCTTAAGCGAGCAAAACAGCCTGGTGTCTGACCCTGGACTCTGTCAGGTCAGGAGTGGGGTCTGTCTCACTCCCAACGGCCTCTTCTTCAGTGTCCAGCTTAGTGCCTCGCAGAGGCTAAGTATGTGACTGATGAATGAACGAACGACGGGAGTCCGTTCCATGGCTTTATTGGTGCTGTCCCTTTTCCATTGTTCGGCGGGCGCTGAGGGCGGGGAAGCGGGGAGGGCGCAGTCACGGGGAGACTAGGACGTGAACATTAACAAGTAGCGTCTGACCACAGGCCTTTGGCGGGGAGGACGAACCAGGGGGCCCACTCGTGGGGGCACAGCATCGTCACGAGGGCAGGTCCGAGGGCATCGGTGGCAGGAGGCATACATGGTGCCCGTGGCGGGGCTGGGTGGGGAGCCGGGAGCGGGAGGAGGAAATGCCCAAGGGCGTCTGTCTGCAGTCACTGTGGCGGCTTCTCATGCTTCAGGGTCTCGTATGTCTCCTGGCTCCGGGGGCTCAGGCCCTGGAGGTGGAGGTTGGAGGACAGTCAGGAGCTCGGGTCCAGCCCGGGGCCCCTTCCACCCACCCCTACGGATGGTGCCCTGCCAAAAGCCACCCAAAGTCCACCCTCTTTTGCTGACTTTGTGGGACAGCCTGGGACTCACCGTGTAAATGCCTTCTGACTTCTGTGGAGGCAAAGGAGCAAGGTGTCAAGAAACCCACCCCTCCTTCAGCTCCCCCCCCAGTCTTCCTCTCCACCCAGCAGTGGTGACATGTCACCTGTGATTTGGTTGGGTGGTGGGGTGGGGAGGCTGAGATGGGAGGGGGGTCTCTGCAGCTTCTGCAAGTCAGCACCTGAGACTCAAGGGGGCCACAGACCCCGAGGCTACAGCCCTTAGAAGGGCTGAGTCAGCAAACCTGTTGACACCTGGGTGTGGGGGGACAGGGGGTAGGGGTCCATACCTGATAGGCTGTCGCTGCCTTTCGCACCTGGATCTGGAGCAAAGGAAAGGTCATCAGCAACGGCTATGCCAGTGGCCCATCCCCCTCCCCTCCAAACTCCGTGGGTCTCTCAAGCCACGCCCCCGCCCACCCACCTTGAGTCGACAGTAGAGCAAGGTGAGGATGATGCCGTAGAGAAACAGGATGGCGTCCAGGATGTAGCAGAGCTGCGGCTCTCCCAGGGCCTCTGAGGGGAGAGAGGGAGCCCACGGTGCGAGGGTGGGGGTGGGGCGTCAGGACGGGCAGAGGTCTAGGGACTCGAGCTCTGAGACCGGGCGGAGGGAGCTCTTCGGAGAAGACAGTATCTTCCCGCCTGGATTCCTTTCTCTGGCCCTCCCTCTCCGCCTTCGCCCTAGGCTGAGGGCCCCAACTTCGAGCCTAGGGTTTGGGGGACTTGGAACGCACACGCACGCACAGGAAGCGGGAGGCCTCCCTTCGGCCCCCAGCCCTTGCCTTGCATCGCTGCTGCGGGCTCCGCAGGCCCCATTGAGCACCTAATAGCCCTCAGGGGACGCTTCTGAGTGCGCTGGGCGAAGACCAAAACCTCAGACAGGAGGGGCAGGGTGAGGGGAAGGCAGTGAGAAATTTCAGAGAAGAAACCACAGGGGTGTCTCTGCTCAGTCGTGTGACCTGTGGCTGAGAGCTGGACAGGAAGGATGTGAGCTGGGGCAGGGCGGGAAGGGAATTACTCTGTTACTGGTCATCTCCCCCACTGCCCGGCCTTCTGCACCCCCACCCCCACACTCATACGCCCAAGGCTGCCTTCCCCGGCGAGGAATGCCCACGCCTCTGCCCCAGGACTCCAGGGAAGGACCCCAGCTCGGGCCCCTGTGGGCGCTGTGTGGCGACTCTGCCCTGTTCCCACACCCGGTGCCCAAGAGGAAGTTTGCGCAATTTAGAAAATCAAATAGGGTCTGAGCTCCTGCCTGCCCCATCCGCTCTGGGCCACAGGACACGGGCTCCGGGCCTCTGACTAGTGACTGTCTACAACTCTGTGTTCAGAGACGGAGTCTTTCGCACTTCGTATTGCACAAATCTCAAAACTACCCTGGGCGAGAAATGTCGTCGCCATCTTACGGATGACGAAACCGAGGCCCAGGGAAGACGAGACACAGGTTTAGGGGAAACAGCCAGAAGGCAAGGCCAGGTTTTCTGCCTTCGAAGCCTCCGGGCCCCCCTCGTGCGGGCCTCGGCCCCGCTCCCTCCTCCGCTCCTGCCGCTCCGATCCTTCCACCCTCCCTGCTGGGCTGCTGCCACCTCCCACCCCTTTCAGTTTCCCTGATTTCCCTTCAGTTTCACTATCCCCATCCTCCCCAAACCCCAACCCCCAGCGGCAACCATCCTTCCTGAAAACATTGCCGCACGACACCCCGGGAAGCAAGTGAGAGGTGACCCACCGACCGGCGGGACCGTCCCACCTCTGCCTCAGTTTCCCCATGGACGCTCCGGCCTCTGCAGTTGGGCACTGCCTGCTGCCCACCCACCTCCTGTCGGCAGCTGACAGGAGGGAGTACCCTCAGCGACAGCCCACCCTGGCCTCCCTGAAGGGACTTTGTAAATATGACTGAACTAGCTAGAGGTCATCTGCTAACAGACAAGGCCAGAGGCACCCACAGGAAATGGGCCTTTCCCAGAACAGCTTCCTATGTCACACCCTCCCCACCAGCTGAAGGCTTGGGTGCATCTGGACCCTGAAAAGCTGAGACAGGCACGAGAAAGGAGGCCACTGACCCCGGTCAGGGACTGGGGACCAGGGATGGCACGGGCCCTGTTTCAGGATCTCTGGGCCCCACCGCCCACGCCGGCCTCACTCCGTGGGCCTTGCCTCACCTGCCCACACATGCCCTCCACCCCCACCTGGGGGCCCAGCTCACTGTCCCTCTCTGAACCCTCTCACCTGCTGGGTCCACCAAAAGGAGTAAGAGCAGGACCGCTGCCGGGACCATGTTGGCCAGGGCTGAGGGGCAGCGAGCGGGATGGCAGCTCCGAGGGCGCAGCTGTGCTGGGTGAGCAGCTCCCTGACCACAGAGTTCCCCCCTTCCTGCCACGCCTCCCCCAGCTCTGGCCCCTTCCCCTTCCTGCGAGAGACCAGGCGGCTCCCGGAAGGGCCAACTAAGGGAGACAGTGATCTGGGCTCTTCCGCCTCGGTCGTCCAGTGCCCGAGGCTCTGCCACCACAGAGGGGACTTGCCCGGCTTGGGAGAGGCTGCTGAACCCGCCTGCTCACCGCAGCCCCGCTCAGAGACACGTCTGTGACCCACTGACACCTGAGGCTCCCCAGGACCCATGACAGCTCTTTCCCTCCCACCGTGAACATCACCCCCAGCCCTGATTTGAGGTGTTTACCAGTATGGGGGGGCTGCAGGGTCTGGGCATGGCCGGGGGAGTGCTGAGGAAAAAGAGGAAATGGGGAATGGAGAAGTGGGAAGGACAAGAGTCAGGCAGGGGTGGAGACGAACAGGAAATACTGCTGAGAGCGGAGTCGGAGGGGTCCGTGCCAGGTTAGCAAACAGTGAAGTTTCCCATGAAAATTAGGGACAGTGAGATATTGAGAAAGACAAACCAGATGTTTTGGCAGAGGGGCCAGAAGGTGGCTAATTTATTAGTTTCCCCTTTTCTAGAACACACACAGAGAGACTGACAGCTGAGTGTCATGCCCACACACAGCCGCGTCTGCAGTGACAACAGGCTCCGCACAGGAAGCAAGCGGCCGGGGGATGAATGCGGCTGTCGGCTCACCGGTCGACCTCACCAAACACGATATCCTGGGTCCCTAGGGGGCGGGCGAGGGGAGAGAGTGGTGTGGGTCAGGCCCAGACTCATTTGTGCGCACAGAGCAGAGGGTCTGAATCCACGTCCAGGGTCTACGTAGAGGAAGAAGTGTCCAGACTCTGTCCCCACACGGAGTTCCACACAACAGCCCCCCCCCCCCACTGCAGGCCTCGTACCTATGATGGCGACGACGTCTGCCAGCATGTGTCCCTTGGACATCTTGTCCAGGCCAGCCTGTGGGCCAAGAGCAGCAGTGTCAGGCAAGGCCGAGGGATGTTCAGGGCAATCTCAGTCGAAGTCGGGCTCGACTGCACGCACGAACTGGTGGCAGGACCCCTGGGACTAACTCTTACCAGGTGGGCGAAGCCGGGAGCCTTGATCTTGCACCGGTAGGGGCGGCTGCCGCCGTCAGACACCAGGTACACCCCAAACTCACCCTGTCCGGGGAGAAGGAGACCGCCACTGCTGCAGGAGGACGTTTCCCTCCGCCCCACGCCCTCCTTCGCTGACACTGTCTGCAGCCAACAGCCCTCACCTCCCCCTCCCCCCTCACCTTGGGGGCCTCGATGGCGGTGTAGGTGGCGCCTGGAGGGACCTGGTAGCCCTCAGTGTACAACTTAAAGTGATGAATCAGGGACTCCATCGACGTCTGGGGAGGGAGAGGGCGCTTCAGTAAACCAGCTCCCAGCTGTCTCACTGGCCGCCCCAGCACAGGAACTCTCTCCACCCCCAGGAAGACTCAGCGAGCAGGGGAGACTCAGAGTAAGAGAGGCCACAGGAGGGCGAGCCCTTCGCACAGGGCGGCCTCTGCACACAGACTGCAGCCCAGGACACCCCTCCCCAGCCTCTCCCTGCAGACACCTTCATCTCGGCTCTCTTGGGTGGAGACACCTTGGCATCATCAACCTTGATCTCCCCGGGAGGCATCTTGTTCAGACACTGTTCAATGATCCGAAGGGACTGGCGCATCTCCTCCACCCGGCACAGGTACCTGAAAGCAGACCAGCCAGGCTCCCAGCAGAGTCGCCATCGGAGGGCCAGGCGCAACATCTTCGGCCCACCTGGCAGGTGCTGGGCACCTCCCCTGGCCGAGCGCCAGCTGCCACCGACAGCCAGAGTCTGCTGGTTCTCGTCTTGGGCCATCCCCAAGCCCTCTCCTGGCTTGAACAGACCCAGCCCCATAGCAGGCCCCTCTGTTACCACCTTGAGACACCTGGGCTGTGGAACAAGTGGGAGTCAGACAGACTCAAAACAAAAGCAGCAAGTCTTACTCAAGGTCAGCGAATAGGGATGGGACCTGAAGCTTAGGATGTAGTGGAAAGAGCGTGCTCTGGTCTCCACCCCGATGGAATACTCTGGGGGCCGCTCTCTGACCTTTGTGGCTCCGCCTCCTCGGTGGCACCACACAGCCCCAGCTAGTTCTACCCAAACCAGGAGGACGCCCTGACAGCAGGAGGACGACCTGCTGCAAGAAGCACCGGTGTCTCACTCACAGGAAAGAAAGCAGCTGAAAGGAACATTCCGGGACCCCGGCTGGACCAGGAGCAAAGGGGGCCTCACCTGTCGTAGCAGTCGCCACGGGAGCCAATCGGAACATCGAAGTCTACCTGGTCGTAGACGTCATAGGGCTGGGTCTTCCGCAGGTCCCACTGGATGCCGGAGCCCCGCAGCATCACCCCGCTGAGGGGAGCGCACGGTGGCAGAGGTCACTCCGAGCACACCAGGAAAGGGTCTCCCCGCTCGGTCTCCTGATCCCTCAGCCCCCCCCCCCCGGGAGGGAAGCCTATGGCCCCACCTGAAGCCGTAGTTCAGTGCGTCCTCTGCAGTCACGACCCCAATGTCCACTGTGCGGTTTCGCCAGATCCTGTTGTTGGTCAGCATCTGTCAGCCGAGAAAACGCCCTCAAACTTCACGCAAATGTTTCTTTAGAACTAGGGCCCAAAACCCCACAAGTCCTTTCTGGGGAGAAAGGAGGGACTTTTCCCAACAACACCCATCTTACCTCCTCTACCTCATCAATCCGAATAGAAAAGTTCTTAGAAAACTGATAGATGTCGTCCATAAGCCCCAGGGGCAGGTCCTGGAAGCCGGACAGAGGGCAACAGTGAGCACAGCACAGGCCTATGGCCCGGGCAGTGTTCCCATCTGCCGGTGCTGCCCCCCAGTGGCCACTGAGAACAGGGCAGGGACTGCAGCTGGGAGGCGGGCACTCACCTGGTGCACACCACCTGGACGGATATAAGCCGCATGCATCCGGGCCCCCGACACGCGCTCATAGAACTCGAACATCTGGACAGGACACGCAGGGAGCTGCGGACACAGGCCTGGGCCCCTGTGTCTGACCTCGTGGTGGTGCACCCCTGCCCCTCCCAACAGAGGCGCTTAGACTAGAACCAGGTTAAAGACCCCTCCCCCTCAAATGTTCCGGCTGTGTCCTTTCTCCTTCCAACCGTGTTTCTTTTGCCTACCTTCTCCATTGCCTCATCACGTCTTCATTCCCACTCTTCCCTCATACCTTCTCCCTTTCTTCAAACATCCAAAAGAACGGGGTCATGGCCCCGATGTCCAGAGCATGTGTGGTCACAGCCATGATGTGGTTCAGAAGCCGTGTGATTTCCCCAAACAGCACTGCAGAGAGGGGGAGACAGGGACAGGGACCCCTGCTGAGACCAGCCCCAGGTGAGTCCAGGGTCTCCTGCTCTGAGCCGAGACTGGGGGGCGGGCATGGGGGAGGGCCCAGCACACCTCGGATCCACTGTGCCCGTGGTGGGGGCTGGATGTTCAGCAGTTTCTCCACAGCCAGTGAGTAGGCCTGCTCGTTGCACATCATGGACACGTAGTCCAGCCGGTCGAAGTACGGGAGGGCCTGGGAAGAGGGAGGGGCCGGGTCCCCCTCAGAGCCAGGCAGACACCCAAGCATCAGCAGTGTGTGGGGAAGGGACCCTGAGTCGCCTGCCAGCCTCCTTGGCAGAAACTCCCACCAGGAGCAGTTTTCAGCGACCAAAGGCCCCTGACCCCGCGGAGCAGAGCCACACACAGCGCTTCCAGCACAGATGCAAGAAAAGACACCCCCAGATGCGGCAAAGCAAAATGTGGTGACTTTTGGGTACTTCTTCCCTTGGTTTTTAACAGAACACATTAAGTGGTAAACTAATTGAATTTAAACAATGCAGCTGCTACTGGCTCACAACATTCCTGAAAATTGCACATCTGTCCCATGACCCAGGTGACCTGGGTCCAAGCACCATACTGCCAACCATCCTCCAGGTCATCAGTCTTAGGGGTCACTGTACCTATAAGTGGGGACCTAAGGAAGCTGCGATTTGTTTCTGGGATTTGTTTCCCCCCGAATGCCAAGACAGCAAGTCCCCACTGTCAGCTTCCAGGAAGGAGGCAGAGCTGAGACACACCTACTCCTCGGGACAGCCAGTTCCTGTCCTGATGTCACTGTGACGTGGGACAGCGCTACAGGGTTAACTCCACTGACTCCTGGGCCGGAAGCCACTGCTGCCAGGAGTCTCCCTGGGGAACCACAATCAATCTGGTCGGCTGGTTGTTCACCCCGACCCATCCTCCTCTTATCAAGGCCTTTCTTCACGGCAGTTAAAAAAAAAACCACTTTGGATTCCTATCCCGATCCAACTTCTTCAACTCCGACACGATTCTCTAAAAAACGATTCCGTCACAAACTCCCTCCCGGTCACTCTGACTCACTGGGTATTTCGACAACAAACTTAGACGGCTAGACAATACAAGAATCAGCTATTAATCCTGGGGAGCTGACGTCTCTCTCTTCTGTCCCTGCCCCCAGGGACCCCGGCTTTGACGTCTGACTGCGATGTAAGAGCTGGGAAACTGAGGCACTACAGGAAGGGCAAAGGGGTAGCCAAGTCAGCCAGAGAAAAGCTGGGCGTGTAGCTCTGGCTGCAAAGCACTTCTGCCTATAAACCAAGTCCAGATGTCTCAAGTCACGCATTCCCTGCAACATCCCTTCCTCCTCCCAGCCAAGACCGCCCTGATAGCCTCAACAGGCTCCTCCCCTCGAAACCCCCCTCCCAGGAGTTCCGTGGGCAGCAAGCTAGTGATGCCCAGGTCCTGTGCCCAGGCCCCCACACACCCTCACCTGCAGGTAGGTCTTGTACTCAATGAGCTTCTCGGTGCCTCGGTGCAGCAGCCCGATGTGGGGGTCGCACTTGCGCACCATCTCCCCGCTCAGCTCCATCACCAGGCGCAGCACACCATGGGCTGCCGGGTGCTGGGGCCCGAAGTTCAGGGTCAGGTTGGACACTATCGTGTCCTTTGGAGGGTCCACATCTGACAGTGGGAGACAGTTCAGAGCCAAGTGGCAATTCCCTTGAGAGCGCCCAAGAGGCAGCGAGGCTCAGCCTATCCCTGTCCCTGTTCTCTACCCTGTGGGCTTCCCCATCTTCAGGATGACCCTTGGTAGGAAAAGGGAAGGAAGCTTGAAGCTTTCTGAGGACAGGGACCACAAACCCACTCTTCCCACCTTGCCCAGAATACCCTTTAAAAAATAATAACAATAATAACCCTGGCTGGTGTAGTTCAGTGGATTGAGCGCGGGACTGTGAACCAAAGGATTGCCAGTTCAATTCTCAGTCAGGGCACATGCCTGCATTGTGGGCCAGGCCCCCAGTAGGGGGCGCATGAGAGACAACTACACATGGATGTTTCGCTCCCTTCCCATTTCTTCCCCCCTATAAAAATAAATAAGTAAAAAGCCTAAAAAGTAATATTAATTACAGATGACACTGACCTGGCTCTTACCATGTGGCTGGCACTATTCTAAGCACTTTACTTATTTTAACTAATTCTCATAACCACTATGTATTAGGGACTACAGTTACCCCCACTGTACTAGTGAAACTGAGGCCAGAAAGGATAAATGACTTTGCACTAAGTGTGTTGGTGGCACAGCTGGGACTACTAGCTCGGCCGGTCCTGCCCCAGGGCCCCGTTCGCACCCACCAGGATGCACTGCTCTCCAAACACCTGACCACGGCCAGCATGGCCTAGACACACGAGTCTCACTGCTAGTAAAGGATAGGCCTGACCCTCAAGAAGGCTACCATTTGATGTGGGACATAAACACATGGGAGAAACTAGTAACACGGCCCAAACTGTTAAGTTACCGATTGAGAGGTCAGCCATTCAGCACTTAAAGGGAAGAAAGAGCACTGTGGGGGCTTGAAGGACCAGAGCTGGCTCTTACCTTCAAGTGACTCGGGGAGGCAGAGAGGCCTCCCAGCTGTGGAATCAGCAACGCCAGGTACCAGGAAGGAAGTACCTGGATCAGCGTTGGCAGGCAGCCTTACAGAAGGCTTGCCACATACCAGTCACCACACTGAGGGGCTCAGGTAACTGCTACCTCATTTAATCCTAACAGTAAGGCTGCAAAGCAGGCACTGTATTCACTGATAAGTGGAGAACTGAGATTTGAAACTAGAGCAGAACTTTTGAAATTCTTCACTGTAGGCTTTGGAGTCAGGCAGACCTGGTACAGTTCCACCAGTGTGTCCCTGATCCAGCTCCCACTTCCCTGGGACACACCAGCTTCCTTCTGGGATCTGTCATGAGGGTTATGTGAGAGGATGTACACAGAGCACTTAGTATATGGGAGCTCCCACTACTGTGACTGTTTTCAAAAAGTAGCTGGAAGTGCCTTCGATGGTTCCTGGGCATGAGAATGACTGACGCAGTAAAACGATGTTCGGGGACGATGAAGGCAATGACAGTGCAAGATAGCTGGACAGGAACAAGGGCGGGGGCAGGAATCCAGAGAAGAGACTCTTGAAATAATCAAGGTCTGAGAGAGAATAAACGTGAACAAGAAGCAAGGGAGAGAGGCCCAGATGTATGAAAGACCTGCAGGGCTTGGCCATGTAACGGACACAGGCTCAGAGAGCGAGAGATGAAACAGCAGGGGCAACTGACAAGTTTCGATTCTGAGCCATGGGGAGACTGGCAGTCCACTGGCCAGACTCAGAAGTCCAAGCAAAAGGCTGGCTTTGACGGAGGAAGCATGTGTGTGCTCAGGAAGGTTCCCTGAGTGCAACAGTGGGAAAAGCCCCTTCTCCGGCGAGGGAGACGGACACATGTTGAAATCTGGAAACAGCGGGCGCTGAAGATGTAATTTGGTAGGGACATTCCAGGGTTGGCTGGGACCTACTCTTCCTTTTCTCCTGGAAAGCTCTTTTGTTCCTTTTCCACTTGTCAAATACCTGCTATGACCACTATTATCATGTCTGTAGACCTGCATGGTGAAAGGATCAGAAAGGCTGGGGGCTGGGCACTCACCATTCCAAGGTGGAGGCTTCCAGTGGGCTGTTTCCTTGGTGGGATACATGATCGCTCCCCCAAACTGCTCTGCCCACTGCACATCTGGCTGCCACTGCCGGGCACCCCTAAGGAGGTAAAAACACAGGGCTGAATAGCGCCTGGCTCCTGTCCCCACTCGCTCTGGAGGGATAAGGTGTGCAGAAACCCAGGTTAGGTCACCTGCACAGCTTAGTGTACTGTTGGCAGAAGCAGCCGGACCCCTAGACGTTCCATCCCCCTTTCTATTCCCAGAATCGCTCCATCCACGACTCCGGTGCACAAAGGCCGGGACCCCAGATCCTTCAACGTCCGGTCTCATTCGGACACCTGTCCAGCTGAGCTTCAGTGCGAGAAAGCTGCTCTTTCAAGGTCAGCGGGCGACACAGAGGAGGGTGCTGGCTCCTTGGCTTGGCTCATGTGTGACCAGAGCAACACACAGGGCCGGCGCGGGGTCACCATTTGGGTTTTTCCTACGGGACACTATTTCCACAGTGAGAGGCAGGGTCTCCCCGCACCTGATTTCACCGCTGACCGAAAGAGCTCAAGAGCCTCTTCCCTCTCCCAGGGCCGGCGCCGCGGCACCTGGAGCCCGAGACTGCAAGGGGTCACAGGCCGGGGTCACCCTTTCTTAAACGACCTCAGTGGCCGTGGAGACCCCAGCCTTGGAGACAGTGCGCCGGGGGGCTTCCCTGGGTCTCACCTGCTGGGCTGCACCGGCAGCCGGCCCCCGGCCCCCGGCCTCAGCACCTGGGCGGCGGTGCCCCCGATGCCCCGCAGAGCTCTTAGCGCCGCCATCTTGCCCACTGCGGACGGCGGGAGGAGGGCCGGGCGGAAGCCCCGCCTACGCACCTCGGGGCGGGCTTCGCGTCTATCTGCACAACGCGGCCACCATCTTGGAAGCTGGCAGGATCGTCGATCAGCACGGGGAAACATCCGGTTCTGGGCTTCGGCCTCCCTGTGGCTTGAATAAAGCGGACTGAGGGAGGTTATTCCCTCTGCTCCGCGCCTGCTTTCTGGGCGGGAGCTCAGGGAACCTTGCACTCTCCCGCCTGCACTGCCCCTGCCCTCCTAGGGTAGCCCCAGGCTTTATCAATTACCCGGCACCTGAAAGCCAACTCCTTTGCATATGTGGCACGTGGCTTAGGCAGAAGGGCCCCTAGTTAGGGCTGGGCGGTCTGAGGGCTCCGCCAAACCTACTAGAAGGAAGAGCAGGATGCCAAGGCCACCAGCGTTGGAGCCCTGAGGGGGTGATGGAGGGGCGGTCTCCTGGAGCGACCTGCTGTCTTCAGACCCAGACCCAGCAAGCAACCGTAGGGGTGCTTCACACCCCGCTTCCAGCCTGGGTCGGTCTGTATCCCCTCTCTTCCAGACCCTGACTCAGTCCTGGACAAAGCCACAGAAATGTGATCACCACCAGGCTCTGATCCCCATGCTGTGCTGAGGAGACAAAAAAGAGCCTTTCAGCCTTGGAGGCGGGTTCTGTTCTCTCCCAACGCCCTGAAGCCCAGCTCCAGCTGGGCCACCCCTGAGTTTGCACGTCCCCCCACCCACTCACCCTGAACCCCTAGGAGTCCGTGGCCACAGCCCACCAGCACTGCAGCAGGGTGGGGCAGACAGAGCAAGACAGAGACAGAGACGGGATTCTCAGCTGCAGAGAAATTAGGGCAAGCCGACATCTAGCCTGGGAGTTGACCTAATGGGAACCGTACCAAAGGCTGCGGTCATATCCCTGACTGTAGGAAATGACTGGGACCTGGGTAGGCTGGACTGCCCCCACAGAGCCAGGCAGAGGCCTTGCCTACCTGCCCCCTGGTTCCCCAGCCTTTCTCTGGGCCTCTTCTCCTTGGGAACTTGGAACAGTGTGTGGTGATGGGGCAACTGCATCAACCTGCCCTAATCCAACCTTGCAGAAGTCAGGGCAGACGCTGAGCCGTTTGGCCCTAAGGGCAACTTGAGCTGGAACTGGGATTGGGGATCCTGGGGGGCTGCCTAGGACACTGCATCTTTTGTACCTTCTCCCCGCTGCGGGCACCCCCCACGCACCGCCTGTGACTCTGAGGCCCTTTGTCTCTCACTGCTTAGTCACCCGCTTTGTCCTCATCTAAGAGTGGGGGGGTGGACAGGGGCAGTAGGAGTCCTCTGGTGATAGCGCCTCCTGCCCCTGCCCCTGCTGGTCTTCCAGCCTTTGTTTGAATCCTGCAGCCCCAACCCCCTCCGCTTAGGACCAGGGTCAGGGCCTGTGGTGGGTCAGGGGTGGGTCTGGTAGTGGGTGATACAGGAAGCAGTGGGAACCAGAGCAGGTATTAGTGACCTGAGTGGGAAGGGAGGGGGAGGAAGTACTCTGGCGGATATGGTGTGGGGACAGGAGGTGACAAGGCAGAGAGTGAATGGACGAATGGCGGCAGGTGGTCATCTCTGGGAAAGGGAAGGAGCTGTTGACTGCGCCCTCCTTCCTGGGGATATCCTGGGGAAAGGAGTGGCCACTGCAAGGGGTGGGCAAGCATGGCCGGACTTTGGTACCCCTTGCCCCTTGCCAGGAGAGCCCACTCCCAAGACCTGATGCTCAGTGTTCTCCAGACCAGGACCGAGGCGTCCTTTGCTTCCTGTCCCTGAGGCTGCCTCTTCCTCCCCGTGGCACTTCCCCACCTCCGGTGCCTAATTTCCCTCTGCAAGTGGCCTCCACCCTCTCCCTGTCCCACTGGAATGAAAAATAAAAGATGACTGGGTATTCCAGGAAAATCGGGTTCTCGGGGCAAAGTGGGGCCAGCAGAGAGAGCTGGGTGGGGATTCCCTCAGACGGCCCACACTGGAGCGCCCCTGGGTTCCTGAGACTGGAGGCTGGGGAAGCAGGAGCAGGGGCCAAAGCCTGGGAGGGCTAGAGGAGTCGGGCCAGGGAGTGGGATTCAGGAAGTGAGGGGGGGAGCCCCGGCGGAGTGGGGGCGGACGGAATGGCTGTTCCAGGCCTTGGAGGGGTGGGAGGAGGTAACTCAGGAAGGGGGACCCTGAGGGAGAGAAGGGAGTTAAAGAGGAGGGGGTGCCACCCCGGGGCTTCTTCCTATAAAAGGAAAAGTGGTGACCCTCCCACCTTGTTCTCAGCCCCTGCCATGTGCCCATTCCAGGCAGACTTGAGAGAGGGGAAGGGAGGGAGAAAGACAGGGAGAGAAACATCAGTGTGTATTTGCCTCTTGTGCACCCCCTACTGGGAACCTGGCCTGCAACCCAGGCATGTGCCCTGACGGGGAATCAAACTGGCAACCTTTTGGCCGGCACTCAATCCACTGAGCCACACCAGCCAGGGCAAGGCAGTAAATTTCTTAATCTCTGTTTTCTCAGCCCCATCTCTGGCTGGACCATGTGAAGCCACCTCTGTCTTTGCTCAGCTCCTGACACTTCCTTAACTGTTCCCTCCCCTCCCCCTTGGTCATTAGGGCTCTCCACTCCAGAACCTGCCTCCAGGGGTTTACAGGACCCCTGAGGAAAGAAAGGCCAAGCCAGCATAGTGAGTGGGAGCCAGAGTTCTCCTGGGACCTGGTCCTTTCTGCGCTGACCGGCCCTTTCCCAGACTTCCCTCTTGGGGTTTGTCCACCAAATAGGGAAAGAGACAGCTGAGTGCCGTTGGTTTTGGGAAAAGGCGATGTCATCAGCTGGCCCGGTGCCTGTGACCCATCCTCCATCTGGCTGCTCGGGGTCCCCCTCCCCCAGGGCAAGTCCCTTTTTTTTTTTAAAGGAAAACAAAAACTAGTTTTTTGAAGAATGAGACACCCATCTGAGTCTTACCAAAGGAGCTGAATGGCTTGCAGCTCAGCCAATCGCAGAAGCTGCGGGTGCTTAAAAGAGCTGGTGGGGCGAGTCTGGGAAGGACCCTCGGGGAGACCCACAGACACAGAAGCGGGAGAAAGGGTGGGAGCGAGACAGAGACAAGGGCCCGGAGGTGAAGCCAGTGTCTGGGGGCTCAGAGAGGGGCCAGAGACTCTGGGGGAGGCAGAGGCAGGGGAAGACAAAGACCCAGGACAGAAGGATTTGCAGGAGCTTGGCCACTAGGCACCTCTCCCAAGCCAAGGGGCAAGTTTTCTCCATCTCTCTAAGGGTCCCCAGCCTTCTGCCCCTGCCCTGGTCCAAGCCCAGGTTGCAGAGGGGCACTTTCCACAAACCCAGGGTGTGAAGGGTGAAGGACTCAGTCCCTGCCAGCTGCAGTACCGTGTGCCATGTGCCAGACAGACCCGAATCCCGGGAGGGGCTGGGCTGGCTGCTGGCTGTGGGGAGCCCGACCCAGTCCTCCGCTCCTGTTCCCATGGCTGCTGCTGACCTCCCTCCTGCCCTCCGCCTGGCCGGCCAGCCTGCTCCCCTGGGAAGAAGAAGTCGTGTTTCCAGAGCAGCTCAACGGCAGCGTCCCGCCTGGTCCCGGCGTCCCTGCCAGGCTGTGGTACCGCCTGCCGGCCTTTGGGGAGACACTACTGCTAGAGCTGGAGCAAGACCCGGGCGTGCAGGTCGAGGGGCTGACAGTGCAATACCTGGGCCAGGCGCCCGAGCTGCTGGGCGGGGCGGAGCCAGGCACCTACCTCACCGGCACCGTCAACAGAGATCCGGAGTCGGTGGCATCTTTGCACTGGGACGGGGGAGCCCTGTTAGGCGTGCTGCAGTATCGGGGCACCGAACTCCACCTCCAGCCCCTGGAGGGGGGCACCCCTAACTCCGCCGGGGGACCTGGGGCTCACATCCTACGCCGGAAGAGTCCTGCCAGCGGCCAGGGCCCCATGTGCAATGTCAAGGCCCCTCCTGAGAACCCCAGGCCCACCCCCCGAAGAGCCAAGGTAGGACGCCCTGGAGTCTGTTCTGCAGCTACCTTCCGCCATGTCTGTCCCACTGACCTCCGTGTCCCCTCTCTCCACCCACTTCCACTTCTGGTCATTCTGCTTCTCCCCTCCTACGGCCTGCCTTTCCGCTTCCCATGAGCCTTTCTCGGGAAGAGGCTGGCTTCTCCCTGCCCTGACCCTTCTGCTGGCCAGACCCTGATCCCCAGGAAGGTCCCCGGAGGTGGTCGGAGGCCCTATGCTGGGAGTGACCCCCCTCCCCACGCAGCCCCACCTGGCATCCAGCTGCTGCCACCCCCAGGGAGAGGGCTCTCCTCACAGTCCCTTGGCCTTGGCTCTTTTCTGTGCCCCAGGTTTGATTTTCACCCCCACCCCCCACACACCAGCTGAAGGAGTGAGCTTTGCAGCCCCAGGGCTTGGCTTCTGGCTTCCGATGCTGCTTTGCAAAGTATCCTGGAAAACTGTACCCCAGGACAGAAGCGGACGGGAGGAAAGGCATCCCAGGCCTGGTCCACACGGGCCGGACTGCAAGGCGGCCTGAGGCTCCATCCTCTGGTCCCGCCCACTCCAAGTCTCCCCTCCTCCCTCCCTCCCTCTCCAGCTTTAATCCAGACCAGACGCTCCCCCAACCCCCGCCCACCCGCACCCGCCACGCTGAGATCTGGCCCTGGCCCTAGATGCTGACTGAATTGTTCCTGTGACCACACGGGGCAGACACGTCAGCTCAGCCCCCCAGCCACAGCCAGGCCTGGTGGGGCCCCAAAGCCCCTCCCAGAGGCAGCCCAGTGGCTTTTCACCCCTGGGGCCCAGGCGGGCCTGGGGGGTGGCCGATCCCCTGGCCTCTCCATGTCTGCGCCCACAGCTGATTACTCAGAGCCATCACAGAAGCCTAGAGTTGGGGGTCAGGAATCTGGAGGGTGGGGTAGGCTCAGCCCAGCCCGCTGTACGGAGCTCCAAGTCCAGGAAGCGCTGGGGTGGAGACACCTCCCAAGGTGTCGGAGGCTCCCTCAGGGTCCTCCTCTCTTTCTCTGCAGCGCTTTGCCTCCCTGAGTCGATTCGTGGAGACCCTGGTGGTGGCGGATGACAAGATGGCAGCATTCCACGGCGCAGGGCTGAAGCGCTACCTGCTCACGGTCATGGCGGTGGCGGCCAAGGCCTTCAGGCACCCGAGCATCCGCAACCCCGTCAGCTTGGTGGTGACCCGGCTGGTGATCCTGGGGCCTGGCCAGGAAGGGCCGCAGGTGGGGCCCAATGCCGCCCAGACCCTGCACAGCTTCTGTGCCTGGCAGCGCGGCCTCAACCCCGCTGAGGACTCCGACCCCGCCCACTTCGACACAGCCATTCTGTTCACCCGCCAGGTGAGGCCCCCAAACAGCACTCAGCCCCGCGGGCTCTGGGAGGCCCCGCTGCGCGGAGCAGGGTGGAGAACGTGCCCCACAGGTGTGCGAGGTGCCTGAGCCCCTGCTGACCTGGGCCCAGTGTCTCGGTTCCTCATGCATCTTCTGTAACCCCCCCTCCCCAGGACCTGTGTGGGGTCTCCACCTGTGACACCCTGGGCATGGCCGACGTGGGCACCGTGTGTGACCCGGCTCGGAGCTGCGCCGTCGTGGAGGATGATGGGCTGCAGTCGGCCTTCACTGCTGCCCATGAGCTGGGTATGGGGGTGTTGGGGATGCGCGAGAGAGTTATCGGGGTGTTGGAGGCAGGGAGGAGACAGTGAGCGCCCCGGGGTGCAGATGGGGGTGTCCCGAGGTATTTCCTCCTCCTCTCCAGGTCTAGGCCTGGGGCCAGAGTCCTCTGCACTGGGTGCGGACAAAGCCTTAGGTTTTCCTGAGTGAGATAGTGTGTGGAAACCTGTTGCAGCTCTGTGTGTGGGAGTGTGAGCGTGTCTGTGTGTGGCAGTGTGTGTGGAGGGGATAGCACACACTGAGAGTCAGGGCTGGAATGGGCGGATTCAGGGCCGGGAATGTCCGCTACAGGAAAGTGGGCTGGGAGGGGCCCCGGCTGCATTCGGGCAGGAGGGGAGGCGGCACTCTGGTGGGGCTACGTACTGAGGAGCCCTCAGAGCACCAGTGGGGATGGGGCGGGGTGGGACCATCCACAGTGGTACCAGGTTCAGGGGGCCCTGCAGCCCCCGGTGGGCACAGGGCGGGGGCTCGGGACTCCAGCGGGGCCTCTGTTGTCACAGGCCACGTCTTCAACATGCTCCACGACAACTCAAAGCCCTGTGTCGGCGAGAATGGGCCCGGGAGCACCTCTCGCCACGTCATGGCTCCGGTGATGGCCCACGTGGACCCCGAGGAGCCCTGGTCCCCCTGCAGTGCCCGCTTCATCACGGACTTCCTGGACAATGGCCACGGTAGGCAGGCGTCGGCAGGGGCACTCCCCTTTCCTGGGCTGGACGCAGCAGTTTCTGCCCACAACGCACGGGGCTGGCTGCCCGCCCTGCAGCGTGGGACGGGGTGAGAGACGCTGCTGTCTTTGTGTCCTTCCCACGTCCTCCCAGATTCAACAGCGCACTAGGGGAGGCAGGCTTGGCTCAATAGAATCAGAACTGGCCTTCGGAGGGTCCTAGCTGTCCACCACCGGTCCTGGAGACGGTGGCCTTTTCACTTGAAGTGTGCCAGCCCAGTAGGGTGACCGCCCGCCCCACCAGTCAGCAGGCTGTTGGAGCGACACAGACTCAGCAGCTCTGTCCTTGGTCAGAGTAGGGAGGAGGGTAAGCACTCTGCTGCTCTCCTGATTCTGTTCTTCAGACGAGTGTGGATGTGTACTTGGATGTTTCTCGGCCTGCGTGGCTGATCTGTGACAGGTGTGATGATGGTCACTGCCTTGTGGGCACTGGGCAAGCTGCTGGCCGATACTCATCGCGTAACATGTACAGTAAACTGTAGCCACTGTTGAAAGCTTCCTGCAGGCCTAGGATTGGGGTCCTAGGATCCATGGGGCCCCAGGGCGACCAAGCTCTCAGAGGACACCCTCGAGGGCCGCCTTGGCTCCTCTGACCCCACCCCCTGACCCCTCCCAGGCCACTGTCTCTTAGACAAGCCAGAGGCTCCCATGCACCTGCCTGCGACTTTCCCTGGCAAAGACTATGACGCTGACCGCCAGTGCCAGCTGACCTTCGGGCCTGACTCCCACCACTGTCCGCAGCTGCCACCGCCCTGTGCTGCCCTCTGGTGCTCTGGCCATCTCAACGGCCATGCCATGTGCCAGACCAAGCACTCACCATGGGCGGACGGTACCCCATGTGGGCCCTCACAGGCCTGCATGGGTGGCCGCTGCCTCCACCTGGACCAGCTCCGGGACTTCCAGGTGAGCCCCCGGCAGGGGTGTGGCAGAGGGCCCAGGGCCCAGGAGGGGCCATGCTTACCGCCCTGCCACTCTGTGCTTCCGTAGGTCCCACAGGCTGGTGGCTGGGGCCCCTGGGGCCCCTGGGGCGACTGCTCTCGAAGCTGCGGGGGCGGCGTCCAGTTCTCCTCCCGTGACTGCACGCGGCCCGTCCCCCGGAACGGCGGCAAGTACTGCGAGGGTCGCCGCACCCGCTTTCGCTCCTGCAGCACCCAGGACTGCCCAGCGGGCTCAGGTGAGGCTGGGAGCAGCTGGACCCCGGTCCTGGCAGTGGAGGGCAGTGACGTTACCCTTCAGGGCCCTCCGCTGGCAATCTGGAGGGGAGAGGGGCCAGCTGGGTGGAGGTCTGAGGGGCAGGCGCAGGGCTGGTGGGGTGGCATGAGGGGTGGGTGGCCTGACCACGCCCGTGACCCCTTACAGCTCTGACCTTCCGCGAAGAGCAGTGTGCTGCCTACAACCACCGCACCGACCTCTTCAAGGGCTTCCCGGGGCCCATGGACTGGGTCCCTCGCTACACGGGGGTGGCGCCCCGGGACCAGTGCAAACTCACCTGCCAGGCCCGGGCTTTGGGTTACTACTACGTGCTGGAGCCACGGGTAAGGGCAAGGATGCCCAGGCGGGTCTGGGCTCACCCCGTCCCAATGGTACCTTGGCTATCTTCCCTTTGCTTTTTTAATTGATTGATTTTAGAGTGAGGGAGGGAGGGAGAGAGAGAGAGAGAGACATTGATTTGTCGCTCCACTGATGTATGGATTCATTGGTTAATGCTTGTATGTGCCCTCACTGGGGATTGAACCTGCAAAGTTAGCGTGTGGGGATGATGCTTTGACAACTGAACAGTCCTCCGCTGCTGGCGGCCCCATGGCCATGCCAGGCCAGCCCAGAGGTCCATGGTACCTCTCTGCTTGGGCACCTGGCACACAAAGCCCAGAGGCTGGATAAGTGGCCCATCAGGCAGTGCTGGCTTGTCCCCCCTCCCTCGGCCTCTCCTCCTCTCTCCCACGCTCTGGGTTGTGAGAACGCAAACCGGTGGCCTTTCAGGCAAGTCTCCGACCCCCTTTGCACGGGCCCCTTGCCAAGTCACAGGGGGGCCTCAGCAGCTCGGGGTGGCCAGTCCCTCACTAGACAGACCTCCAGGACACAGCGACCTCCCTCTGCTCCCTCCTTGTGATAGGACCCAAGGGCCGAGGCTGAAGGAGGAAGACAAACCCCGGCAGTGGGCTTGCTCCCTCAGCCCCTGTGTTGGGGAAAATTCCCGCGGGGTGGCTGCCCTCTAGCGTCGGTCTGGGCGAGTGCTGTCCGGTTTAAGGCTGGGTATTGGGACTCAGGCCCTGGAGTGTTTCCCATGTTGGCTCTCTGCCTGCCTTCCAGCTCTGTCAGCTTTGGACACGTTCCTAATCTTCTAGAACCTTGGGGTGCCAGCTCTAGAACCCTTCAGTTGGGGTTGTGAGAGTATGTACACGTGTTTAGAAAGCACTTAACATGACGCCTGACCCAGAGACGGTGCTGTGAAGGTGGTGGCTTTCTCTTATCCTTCTCATTGTCCTGCTGATGGTCTTGCCTAAAGGGGCCCTCGGCTTCCCCCAACTCCCACCTACAGCATCCCCACCCCCACTATGGGATATGGGTCTTGCTCAGTTACCAGCCCCTCTGGATGTGGGAGGACTCCTTTTCATCCCTCCTCCTCTTCTCCTCAGGTAGCAGATGGGACCCCCTGTTCCCCAGGCAGCTCTTCAGTCTGTGTGCAGGGCCGCTGCATCCATGCTGGCTGTGACCGCGTCATCGGTTCCAAGAAGAAGTTCGACAAATGCATGGTGTGTGGTGGGGACGGTTCTGGATGCAGCAAGCAGTCTGGCTCCTTCAGAAAGTTCAGGTTCGTCTGCTATTTCCTTCCCCCTCCTACCTCCCTGGACACTATTCTGGGCCTGGGGGATATGAGGCGAACGCAGCGCTGTCCCCCCTCTCAGAGTCTAGTGGCAGAAACAGTCCTGAGCGCCCAGTGACAGTGGCGTCCCCGACCTGTCCAGCAGGCTCCCCTGGGTCAACAGTGGGAACCAGATGGCCACCAGTGAGGTCAGGCTCAGAAGCGAACCTCAGTGAGGGGACAGCGTATATAATGTCCAGAGGGCAGAGGGCAGAGACACATCTGCAGGGAGCTGAGATGCGGCTGGACACCTCACTAGGTCTGCGAATAGAGCCCTCCACACACACGTGCACAGTCACACATGTATGTACACACACTCCCCCCCACGAAGCTCACAAGGCTGAGGGGATTCAGAAGGTCGCTGAGCTCACCTGGACCCCTTCCACACAGGTATGGATACAACAACGTGGTCACTATACCGGCGGGGGCCACCCACATCCTGGTGCGGCAGCAGGGCAGCCCTGGCGTCCGGAGCCTCTACCTGGCGCTGAAGCTCCCTGACGGCTCCTACGCCCTCAACGGTGAATACACGCTGACACCTTCTGCCACAGACGTGGCACTGCCCGGGGCCGTCAGCCTGCGCTACAGCGGGGCCAAGGCGGCCTCCGAGACACTGGCTGGCTATGGGCCGCTTGCCCAGCCCTTGACACTGCAGGTCCTGGTGGCTGGCGACCCCCAGGACACACGGGTCCGGTACAGCTTCTTCGTGCCCCGGCCGCCAACCTCCCTGCCACCACGCCCAGCTCCCCAGGACTGGCTGCACCGCAAGGCACAGATCCTGGAGGTCCTCCGGCGGCGCCCCTGGGCGGGCAGGAAATAGCCTCACCATCCCGGCTGCCCTTTCTGGGCACCGGGGCCTGGACTCAGCTGGGAGAACGGGGCTTCACGGGGCCCCACGCTGGACATGTGGGGAGGGGTGAGCCCCACAGCAAGGACGCGCAGGCTGGCCCTGCCCCTGCCCGGTGGTCCTGCCCTGGCGGCGGGACGGTGGATGGAAGGGGCTGGGAGGCAGCCTCCTGTCGGAACTGGCCCCTCGGCCCTGCTGGTCACAGGAGGGAGGGGAAAGCAGGGTGGCCTGTTGTATTTATTTAGTATTTATTCAGTTTTATTTAGCCCCGAGGAAGGAATCCTGGGGAAGCTGACCCTTACCCCTCGTGACCCTCACTCTGGCCAGGAACTCAGGGTGCAGGTGACGACCTTGAGTGACCTGTGTGTGTCCGTGTGCGAAGGAGTGTGTGTGTGCTGGTGTGTGTGCTGGTGTGTGTGCTTGTGTGTGAAGCGTGTCCCGCCCACTCTCCTCTCGCAGAGATGTACCTCCTGGGAAAGGAGATTCAAGGGTGCAGCAGGTCTTCACAGAGTAAGGGATTATCGCATTTTTAAATATAAATTGAGCTCTACTATGTATGTGCCCCTTTCGGAGGGAGATGCGGCTGCATCCTGGCTCCGAGTCAGTCTCCTCGACCTTCAGTAAGGACACCGCCCTTGGAGGTGTGTTGGGCATTAAAGTGATGTATAACACGCAGCAACCGGGCACCCCCTCTCGGTCCCTGCCGTGTCGGTGGGGGTTGCTGGAAGGCAGCAGAGAGCCATGTCAGCAAAGCCTGCCCTGACTCCTGGCTCTACTCCTCTGGTTGGCGGAGCCCTCGATTCCGAGTGACTGAGAGAGAAAGAATGACTCTGTCCCTGACCCAGAGGTCCCCAGTCACGTGAGACAAAACAAACACTCAACTCCTAGTGCACCGGACGAGGACACGAAGGTGCAAGATCACAAGAACCATGTACTTGGACGCAAACAAGTGCTTAGGAATGAGCGTGACTTGGGGGTCTGGGGGAAATGCTGGGGTAGAGCATGCTTTGGAGCTGGGTGGGGGCGGGGCTCTGACTTGCGGTTCATCGCAGCAGCCAGTGGCGCTGGGTAACTCGCTGATGCCGAGCCTTGGGCTTGCTCAGATGTACAAGGGGGCTAACAATACCAGTTCCCAGAGGGTGTTCCTGGAAACAGACATTACAGTATTTTCAAAAGAGTGAAGACTGTCCCCATGTGAGTGGTTATCTCTGTGAATCCTGAGTGACAGCATCCCCGATGGACCAGTGTAAGCCCTGCCTTTGATATAAACTCAGAATGCACGCAGTGTGGTTTGGTGTAGGACAGTCAGGGGGGCGAGAAGGAGCTGAGAGGGGAGCTGGGCGGCCAGCAGGGGTAGACCCTTACTCGAAGGGCAGTAAGCTACAAGGGACATTTCTACTTCTGAGCATGTGACTTCTGTAAAGAGCTTGAACCCTGGCTGGCGGCTCCATTGGTTGGAGCATCGTCCTGTAGACCGTAGGGTTGCAGGGTCGATCCCCAGATCAATGTTTCCCTCTGTCTCTTTCCCCCTTCCTCTCTCTCTAAAATCAATAAATATCTCCTGGGGTGAGGGTTTTCCTATTTTTAAAGAAAAACTTGAGCAGTCCTGTGTGTGTCATGAAGGGAGCAGGCTGGGAAAGGGTGGCAGGTGAACCCTGCAGGAATTTGGAGTCTTGACTGGCAGTAGCTGCACTTCCAGGGCTGTGGGGAGGAACTGGATGTGGGGGGTGAGGGAGGAGACCCTGAGGGGAGGTGACAGAGGGGAGGGCAGGGCACTAGGGAGGCCTCACTTGGCCATGGTAGCTGGGGGTAGGGAGCTGGGAGCAGGGCCCAGGTAGGTTGTGGAGGGCGTGGAGACTGTGTGCTGCCCTCCCTGAGTGGGCCCAGGCCTTACACAGCCCCCTGCCGTTCCCTAGACCCAAGGGAATGGGGCCACCGCGCTGTCTTCCTTCCAGTACTCATGGCCGCAGGCTGCGCTGGGCCCTGGCTTTGCCTGCTGTGGGCCAAGGCCAGAGTGATCTAGAGCGGTTTCCTCTAGTTAGCAAAATTAGACTGCCGATAATGTGAGCAGGAGTAGAAACGGGACCAGAGCAGGAAAACCAAAAGCGGAGGTATTGAGGCACTGGAGTACCTACGTGGTTTTAGAGCCAAAGAGAGGAAAGGGGATGAGACAGGGACGGAAAGGCCAGTGAGGCTAAGGCGGTGCGTGCCCTGGCCCTGGGGAAGTTCCGCAGAGTCCGCACAGCCAGCCGTCGTGTGGGAAGGTAAGTGTGCGTGCGTGAGCTTGAGGCAGCAGCTGTGGGATGGGCCTGCTTCAACCCTGAGATTCTCTGTTTCTGTGGTTACAGCAGAGGAATCTGGGCGTGTGTCCAATCACCACCTCGGTGGGGGGTGGTGGCGGCGGAGCCGGGTTTCTGGGGGTGCTGTGGGCGGGGCCACTCACATGCCCACTCCATCCCAGCCCCATTTCTTAACCTCCAGATAGCATTACAGTATTTTGTTTTCTTAAACACCAGATTGACAGTAAATGACAAAACCAGTAGTACCTCATTGGCCAGGGCTTGTGGTTTTAAGAAACTAGAATTTAACGTATCAGCACTTCATTGGTTAAGAGGATGCTTCTGAGCCAATCGCATACGTTTTCCACTGGCCATTGCTGGGCGGAAGCCAAAGCCACTGGCGCTGCCTCACCAGCTCGCTGACAGCTGGGGGAAACCACCAGTTCTAAAAATGCACCGAACAAGTTTGGGAGGGGAGGGAGGGCCAACAATGGAACAACTTCCCTAGACAGGACCTTATATGGGGATAGGCCTGGGGGACTCCAGTAGCCTTCGGAAGGAAAGAGAGGGTAAGAAGTAGGTTTAGGGCGTCCCTTGTACAAGCCTTTGGACGTAAAATCTCACAAGCGCACGTGACACACACATGTCTAACTCCACAGAGACACACAGCACATTCTGTGGATAATGTCAGTGCAAATAAGCATCGAGAGGCTGAAAATTTGAGAATTTTGGCCTGGAAACGATTCTGAGGAAAACATTTATTAATCTAATTTTAAAATTTATTTATGGGGATAAACCATTGGGTTAGATTGTCACAGCATCCGGGAAGGATGCCGATTTTAGAGTTAGACTGAACCCAAGCTTTCATGGGACTCTCAGTGTCCTGATTTGTAAAATGGGCGTCTTGTTGCCTTCCTTGTGTAGAGGTCAGAACCTAAGAATACGGTGAGAATTGTCAGCCCTGCCTGGCTTCTAATAAGTGTCCCACCTGCTGATTCCCTCCCCCTCAAATCTCCTGGGGGCCTGTTGCCGGTCCCCTCCCACTCCTGCATTAGCATGGGAGAATAATTGCACCAGCGAACTATTGGGGTCGGATCTACAAGGGGCTATTTTGTAGAATGTGTGCCCTTTAAAAGGTCTGGGTTCTAGTTAGGGGATGATAAAAGAGAAGACATGGTCCCTGTCCTCAGAGTTCGTAGTCTGGTGGCTGAGTCAGCTAAGACAAAAATTTCAGAGTTCTGGTGAGTGCCATGATCGCACAGACAGGGGACAGGGAAGTGCTCCTGGTGAGGGGTCCCCTCCCCTGCCAGAGTATGCGGTGAGCTGCAGGGGTTCTTTGGTGTGAGTAGGGTGGTGCTGGAGGAAGACAGCATTCCTGCTGGCTCAGCTCCTGGGTTCCTTTCAGGTATGCAACACCTCACTGATGGAAAGAGAGAGCGGCTTTGAAGCTGCGGGGTGGCACCACCATAAGGAGCTGAGCAGGGCTGGACGGGACTGTTTTGGGAGAAGCCACCATTGAGGTGGGATATGTTGAGTGCGAGAGAAAGAATTCTAAAGATATTTAAATGAGTTGACTTGTTCCCCTGTTCCACTCCCTCTCCTAGCTTCTTCTGTTTCCTGGAGAAACTAAATGGAGATTTAAATGATTTTAAATTAGTGTTTGTTTGGGTTGTTTTTTTTTTGGGTGGGGGTGTTTTTTTCAAGGCTGGATTTCTTTTACCGCATTGTCATCTGTCCTGATTGGACCACTAGGGGCCCAGGATTTATTCAGAACGTAGAAAGGCAAGAAAGTGTGATGCAAACCAGCATATTAGAATTTAAGTTTTCAGAGATGTAGCAGTTCCAGGTGATGATGAAGTCCTGGGTGTGGCCAGGGTGGAGTGGAGTGGAGATGTAATTTCCTGGAAACAGGATGCAGGGCAGTTGTTGGAAGACCAGAGGCAGAGATGGGGATTTAAGGTGAAAGTCACCTTTCCTGGAGCAACACCACTGAGAACCACATTTCTGTTCTTTCCACTGCACAGGGACCTCCTTAAAAGCCAGGGCTTCTATTCACCATCATTTTTGTGCTGAAAATTCAATTGTACTGGATATCTGCTGTCTGCCAGCACTTTTCCATAGTTCTAATTATTACAAAATCCCTTAGATGAGGTTTATCTGTTAAATGACAAGTATATTGCTCAACATCACACAGCCCGTGGGCTTCAAAGCTGGTGTTGCAGGCAAGTCCAGGGTTTTCTCATTTTGAGCCTCCACAGGTGCCTCAATTCACTGCGTCTAAAATTTAACTTGTCTCCTCCACCGTTTTCCCCAAATGTGCCTATTGTAAGTTGTTTTTCATTCAATGGTAGCACCATCCATCCAGTGATCCACATTAGAAATCCAAGTCATCTTACCCTGGCAGGGTGGCCCAGCTGGTTGGAGCAACATCCCTCAACAGGTGCCGTTTCGATTCCCGATAAGACACATACCTAGGTTGTGGGGTCCAGTCCTCAGTCTGGGTGCAAATGGAAGGCAAATGATGAATGTTTCTCTCTCTCCTCCTTCCTCTCTCTAAAAATCATTGAACATATCTTTGGGCGAGTATTAAAAAAAAGAAAAAGAAGTCCTCTAGCTTCCTGACTTGGCACAGCTGGTCAATCCCCTGCTAAAAGTTCTTAAAGGTATCCTGTGTCGAACAACCTCAAAAAGAGACAGAAGGCTTTGGCTTGAAATAAATGATGCAGATTTATTTAAGGGTATTCAGGCTTGCAAACCAGAAACACAACTAGGCAATACCCAGAGTGTTCCAAAAAAGAATGAAAAGTTCAGAGTTCTCTCCCTCACTCTCCCTTCCTCTTTCTCTAACGTCAATCAAGGAAAGAGAAGAGAGAGAGAGCAAGCTCACATCAGTAGGAGACCCAAGCCTGTCTAAAGTTTGGCCAAGTTTTTGTCAGTGCACATGTAAAAATGAACACGTTAAAGATTTTGACTCATGAAGGAACAGGAAGGAGTTAACTCATGAAGGAATAGGAAGATATTGCGACTGGTTCAAAAGGAAATCTAAAAAACAGACACATTTATAGATCAGGAATACAGAAATGAATATGAAAATGAAGGCAAAACCTTCTTTTCCTGCAATGTGGGTAGTGCAGGGTTATTTGACCCTCCATCAGCTCGGACAGAATTTGCTTGTTAATGAGTTACCCACGCAGAGTGGTAAAACAGCTCCATGGAAACAGGCTCACCAAGCAGCTGGATGTGCTGTGGACAGGTCCCTCAGGCTCCCCGCCAGCGATCACTTCTCCTGGGGAACCTTCCTGCCACCTCCACCGTGAATGAGCTGCAGTTTCTCCGACGGCGAGCACGCCGAGGCCAGTGTCCTCAGTGTGAGCATCTGCTTCTCAGAAACAATATGCTAATGGAGTAGTGGAGGCCACTAAACATACTACATAGTAATGGAGCGCCCACTTTAATACCACATCAAAACACGCACAGCCCTCGCTCCACACTCAGTTTCCTTCCTTCATTAACAATGCTTTCTCTCCCGAGGCCTGCGGCATACCGTGAGGATGCAGAGGTGCGCCAGAACGCTCAGCAAGCTTGTACCCCGAACAAGGATCTGTGCTGCCGCTAAGTGGCACCAGGGCGCCCCCGACACGTCGGCCTGTCGCTCAGAGCCGGGACTGAGCTAGGACAGCCGCGTCCGGCCGCTGTTTTCCAATTCCCAGGGGTGGGAAACGGCCTCCACTGCCCCAGACCCCGGCGTCCCGGAGGCCCCGCCCCGTGACGCGAGGCCCCGCCCCTCGCCCCGCCTCCAAGATGGCGGCCGCGAAGCCTGCCCAGCTGTCAGGCTGGCGGTGACGACGGGCAGCCGTGGGCCAGGTAAGCGGTCGGGGGACGGCGGGGGCGAGGCCGGGGCCCAGGTGCGGGCGGGCGGGAGGACGAGAAATTTGGGGCCCGGGCGGCAGACGCTGGAGTGGAGCGGGTCCCAGTGGAGCAGGCACCCAGGCCGCGGGGCTCGCCGGCGAGGCTGGGCGACTGCAGGAGGAGGTCCGGGTGGGACGGGGCGCCGGGAAGGCGGTCGGTGGTGACGGTGACGCGTCGCAGAGCGCTGACCGCGCCAGGTAAGCTGGCCCAGGCGCCCCGACAGGTGCCGTGCGGCGCTGCCCCCGGCTCCCCACCCGGCTAGGACCACGGAGGTGGAGAAGGGACGCCTCCCGGGCCCGCGCGCCGCGGCGCCTCGCGAGCTTCGCTCCCCGCTCCCGGGGGGTCACGCTCCCTGCACCTGCGGAGCCCGCTGCCGGCGCGTGAAGAGCGGGAAGGAGCCCATTGCCTGCTCCGCCTGGGTGGTCCGGAGACCGCTCCACAGCCCTGTCTGCCTGCCTCCCCCGCCCCACCCCCGCGGAAATACTGCCTCCATTGGTGGCCTTGCCCCCACTCCCCAAACAGGTTGGTCGGGGTGGGGGTTGGGTGAGGATGGAGCTGACCTGACACGCCAGGGTTCCCCGTAGAGGAGGCCCGGGACCCAGCACGTCCTGCTCGCCCCCTTTGCTTTTCCGGCCTCTTTCCCTCACTTTCCCTGCCGGGAGACCGGCCGCCCGGCCGCCCCGACCCCAGCTCTGCCCTTCTGGATCTGGGCCGTCATCTTTGCCTCCTTTTGTTCCAGCCCCAGGATCGCAGCTGCCGGCCTGGATGGAGGCTTTCTCCGTCCTCTGTGGCATTTCCAATTTTAGATAATGCCTCACGCGGCTGCTCCCCCCAGACCCCCTGGAGGCCCCATGGTCTGGAGGACGGCTTGAACCTAGGTGAGTCTTTCTCTCCCTTTCCGTGGGACGGCAGGTTCTCGAGAGACACCTCTGAAATACATGTGGCATTCCTCTGACTTGGAGGTGGGGACAGAGAGTGGCTAGCAGGAGTGGGTTGGGGAGGGTGGAGAGTGAGACTTGGGCTGGAAGTGACAGGTGGCAGGACTGTGTGCTGCGGTTAAGGTGGTGGCCCACCCCGTGCCCTTGCATGGTTGCACATCTGCATTGTCCCTTCTGTGACTGTCTTCTCTGCCTGTTTTTCCTCTTTGCTGGGCCCCAGGCCCCACTGTCACCCCTGCATGATGTTCTGGGCTGGTTTGTGCCCCTCCTGCCTGCCACCAGAGCTCTTCTCTCTCTCTCCCCAGGCCGCACAGCCCAGGATGCTGCGGAGGCTGCTGGAGCGGCCCTGCACGCTGGCCCTGCTTGTGGGCTCCCAGCTGGCCGTCATGATGTACCTGTCCCTGGGGGGCTTCCGAAGCCTCAGTGCCCTATTTGGCCGAGAGCAGGGGCCCACATTTGACTATTCTCACCCCCATGATGTCTACAGCAACCTCAGTCACCTGTCTGGGGCCCCCGCTGTTGCGCCAGGTGGCCCTCTAGCTCCTCAAGGTCTGCCCTACTGTCCAGAACGATCTCCTCTCTTAGGTGAGTGAGGAAGGAAGGGGCAGGTGAAGGGGAGGCCAAGAGTGTTATTGGGGCTGGAGTGGGACTCAGAACTGGAGGCTGATGGAATTGGAAAGTGGGCTGGCTGTTGAGGTGGGGGTGCCTTTGGACTTGGAGTTTGGACTGGGCTCTGGAGTGGAGCCAAAGCTCTCCCCGGCCTGCCTCAGACTAAGAATTTAAGCGTCCTCTGTGGATGGGTCCTGTTGTAGTTCATTAGTTGAAGTCCATCTGTTCTCTCCAGCCCCTCACTGTGGCCCCCAACCCTGTGAGGCAGGAGAGAGAGTCAGGGAACCCTAAAATAAGGAGGCAGGCTAGGCAAGGAGCCTGCACTTCCCAGGCTTTGCAACACTGTGCAGCTGGTGGGGAAATCAAGGCCTGTGAGGTTTCCAAGGGAGCCGTTGGGGGCTGCAGAGCCCCAAACCAGGATGACCAGGGCTAGAGGTGGTCCTGGTCCCTGGCGGCCCTTCTTTGCTCCTAGACCCTCTAATCCCTGACTTGCCATCCCTCCTACAGTGGGTCCCGTGTCCGTGTCCTTCAGCCCAGTGCCATCGCTGGCAGAGATCGTGGAGAGGAATCCACGTGTGGAAGCTGGGGGCCGGTACCGCCCTGCAGGGTGTGAGCCTCGCTCCCGAACAGCCATCATTGTGCCGCACCGAGCCCGGGAGCATCACCTGCGCCTGCTGCTCTACCACCTGCACCCCTTCCTGCAGCGCCAGCAGCTTGCTTATGGCATCTATGTCATCCACCAGGTACCCCAGCCCCCACGCTCCCAGTTTCATTTTTTTTTAGATTTTTATTTATTTATCTTTAGAGGAGAAGGGAAGGAGAGAAGGAGAGAAACATCAATGTATGGTTGCCTTTCCCGTGTCCCCTGCTGGGAAGTGGCCTGCAGGGAACTGGCCTGCAACCCAGGCATGTGCCCTGACTGGGAATCGAACCTCAATTGTCTGGTTCTGAGGCCCACGCTCAATCCACTGAGCTACACCAGCCAGGGCCCAACTTTCTTATAAGGAAGCCTCAGGTAAATGCCACTCCACCCTCCCATGTGGTTGCTGGAATAATTTTAAGAGGGCCCGACTGTTGAGTGTGGGCAGATCCCTGGCTCTGCTGTGCCAGCGTGCCGGCCCCGCACTTCTCATTTGATGTGCGGTATTCTCTGTCCTACACCCTTCCAGGCTTTTCCTTTGTTGAATTTGGAATTGGACAGATTTGGGCTAAAATTGTAGGTCTGCCATCTGTTCCACGTGTGACCTCAAGCAAGATACTTAACCCCCAAAATGAGGCCACGTGGTGGCTGACAGACACCTGCGCCACGTAGTTGTTGGTGGTCAGGATGTGATGCGGAACAGCAGCATGCGTTAGGCACCTACGGCTGCTCAGAAAAGTGTTGTTGAATGAGAAAGCTTAAGACAGTGTGTCTTTCTCTTCATGTGTGTTGCCCCACCTCCCACTTTTACGCATCAGCCCCCCCCTTCTCCACGCCACCCCTCGAGCAGTCTGCTCCTCCACTGTCTTTCAGGCTGGAAATGGGACATTTAACAGGGCAAAGCTGCTGAACGTGGGTGTGCGGGAGGCCCTGCGTGACGAAGAGTGGGACTGCCTGTTCCTGCACGATGTGGACCTCCTGCCAGAGAATGACCACAATCTGTACGTGTGTGACCCCCGGGGGCCCCGGCACGTTGCTGTCGCCATGAACAAGTTTGGATACAGGTAGAAGGCATGAGAGGGTGCTGGGAGCAAGGAGACCACCTCCAGGGGAAGGAGGCGAGCCGAGGAGTGGCGGGCAGGAGGTGTCCCGGAGGGCTAGTGGAACCCACGGGCATTTCTCTCCCTAGCCTCCCATACCCCCAGTACTTCGGAGGGGTCTCGGCGCTCACTCCTGACCAGTACCTGAAGATGAATGGCTTTCCCAATGAGTACTGGGGCTGGGGCGGTGAGGATGACGACATCGCCACCAGGTGAGACTCCCCACCGCGGCCCCCCTCCCTCCCCCTGACCTGGACACTGCCCTCTGAGGCCATACCTGGCCACAGCCCTTCCAAGCTCACCTTCACTTGTGGGCCCTGCACTGTGCTGTCCCTCTGCCTAAGTCTTTTCGGTCCGTCAGGTTGTGCTTTGCACGCTGGGCCCGCCCCTTCCCCACCCTCCTTCAGTCTCCTGGACCCATACGCTGGAGCACCCCAAGGTCCCAGGATGGAAAGGGGCCCACAGACAGACAGCCTAGTCCTCCTCTTCTTGAGGGCTGCTGCCAGCCTGCTTCCTATGGGGCTGGGGGAGCAGGCATTTGGAGAGCCCAGAACCCGTTTCCCAAAGCCTGCGCTGTTGGCATGAGGCCAACTCCTGTTTAGTACATGTAACATTTTGACCTTCAGTCTCAGCTGATCTAATCTCATACCTGTGGTGTGAATCCTGGGGCTTGACCCACTAGACGCATTGCCTCCTCTTCCCCTTGTGTCCTCTGGGATGACATCTCTGTGAATTCCTGTTCTGTGTGTGAAGCACCCGCACCATCGTCACTGCTGGCTTCTGTGTGTCAAAGCTAGGCATTCCTTTCAGTCCAGGCCGGGGTTCCACCCGCCACATGGGAGCAGGTGGGGCAGGTGGTGGAGGCGGGGCCACTCAGCCATTCTTCTCAGTAAGACTGCTGAGCCTGGGTCTGCAGCTCGGCCCCCTCCCACAAAACTGCCCCTCTCCGGGCCCTTCCCACACTGCAAGGGCAGCTCCTGGGACCGTTCGGGGAACAAGGGTGGGAGGTGTAAACCTACCTCTGCCAACTGCCCCGGGACACCTGGCACAGGGGCCCTGAGAATGTAGACACGGCAGCTTTAATGCTCCCTTCTTTCCATTTCACTTCCTCTCCCCTCCCAGGACTTGGCACCGACTACACATCATTAACTTTTTTCGCTTAACTGGTAATAGTTGTTCTCTGTGTAGGGAGCCCTCCCTCCCTTCCTGGCCTTAGCTCTTCCGTGCAGCCGTTGGCAGCTTTCTTCCAGCCCGATCTCCCAAGGTGCCCTCACTTTCCCCACAGGGTGCGGCTGGCCGGCATGAAGATCTCTCGCCCCCCCACCTCTGTGGGGCACTACAAGATGGTGAAACACCGCGGAGACAAGGGCAATGAGGAGAACCCCCACAGGTAGGCAGAGGACTGCCTGGGCACTGCGACTGGACCCCACGGTTCTGCTTCCACTCAGGAAACTCCTACAGGTCCCTGGGTTCCTGGATGTTCCTCCCTGGGTCTTAGTCTCTAACCTCTGACCCTCAGGTTTGACCTTCTGGTCCGTACACAAAATTCCTGGACACAAGATGGGATGAACTCACTCACATACCGACTACTGGCTCGAGAGCTGGGTCCTCTCTATACCAACATCACAGCAGACATTGGAACTGATCCTCGGGGTCCCCGGATTCCGTCTGGTCCCCGTTACCCACCTGGCTCCTCCCAGGCCTTCCGTCAAGAGATGCTGCAGCGCCGGCCCCCAGCCAGGCCTGGGCCTCTGCCTGCTGCCAACCACACAGCCCCCCGGGGCTCACACTGACTCTTCCTGTCTGCACTGGTCACGAAACCGGATCAAAGGGGTTAGACCCCCCCCCCTCGCTCCTCACTGCTCTTCGAGGAATGTGGGGGACCGATTAGTGCTGCGCTGCAGGCAGGGGCCTCTCCTCACTGCTGGACTGAAGCCGGGCTCCTCTAGACCTGGGGGTTCCTCTTTCAAGGGGCGCCTGCCAGGTCTTACAACTGTGAATCCTTGAGGTCATGATTTTATGTGATGACTCCTGGCAGTCCCCTGCCCCTGGAGTAGGAACAGGGCTGGGCCCCAAGTCCCTCCTTTTCCTCGGAGAGAAGAGAGAGCTGGCTTCTCCCGGGACTTCTGTGAATATTTATTCTATTTATAGTTCCCAGGATGTGCATTGGTGAAGTAAGCCACTCCCTGGGGACCTTCCACCCATGCTGGAGTAGCTGCCTCTTCTGGACCTGGCTCAGGGGCTGGGGTTTTGATATATTTTCTAATAAAGGACTCACTGCCTCTCCTCTGCTCCTGCTTCCTGCTCCCTGGGCACCCTGGCTGGTCTCTGTCCCCCACCCCCACGCCAAGGACAGAACAACCAGACCAAGCCAAGCTCCAGCAATTTTTATTTTCATGGGTGAGAGACTCCCAGCCAGCAGGGGCAGGAGGGGGTGGGTGTGGGGATCAGCTGTCAAGTTCTGAGCCCAGGGCCCGGGCAGCAGCCCGGCGCCCACTCTCTATACAGTCATTGAGAGCAACCCCCTCATAAGAGGCTCCAGCCAGAGTCAGGGGCAGCCTGTGAGCAGCCAGGAAATGGGAAGCTGACTCTGGAAAGGACAAAGCAATGTCACCACTGGGGGTCTGACTTCCTTGGCTGTCCTCAGCCCAGCTGCTCTCCCAACTCACCCAGTTTTTTCCAGTGGCCTAGTGTGTACTGGGGAATGCAGTTCTGGGGACAGGAGAGGAAATAAAGGGAAGAGTTTATTACTAACGTCACAGGACTTGGTGGGTGATGACAAAAACACCAGTCCCTGCCTTTGACGCCTACAGCGGGCAGCCGAGGGGCAGTTTATTCCAACTCACCTTGTGTAGATGGACCAAGCAGTGACTTGGTGGTTCTTTTAGTCCTAATTGTGTGGCAGCTGCTTCCTGGGCCTTCTGCTGGAGCAGCTCCTGAGATGAGGCGCAGCCCCTGGCTTTCAGCGTCTGTAACCAGGAGCCTCCCAGCATCACCTAGAGAAAGGGCATGACACTGACCTATACTGGGCACAGAGGAGCCGTGGAAGCCCCACTAGGCAAAGCGGCCCCTCTCACAGTCACTCGGAGGCCAGGGGGGCTCCCATCCTGCTGGGGGAAAGCAACCGAGTCATATACGATTCCCAGAGTGCCTGGGTCTTCTGAGGATGGCACCAAATGTCCAAATCCCTGAGAAAAAGAGGAGGTGGTCAGGAGGGAGGGGCTCCAGCTGGGCCCTTGTGTCTCCCCTCCCGTGTCACACCTGGACAGGCAGACGGGCTCCTCGGTACTGCAGGTTCACCACAGCCACCGACACTGCAGCGATGGTGCCCAGGACACGTGCCAGAGGTGTAGCCTCAGCAGGGAGCAGCTTGCTGAGCACTGGAGGGAGCCGGCAGAGGCCTGCTCAGGAGGCATTCCTGCCACCACTTCATCCACCCTCCTTGGGACCACCCTCCCACAGGGTGGTCAATGCAGGGGCATGGGCCCGGAAATCTACAGCCGGCCTCACCTGGGCTGGAGAAGGGGAGGGCGGCTAGCCCATTACCTGAAGCTGGAACGGCACTAATAACATGGTCAGCCTCCAGGCAGCTGTCCCCTAGAGACACCTGGGAGGATGAAAACATTTGAGACAAACAGAGGTAACAGGAATCTTGCCTCAGCTCCCTGGGCACCCAAGTGGCAGGACAGCCTGTGTGGTTAGCATGGAAATCACCCCACGGTACTCCAGGAAGTGGGCCAGAAAGGCCAATGTGTCCACTCTGAGCTGCTTAGTGGAGCTGGGTTGCTCCTTCCCCGATCTGTCAGCCACTTGTAAACAGCACTACTACCCCTGGGCTTGCATCAAATGGGTCTTGGAGGAAAGTCCACAAATACAGCCCCAGAACCACAAATAAGGCTCATATTTAAACTGCTAGAGTAGGGAACCAAGCAGCAACTCCAGCCCTGCCAGCCCTGACCTGGCTGAAACACTCAGGCAAAGATGGAAGCTCCAACAGAAGAGGCATTACACTCCAGGGCCTCTCCCACCTTCCAGCGTCCTTCTGCCTGGAGGCTGAGCCCACAGACCGGCTGGCCTCTGAGCACGGTGACCCCTCCACTGGTCAGGTGGGTGGTGAGCGCCTGGGGCAATGTTTCCAGCCCTCCTCGAAGAGACCACTGACTCCAGTGCTCAGCACGGGCCTGGCGTACGAGCCCCGAATCAGGCTGTGCACTCTGTCCTGCAGAGAAGGAAGCAGAGAGGAGTCAGAATAGCATTCCTCCCCTCAGTCCCTCACCCCTGCAGTCCTCAAGGCCACGCCCCCAGGTCATGCCTCCCTCACCTGCCCCCAACAGCAGTCCCAGTAACACAGAGCCATGGGTTCGCTCAGCCTGGAAGAGACTGGGAAAGCAGGACCGCACGCTGAGCTCACGGCTGCTGCCAGCAAACACTCCACGGCACAGGCTGTCCATGGCCAGAGCCGCCACCTTGGGGGTGAGACTGGGACTCAGAGGCCAAGGAATAAGCCGCCCTAAATTTCTCTGCCTCTGCTGGCAGGCCTGAGGCAGATGGATACCCAGGCTGGGGCTGGGAAGTGGCTCCACTGTCACAGAAGCATGAAGAGGAAGGCATTCAACCCCACCCCTGAGTCGTGACCACTAGGCCTGAAGAGACAGAGTGCGCGCTCCCAAGGTACACAGAGGAGCCCCGGGTGGTGGAGGCTCCACAGCAGGTGCAGGAGGGGGTTGGGGGCCTTCAGGCAGGGTCACCTCCGGTCCAAGGCGGCGCTCAGCAAAACTGTGCACAGTCTCGTCAGGGTCTTTGCCACGGGGTGCGGTCAACTCCCTCAGACCAGCCCAAAACAGAGGTTTGGAGAACGGAGGTGAAGTGCGGAGCAGGCCCCTGCTTGGAGGAAGGCACAGTGAGGAGGACGCTGGGACTCCGCTCCAGCTCCAGGGTTCATTCCATCTACTTGGCCCCTTTGGCTTGGGATCTCTGACGACGAGGGGCGGGAGGATGAGCAAAGCAGAAGGACTAGCGGTCAGGGGGTGGTCACCTGAGGCCGGAAGGCAGGGCATGCAGGGCGCCGCCTGCATACAGGAACCTGTTCCGGGCAGCTGGATGGTCCCCTCGGACAGGTAGCACCTCCGAGTCCAAGCCCAGCTCGGAAACCTGCTTTCCACGCGTCCTCGGGAAGAGGAGAAAGTAAGGAAAGGACTGACTAAGCATACTTCCTTCCCCGCCCTATCCTCTCACGAACCCCCACTGCTCGGGTGGTCCACGGCCTCTCACCAGGAGCAGGGTACGTGCTCCCAGCGCTCCTGCCGCCCGAATTCCTCGAGGCCCAAGTTCGAAGACAGCACCACCGGGGCCTCGTACGGAGCGGATCCAGCCTCCCAGGCGCTCGCTGCCTTCCACCAGGATCACCTGGGACAAAAGGTGTGGACACTGCAGCCCGGCCTTCCGCCCCAGGTCCGGAGGGGCGGAGGCAACGCACTCCCTCTCGCTGCTGGCGGGCTCAGAGAGTATAGGAGGCTTCCCCCCGGCACGTGGCACTAACCTTGGGGGGACACGCAGCCCGGCTCAGGTGGTAACTGGCGGCCAAGCCGCTGATGCCTCCGCCCAACACGATCACAGTCCGGCCCATTGGGAGCCTGGGGGAGGAGGGCCAGCGTACAGGCTGCCCCTGGTGCCCTCTCTGAAGAGTCCCACTGGCTCCGCGCTCCTGTCCTGGCACCTCCCCGTTTTCCGGGAAACTAAGGCAGAGCCCTTGTAGGGGGTGGTGGGACCGTGAGGACTCCGCCCGGGGCGGACTCGCCCACCAGAAGAGCGAGATAAAGTGAGAGAGGGGCCGGTGCAGGCGCACAGGCTTCCCGCTCAGCTCCGCCGGGAGATACGGGCCGCACCCGCGCTATCAGCGCCCACGGCGGGGCCCCCACCCTTCCCCGCGCCTCCCGCGCGCTGTTGCCCACGCCCCGCCCCAACGCCGTGGCCCCTTGGAGGCTCTGCCTGCAGCGATCTCTTGCTGCGCACCCCCCCCCCCCCCCCCCGCAGCATTCACCCGCTTCTGATTGGCGAGTCCTGGAAGGCCCGGATGATGTTCACCAATGAAAACCCTGAAGGGACCGCACAAGCGACGGACCAGGAAGTGAATCGGCGGTGCGCTTAGAGGGGCGAGAGGCGTGCTGCGCTTTGTCCCCGGCCCAGGCGGCGGAGCTGTGAGCAAGTCCGCTCTGCCCGCACTGGCTCCGGGCCCAGCCTGGTGGGAGTTTGGGAGGACAGCCCCTCGCGCCTGCACTGTAGGGAGTGGCAGGGGACCTGGCGGCTGGTCCATGGGGACACTGCTCCATAAACAGCTCCTGCTGTTAGCGACGGCCCGGGCCTGCGGGATTCCGGGCCACCGGGCAACGCACCCAGTGTTTGTCAACAGGGGTCCTGGGGTGCCCGGCCCCCAAGGGCAGCCCCTTCGCTGGCACCAGTCTCACGTTTGTCTTGGGAGGACTCCAGTTCGGCCCACCCCCAGGCACAAGTACAAAGGATATCAGTTTTTCTTAATAAATTTATTCACAAAAAGTGAGATTGTATAGTCCGGGGTCTGTACACGGGGGCGGGACTGGGGACCTTTATACACAGGGCCGAGAGACAAGGGGACCTCCAGGTGGAAGGGTACTTTTGAATAAAAAAAATAATGGGAGCTACAACCACCCCTCCCCCCTCCCCATTAAAAAGACACAAAAATAGACGTCTCTGAGGTAAGCGGGGAGCCTGGGGCCAAAGGGTCTTGAACAGGTTTCACAGATGCCAGGGTTTGAAGGGGTGTCACAGGCCCCGGGGCGGCTCCTGCGTCAGCTGGTAGAAGAGCACGTAGCCCTCACTGGACGCCACCTGGTTCTCACTGACGGGGGAGACTCTGGGAAGGAGGGGGAGGACGCAGTCACTCCTGCCCACTGGGTGGCCCTCGCACCACCCCTGGGAGGGGACCAGGAGCCAGCCCCTCCCGGGCACTCTGCCCTCCTGGGGCTTCACAGCAGGAACGCAGGATCCATGCTCACCGAGAGTCATTGTAGACGTGCCAACCAGTCTGGCATCGGCACAAGGCTGTGTAGTGGCCGTAGTGGACGCTGCCCGAGTGGTTGCAAAGGGCGTACAGTTGATATGTGGGGCTTCCTGTGGAGTCAGAGTCCCTCCATTTGCAGTCATGGCTGCTGGCTCCCACTCTTCTCCCTCCCTCCGTGGCGCTCCTACGACCTTCCCCACCAGACTCACCGGCTTTGTCGCTGGCGAAGTCCCCTAGGCTCAGTCGCTGCAGCGGGAAGTCTACACCTACAGAACTTTTCTTGATGGAGCCTCGGGAGGTGGAAAATCGGTTAAGATCTAAGCCCTGGTTAAGGAGTGAGTATCTGGAGGAGGCAGAGGGCCTTAAAGGGGACTGAGGTCTGGAATGCAGTCCACTTGCCTCCAGAGTGGTACCAGAGCTTGTAGGGGAGGGTGGAGGGTTCCTAAGGGAAACTTGGTTCCCAGATATTCAGCCTCCGCAAAAGTGGGCAGTGAAAAAAAGAATGGACGGAAGAAACAAGATTTGAAGATCAGGATACGGAGCACGAGGATCCGGGGGAATCTCTGGACTGTCAACTTTTTGGTGCTTCGTGTTTTCTGCCGACACCGGTCACACACCTGAATGAATACCAAATCACCTAGTTGTGTGCTCCTCACCTCGAAGGGCTTTTCCAGCACTGAGCACACACACTCACTGTGCCCCCCTCCCCGCACTTCTGTGTCCTCTGGGCCCCCTTTGCCTACAAATACAAGGGCTCACCCGAAACTCCAACACAAACCCAGACATGTAAATGCCGTCCTGCGGAGGAAGGCCACGTGCACCCCCTTCTACCCATATGGAGCCCCCAGGAACCCCTCCCTGACTGCATCCCATCTGGACCACACGTACTGGGGCATTTTCCGACTCCAGCTCTTCTTCCTTGGTGAAGAGGCTGAAACAGTCCCGTAGAGACACCTTGCCCCCAGCGAACCCTTTCTGGAGGGAAAGGGGAACGAATGGAGGGTCAGCCTGCTCTGGACTTCCTTTTCCAGCTCTTCTCAATCAATTCCGGCTGCAGTTCTGCTCCAGAGACCCAAAGGGCTCCCTCCCACACTCCAGGGGTGGGCAGGGTTGGGTCACTGAACCCATGTCCCATCCACCCCGGAATCCTCTGGAATCCCACCTTGGGGATGGGCAGGGACAGGTCACAAAAAACCTCGAAGGTCGTGGAGCGATACCCACAGGCCTGGCACTTCAGACAACTTTTCAACTGTCCCACAAACAGGTCTAGACAGAAGTGAAGACAGGAGAAAGTCACTGTGGGCAGCTGAGACACCTCCTTGAATTGTCTCACCCCTTTCCTTCTCCACACTACCACTTCTAACAAGCCCCTCACACCCTTTTCACATTTTTGTCCCCCAGCTGGTTCCCACATCCTTTGGTAGTAACATTTAATTTTTTTCTCCCAAGCTGGCAACCACCACCCCACACCCTGCCCCCAATTCTCCCTGTTGCTGTGCCCTGCTCCATACCTACAATCTTGCTGTCCTCTCGCTCCAGGTAACGCTTCCACATCAGGTTGGCCCGGTCGTCGTCACTGCACAGGGAAGGGAGATGGGGAGTGCCGTGAGGCGGCAGGAGCGCTGGGCACCCAAATACCACGAAATGGTCCACAGGGCCCTGGACCCCACCCACGCCTCAGCTCCTCTAAATTTCAAGGCAGAGTCAAAGGAGTAATGAATGCTTCAGAGGACTTTCTGGAAAAGCCAAGATGGGAGGAAAAGAAGGAGTGTGGGCAAGGGAAGAACATACTGTCTTCCTCCACTGGGCTCCAAACCCTTCATGTGCCTTCTTGTAAATGAACTACCCCCTCCTCCCTCAACATGGTGACACCCCTAAACTGCCCTCTGCCACCTCCTACTCTCTGCCCCTCACTCTGCACTGCTTCTCAGCCCATTCTCTAGGCCATGCACTTCCCTGGACTCTCCGTCCTCAAACTCAATCGGCTCTGTTCTGTGAAGGAAGAATGCTGCAGGTGAATTACCAGGGAGAAGGGTGAGGCACACTCTTACCTCAAGTCCGGCTCCTCCAGCAGAGCCCCACCACGGCGTGGTGCAGAGGGAGCTGGGCTGTTGGCCAGGATTGCTGGAGCCCGGCGGCCTCGTCGGTTGATTTCAAGGTGTAGCCGCTCCATGAGGAGCTTCAGAAACTCCTGAGCATCCTGCTGGCTACAGCCAAGAGTATGGGCAAGGGACCCATCCCCCCAGTCCATGGACACCACGCCCCACCAGACACAGGTCCCCACTCCCTGGATGAAGAACACCTCAAGGCTCAGAATGATGCTGCCCGGGACCCTGTTTGGCCCTACCCCAGACACGGCCAGAGAAGAATCCCATACCCTGCAGCTTTCCCACCTGTATCCAGAGAAAGAGGGGACGTATTTCTGGAAGACAGCTCGGAATCGAGTAGGGTTCACAGCTTCACAGGAGTCGGGGTGCCACAGGGCACCAATCACATCCGCAAAGGCTATTAGGGTGGGGATGGGGAAGAGAAAAAAGGTTAGTGGCTGGAAAAGGCAAAGGAGAAGAGGCTCAGAGGTGGAAAACCACTTTACAAAGTTAGCACTGGGAAAAAGATGCAGTGCCAGATTTCAGGGCTGGGGCTTCCAGCACTGGTGGTTGGACCTGCAGTGGGGGGGGGGGGGGGGTAGGGAGAAGAGGGCCTAGAAGGAGGGACAGGGGTTGCTGACCCACCTTCAGTGAGCTCTTGGGCTCGGCCCCCTCCAGGCACCTCTTGCCGGAAGTCCCTTCGCAGACAGAAGTCCCGGAGCGGCCGGGTGCTGCTCAGACACTGCAGCACGGCGTTCAGGAAGCACTGGGGAGCAGCACAGACACCCCATCACCTCTCCGGACCAGTGCCCCAAAGCCTTGGAAGAGCTTCAGGGCTCACCTTCCCCGGGCAGCAAGCTCCCACCCGCAGCACTGACAGACAGGGAGGATGGAGCAGTTCTCACCGTGTTCCCCAGGTTTCGGAGGCCCACGTGCCCAGAGCCCAGGAGCAGCGTGTGATGAGCCTGGAAGGTCAGAGCACCGTCCGTCAGCACCTTCACACATGCCCATCCCACACTTCACCCCAACACTCCCCGCTTCTCCTCTCCATGTCAGGGTCTCCGTACCTCACTGGCCATGAACAGCAAGCCCATCACGGCAGAGTGTACCATGGACTCAGCCACGGCAGTCCCTCTCGTTCCCCACTTACTCCTCTGCCCAGCTAGCTGGCGCTGCAGCTCCTGGGGCAATTCCCCAAGCACTGGCATGGTTGCCCAGCTGCTCCCCACCCCCACCTTGCTGCCTCCAAGGCCCCCTCCTGCCCCCGTGGCCCCTTCTTGCACACTTTCCCGACGGCTCCAAATGCAATCAGCCTAGCTCACTGGGCTCGGGAAATGGGCAACCACACTAGCTCAGATCTTCTGAGCCTGCCCCTCCTCAGCTCCAGAGATTAATTAGGCCTAGGCAGGGTCCTAGGAGGGAAGGCGTGGCAAGTGAAAGGGAGGGCCAGGGGGCCCAAAGGAGAATTCCAAATGGCTGGGTGAATTTGCTAGGGACTGTGGTGGTACACCAGGCTGGGGACTGACAGACAACCCTGAAAGGGTACTTAAGTAGGAGAGAGAATATAGTCCCAATGCTGTAATGAGGGGCTAAGAAAGGAACTTGGGAAAAGAGGAGAAGAAAACCCATATGATGGCAAGAAAGCTGAAGGAACGTGGGCATGGAAGGCCACGTGGGCTGGCAGGCAAGTCCTCACCATCTTGTCATTGGAGTAGAAAGGCTCGGAGGTCCGGGCAGATACCATGTGGAAGGTGCCATGGGAAGTAGGGGGCTCCGTCCGTATGCTGAGCAAGGTGGGAGGCCCAGGAAAGCCCCCGAGGCGGCGGAGAGAGGTGCTACGCCTCAAAGTGGGTGGCTCAGGCCTGAGTGCCAAGCGGCTCAGTGCAGCCCCGAGCTCTCCAGCGCCTCGGTGCCCTCCCAAGGCAATCCCCATGGGACGCAAGTCTCCACTGCTCACAGACTTGGAACGGGCTAGGTTGGTCCTGGGTGGTGGCAGAGCCACAGCTGGGGGTGGTGAGCCAGGCAGGGGAACTCCATGATCTGCCCGAAGGGGGCCTCTGGGACGAGGGCCAGAGGTCCGAGCTCGTCCCAGCTCCACCTTCTTCAGCCGTTCTTCGGGTGGGCCTGGTCGGGGAGGCAGAGGCCTTAACATTGGGTTCTGCCCAGGGGCTGGGTTTCGGCGCTCCTTGCTGCGAGCCCGGGGGGCAAAGGGCAGTTTGGATCCCACTCGGGGTTGGACATTGACAGGTGGCTCTCGGGCTCGGCCCAGGCGGTGCTCAGAGGCCTGGGGCATTGTGGACCCACAGGATGGACCTGGGAGAAGACAAGGTCAGCATGTGAGCATGGAAGGAAGCTAGGCTGCCATACTATCTTCTACATGCACTGAAGGCAGGAACCATGCCTATCACATCAGTCACTCGTATCCCCAGTACCTAGTGTAATAATGCTTGACACACAGTAAACACAGTATTCGTCGATTAAATGAATGAGAGATAGCAGCAGCCCAGGGCTTTGACTTGATGTCCCTCACCACCTTTCTGCAGAACACAGCTTTACTGAGAAGCAATGATAGCCCAAATCTCAGCTGTCATTATCACCTGAACGCTCGAGACAAGGGCCCCATACCTGGGGAGTCAAGTGGCATGGGCCCGGAGTCCCTTAGGCCCTATGGTCAGTGTGGAGGCAAAGACAGCAGCTAAGAAGGCAACATCCCACCCTCAACCCTGCCCCTCCGGGCTGCAAAAGAAGCCGAATAAACGGGTGACTTGCGACTCCCTACCCCGCGCTTGAGTTCCAACGGGGAGTCGGGGATCAGGGGCCCTGGGGAGAGGGAGGGAGGGCGGACACTCCCAGACCTGATCTCTGCACCTCTTGCACAGCGGCTGGGCTGCGGCGGGTCCGCCCCCCTCGAGGGCAGAAAGGCCGAGGCCGCTGATTGGCTACGGAGTAAGGCGCTTATTCCCTGCGGCCCCCGGACGACGTCCCTCCATCCGAGTCTCCGAGGCCTGCCCGGCTCCTGCGCCTCCGCCTTGGTGTAGGGTGTCCTCCCGGGTCCCGGGGCAGTCTCCCTCGCCCCCCCTCCCCGGCGAAACGCCGCGGCCTGTACCTGCTCCCGGTGAGCGGCGGGGGAGCCCGGCCGGGGCCAGGCCCCAGCTCAGGCCCGCCCCCCACTGCCCCAAGGCAGCACCCCCGCGGGCCGGGCCGCAGCTTCAGCCGCAGCTGTCGCCCAGATCTCCCTCGCCGCCGCCGGGGCTGCCGCCATCTTTGTTGGTCCCGCCCGCCACCGGCTGCCGGCTTCAGTGGGCCTAACTGCGCCTGCGCAGCCGCACAGGGACCCTGGCTCCTGCTTCTTCTGCGCTTGCGCGACCCCGCCCCTCGGCTCCGCCACCGACACCATGGAAACGCAGCCAACTTGAGGACCTCTAGGCAACAGCCGTACCCAGAACTCTCTTTACATCGTTGCTGCAGACCAAGCCCATGAAGTATAGGGTCCCATCACCCCATTCTGTGGTGTACAGGGATTTGAATCTGACAAATGGAGCGTGGCCTCCAGACTTGCAGCGCAGATCCTTCCCAGGGAGCTGCAGGGTGTCGGTTCAACAGGAGGGCCGGGAAGACCCCTGCAGACAGGGAACGCTGGCCCTGCCAAACTTCTTCTCCGGCACCTTGCAGGTCGAAGCCTGAGGCTCCCCGCAAATGGACAAAGGAAGAGCTCAGCAGCAAGAAGGGCAGTGAAGCCTTTTCCATCCATTCCCCAGCTCCCGACCAGGGCATCCTCCTCCTGACCCCCACGCCCCCAAACTAGTGCAGTTGTACAAGTGTCTTGGCCAGCTCACCCACGCAGTTAACAGCCACCAATGAGAAACACAGGCCACCAGAGGAAGCAGCTTTTATTGATGAGTTACCTCCAGAAACCGAAAAGACTATGTACTCACTTTCTGTCACGCCCTTTCAGGACCTCTCTTGAGGAAGGGATATATACCAGTAATGGACTTCTGGCTTTCCAAAGCCTCAGGTTTTTCCCCTCCCTGTGTAGTCTTAGAAACTCAGTAGCAATACTGATTTTTTCCCTCCAGTAATGCAGCTACTTGGTAACAATTGTGGGTGGAGGAGTGTGAGGGAAGCAGTTAGATGAGTAAGGAATACACAGGAAAGCAGGAACATAGCCTATCAAAGGTCCCTCTGTCCAGCCTCAGTGGCTTGATTCTTCAGTTGCATTTCTCCTTATGCTGAATAACGCCTTTCTGAATCAGATCTGGGATCTCCACTGCCAGCCACGGACCCAGCTGCAATACAAGGAGGCCCTGTGAGATTACTACCACCTAGGCAATGTGTCTTGTTCAGTCAGAAGCTCCTTTCTAGAGAGAGTCTAGAGGAACATACCCAAGGGAAAACACTGTTGTTCCTTGTTTATTCTTGTTATCCCTTGTTATCCTGCTCAGGGCCTAACCTCTTTTCACCCTTATACACCAAATACCCCAAACTTACCCCCAGAGCCATGAGATGAGCTAGTCCAAACTTGGGCACGTTCCTGGCCCACAATGGCTTAAAGTGATCGGTCAGACATATTTTGCCACCCCTATCATAGGGACAAGAGGGAAGAAGGTGTTGACGTGTAAGGTTTACCATGAAGTATAGCAGTCTCCGGAGAGCACAAGACTACTACTAGTGATCCAAACTGAGAACAAGGTCAGTTAAGTCAGTTCAGTACTTTGCCCAGGGTTGGTAGAGGGGAGGCTGAAGCCTCTCTAGGCCTGCAGGTTCTGGTGCAACTCCTGCCTCCCAGAGCTCCTCCCTAAGCCCTCCTTTGACCCTTTCCCATCTCCTGTTCAATCCTACCTGTACATCTTGGCTGTTTTTCCATCCAGTTCAGGGACTGCAATTTCTGGAGCAGTAGTAGGATATGTGATAGGAATCTGGAGGAATAAAAAAGAGAACCAGAGCCCTGGCTAGTGTAGCACAGTGGATTGAGCGTGGGCCTGCGAACCACAGGATCGCAGTTCGATTCCCAGTCAGGGCACATGCCTGGGTTGCAGGCTGGTTCCCTGCAGGCCAGTTCCCAGCAGGGGACGGGCAAAAGGCAACCATACATTGGTGTTTCTCTCCTTCCCCCCTTCCCCCTTCCCCCCCTTCCCCTCTAAAGATAAATAAATAAATAAATAGTACTACTAAAAAAAAAAGAATCAGAATAGAAAAGAACTAATAAACTAATATAATCAGACACACATTGCCTGGTAGAACTGAAATGTCTGGCAAACTCCCCAAGGAGCATGTGCACACCAGGATTCTGGCCTTGGAGATTAGCAACTGTATCCTATGCTTGCTTCAAACCTCAGCTTCTCCTTTCCATTTGAAAAGTTTTCTTTGGTCCTTTCAAGAAATGCTACTTTGTTGATCATGTAATCCCTTCCCTTCTACTAACCTCCATATTTCTCCCTCCAACATACTCACGTCAAACTCAATGTCAAACTCGTATTTGAGGAGATCGTGGATGTACCAGCACTTTCCAAACCACCTATAAAAAAGACCAAATCTTAGTCCAATTTGACTGTTCTTCTCATACTGAAATGTCTTCTTGATTTAGGTGACCAGTCTCCCATGGGAGAATCGTGGGATGGGAACTGGGAAACTCAGGAGCTGTGGCAGTGCACACAGCCAGTGTGAGGAAGGGAAGGCCTGGCAATGAGCTCTGAGACACTAATATGCTAAAGCCACGTAAGATTCCCACCCCGATACCCCCCAAAAGGGTCTGCCTACCGAGTCCCTTCTTTGTTGGACTCCAGGCGGAACCAATCAGTGTCTGCATTCTTGTTGTTCTCCACATACTAAAAGCAGAGAATTAGGTCTTTGAGGGGGAAGTTGGAGCCAAGGGCAGTCCTTCTTCCCTCGAAAGAAAAGTATGATTACTTTCTCTTAGTACATTTATCCAACTTTTTTTATGCTGTAAGCAAAACTGAAGACAAAGCTACATTGGTAAGCAGGGGACTTGTCCAGAGCAGGGAATAGAATGCTTGGGTTCCACTCAATTCAACACAAAAGGCTATAGCTTGGGTTCTCTTCTCACTTCTGACAGTGTCTGCCCTCCCCGCAGGATCTCATATAGTCCTGGTTCTGACTGGCACCCACATGCTGATGACTTCCAAATCTTTACCTTTAATTCATTTTCTCTGAGTTTCAGACTCCAGTATCCAATTATATATTGAAATTGCTATCTTCATTTCACAGGTACTTCAAGTGTAGCATTTCCCTCTGTTCCTTCAAACTTGTTTCCCCAAGGAAACAAATTTGAGACATCAGTCTCAGGTAGGTTGCATTAGCATTCACTTGGTCACCCAGGCCAGACACCTGAGAATTCTCATACTGAATTACCCAGGCCAGACACCAGGCCATGGTCACCCAGGCCAGACACCAGGCCATGACCCCGAGGGTCATTCTTGACCCTCCCTCTTCTTCACTCCAGTCTTCCTTCTAGTCTTGTGCCCTTCACAATGTCCTGCTGATTCCACCTTCTGAATATCCTTCAAATATACCTCTCCTCTCTATTCTCACTGCAACTAACTGCAGAATTTAGATCACCTTTCTTTCTCCTGCATTAATGGCAGTCTCCTAATTGATCTCCTACCTCCAATCTTACCCGTCAACTATATTTTCCTCTCTACTGTCGTTGTTATTGGCCTAAACCCAAGTACGATCAGGCTATTCCTAGTTAAAATCCTTTAACGGTATCCCAAGGCCACCAAGACAAAATTCGAGTGCTCAAACCTATCTCTCAAGTCTTGCCGACCACTCCTTGCCACACTTCTGATGCTGTAACAGTTCTGAGCTAGTTGTTTTTCTTCATACACCTCATGGCGTTTCTAGCGTCTTTGCCTTTGTTCATTCTGTTTTTTGCCATGAATGTCCTTCTCTTACCCTCATGCTTTATCCAGATAATTTATGTTTACCCTTCAAATCTCAGCTCAAGCCCTGACTCTGCCAGGAAGCATCCCTGAGTAGACCCAAACTGGATCAGGTACCTCACCTCCTACTTCAAAACACCCGAACAGTTTCTTGGCCTCCCTCTCCCTTAGGATCCCTTTCCTACGTACTACATGTACAGTAAAGGTTTAACTTATTTATTCACTCGTTTATTTTTAGTGTATGAATGCACGCGGCAGGAAACAGAGACCACTGACCGCTGAAACTTTCTTCTTAGAATGGTGGGTGGTTAGCTGAGGGCATGGCAAATTCATGACAGTGAACTCGGCTTCGCCATTGTGCACCTACCACCTTCTTGAATTTTCAGCCCTAATGTGTGTTCCTCCCCCAAGAGTGAAAGAGGGAGCAGAGAGACGCGGACCGGGGACCTAGACCACCTCCTCACATCCAGGAGAGCAAGCACCTGGAAATACAGGGACACGTCATCTTCCTGGGGACGTATCCCTAAAGTAAGTGTCGCTTTCAGCCAGAAACTCTGGTCCGACTGTGGCTCCCAATACGAGTCTCTTCTGTCGATTCCCCACCGTCCTAAACTCCAAAGCCCCCAATCCCGCATTTCTCCAGTTTCTATGAATTTGGGAGTTAAACTTTGAAACCGGAAGTGGATTCCACACGGAGCCTATTCCTAAGCACACAAGATTACCCGCAACGCTTTTGCGACGCGGCTGGCTGCAGTAGCGCAACTAACCCGGATAAGAGACTGATATTCTTCCTTGAGTCGCTGCACCCACAACTCTCGATCTCGAGGTCCAGCGTTAGTCTTCAGCACCGGGATCTCGGACACGATACGACGGGTGGCCTCGTCCGCCATCTTGGCCGAGGGCGCAGGAGAAACACGGAACTGGTTTTACGTGTCATTTACCGTAAGGGCGCCGCCATCTTTACTAAGGGAAAATGAGCGGTTGGGCTGCCTTTACACTTCCTTGAATGCGATTTTTATTTTCCAGTAGCGAGGACAAATTTGTTACCTGCTCGTGGGTGCTACGGGAAGAACAGATGGAAACGGATTCTTCTGTCCTGAATATAGCACCTAGCTGTAAGAAAAAAAAAAACCCGCAGACTGCTGAAAGCGTGACTTCCGCTCATGCTCGGAGAAGTAATCAGAGAAAACGCTTCCGGTCACCTCCCCAAACTTAGAGAGTTTGAGGAATTTCAGGCCGTTCGTTCTAGGCTCTGTCCAGGCACTGTCTTCCTGAAATGCCCGATTCACGTTATCGTGTCTAATAGCTTCCTTAGCTTCCAAGTAATCGGCCTGAGGGAGCGAGGTCAACTCAAAGTATAGTGTGCGGTCTCGCCCCAATAATTAACACAGTCGAATTAGGGAATTAGTAAGTGCCAAGAAGTTGAGAGGTCACAGGAAGACGTAGTTAGTCTAGCGTAGACACTTTTTTTTTTTTTTAGTCTGGAATTAACCCATCTAGGATGGAATCACAGGGCATGGGACACAGTAGGTGCCCAGTAATCTTGCAGAATTTTGTATCTTCCAGTTGGTTTTTAGAATCTAAACGCATGGGTTTTGGCTTAAATTTACATATCTTGTTTACTCTGTTAATCGTTCTAGCATGTAGCAATAATTTTGGATCGGATCCTATTAACCATCAACTTCTGTAGTCCATCTACACATGTGATAAGCATGCTTCAAATTAATTTCTATTGGCTGAAACCTCCAGTACAATGTTGCGTAAAGGTTGAGGGCAGACGTTCTTGGCTTGTTCTGAATTTAGGGGGAAAACAGCCTTCATTAAATGTTGGGTAAACTGCAGGCTTTTCCTAGATGCCCCTTATCAGGTTAAGGACGTTCCCTTCTATACCTAGTGTTGAGAGTATTAATAATGAAGGAATGTTGGATTTATTCTAAATGCTCTTTCTGTGTTCATTGAGATGGTGGTGTGTTTTTTTTTGTTTTTTATTAGCATGTTATACATTTTCTTTAAGATATTACATATTGGCCCTGGCTGATGTAGCTCAGTGGATTGAGCACAGGCCTGCAACCCACACGATCGCAGTTCGATTCCCAGTCAGAGCACATGCCTGGGTTGCAGGCTGGTTCCCTGCAGGCCAGTTCCCAGCAGGGGATGATGTTTGTCTCCTTCTCTTCCTCTCTAAAAATAAATAAAATCTTTTAAAAAAAAGATATTAGATATTGCATAAGGGTAAGACAAAGCTTTTTAGGATCTCACTGGAGGTTTTTCTCCAGGAGAAATAAAAGTTAACTGCCTTTTGAGTGTAGCCATTGTGGTGTGGTACAGAGCACAGAAATTTGGAATGAGGCTTTGAAATTTGTCGTAAGACTTTGGAGATGCGGGAGAGGAACATGGTGACATGTGTGTCAAAGGACACAAACTTACCATTATAAGTAGAATAAATTCTCAGGATCCATTGTAAAACATGGCGACTGTAGTTAATTTATTGTGTATCTGAAAGTTGCTAAGAACAGATCTTAAGTATTCTCTCCACAAAAGTTATGTGAGGTGATGGATGTGTTCATTATTTTGATTGGGTAGTCATTCTACAATATATGTATGTAAAGTCATACACACATCAGATTATCACTTTATTTTTGTTTTTTAAACTTCATTTATTGACTTTAGAGGGAGGAAGGGAGAGAAACAGCAGTTTGGTGTTCTACTTCTTTATGCACTTATTGGTTGCTTCTTGTATGTGCCCCGACCTGAGACTGAACCTGAAACCCTGGTGCATCTGAATGACACTCCAAGCACCAGCCAGGGTCCCCTCAAACTCTCACTGTAAATATGTTTTATTTGTCAGTTCCTCAATACAAACTGAGGTATAGGGTCTTTGGAGAGTTAGTAAACTCTGAACTACTTTTTTTCTCATAACTTATTCATACCGTAATTTATTAAGCAGACTCTCATGGATGGATACTTAGTTTGTTTTAATCTTTTGCTATTACAAACAGCACTGCAGTTAACTGCCTTCTCTGCTCCACATTTTTACATGTGTAATAAATACTTAGATATGCAGCTGTTGCCCCCCCAAATTTGTGTATTGAAAATTTTAAATATTGTCCAATTGCCCTCCATAAACATTAAATCAACTTGTATTACAATTACAAGGTGTAATTGTGACAAGGTGTCCCTTCAAAAACTGGTGTTCACAACAGAGGTATATTTGCCAATTCCATGATCAAAATGGAATTGCAAGGCAATTTTAATGTCCATTTCACTTACTGTAAGGCTTAATATCTTTTCATGTCTAGTATCCATTCACCTTTTTCCTTTTCTGTAAATTCTGATATTTTTTGGCCCCCTTTTAATTATCACTTTTTTCTTACTGAATTTGCATGAGGTTTTCAAAGTCTTTTATTTTTTTAAATCTTTTTAAAAACCTTGGTGATATCTTAATCTAGATTATATTGTTTAAAGACAAATTTGGGAAACTGACATCCTTGTTTTCTCCACCCAAGAACATGTTCCCTTCCATTTGTTCAAGTTTTTAATGTAGCTAGCATTTAAATATTTTATTCATGCAGATTGCTTTTTATTATTATTAAGGTTATTCCTAGGCATTTTTTCTTATTTTGTTGCTATTGGGTATTTTCTTTTTAAAAAGTATTTTGGTTTTCTTTTTTTCTTAAAGGTTTTCCTTTTTAGAGAAGGGGAGAGGGAAACATCAATGTGCGGTTGCCCCTCATGCGCCACCTACTGGGGACCTGGGCTGTAATCCAGGCCTGTGCCCTGACTGGGAATTGAACTGGTGACCCTTTGCTTCAAATCTGGTGCTCATCCAGCCAAGCCACACCAGCTAAGTTGGGTATTTTCTTTGATTGTATCTTTAACTTACTGTTTGTATATATAAAGGTTATTTATTTCTGCATGTTGCCCCCACACCTGCACTAAATTGTTCTTATTTATAACAATTTTATTTTTTTTTAATATTTTTTTGTTTTTAAAGAGAGGGGAAGGGAAGGAGAACGAGCGAGAGAAACATCAATGTGTGGTTGCCTCCTGTGCGCCCCGCCCTGGGGACCTGGCCCACAACCCAGGCACGTGCCCTGACTAGGAATTGAACCAGCAACTTTGGTTCACAGGCTGGCACTCAGTCCACTGAGCCATACCAGCCAGGGCTTATTTATAACAATTTTTAAAGACTTTATTTATTTATCTTTACAGGGGCAGGATAGGAAAGAGGGAGGGAAATATCAATGTATGGTTGCCTCTCGTGCGTACCCTGCTGGGAACTGGCCTACAACTCAGGCATGTGCCCTGACTGGGAGTTGAACTGTGGTTGTTTGGTTCGCAAGCCCACTTAATCCACTGAGCTACACCAGCCAGGGCTATTTATAACAATTTTAAAGTTGATTCTTTTGAGTTACTTAGGTGAAGAATCTAATATGTAATAATGATAGTTACATTATTATTTTAGCTATATAAAAACATGTATGATTAGCTAAGTCTTGGAAGAAAACATGAAGAAATGAGGTAATGTGAGGAGTTACAACTTTTTGTCACTTATAAGTTCATTAATTAAATAAAATAGTAACAGAATTCTTAGCATTTTAAACAAATTCAGGGCCTGGAGGCATGGTATTCTAGAAATCAGAAGCATTTTTTTTTAAGTGAAATTTTATCTCCTGTAGGTAATCTGGGGAATTTACAATATGGCAAGTGTCCACATTTTCAAAGAGAGAAATTTTTAATGGAGTTCTAGAAACTAAAAGACTAGGATTATTGATTCTTAGTTACATTATAGAGCAGCTATTAAAGAGTGATTTATGGGCAACAAAGAAAAGCAGCAGTCCTCGGATGCCTGGTGGTTCATCACAGTGATTCAGTCTCCCGAAGTGTCAGATCTTCTGTGGCCTTTTGCAGGCGTCTTCGTGGCCTGGGACACTTCTCCCCGGGCTTTGCAGCACAGCTGGCCTCCTCCTGCTCCTGAGGCCCCAGCTTCCCGCTGCGTCTTCAAGGAGAGGCTTTCTCTGATCACTCATTTTTCCATCCCAGCATCCTGTTCTTTCCTTCATAGCGCTTCCCTCGATTTAAAATGATGTATTCGCTTTCTCAGTGGCCATCCACGATGTAAACCAGGAAGCTGTGTCTGTTTTGTTCATCAGTGTGCCTCCTATCACATGCACCGTCCCAGTACCTGACCTTAGTAAGTGAATGCCTGATGACTTTCCTTGCCATTGTTACTGGGTTAACAAACTAGAACATCATCGAGACAGTGTATCTTGATTTCAGGAAGAACATGTTTTCTGATAGGTTCTTTGAAAAAGAAAGAATGGGCTTGAATGTAGGAGCATTTTTAGTTGATTGAACAACCCACCACAGAAGACTTGGTTGATTGTCTAATTAGCTGGTGGGGTTGGTAAGACGGGCCTGTATCCTATCCTGGCAGGCAGGGTACCCAGTGACTCAGAAGTCATCCCCAGGGGGCATCAGAGAGCGGTTATAAAGAAACAGGTTGAGAAGCATTTTGGACAGCAGAGCATTAGTTTCCAGTGACTCATTGTGGGCCCTACTCTTCCATTGAGAAACTGGGAGACACTGGAGTTCTAGGTTGAAGCTCAACTGAAATTAGGAGCCACTATGAAGCCTGGGTGAGTCACAAAGGCAGCCTGGAGTTGGGGGAACCAAGAACTAGAGAGGACTGTCAAGTAAGCAAGTCCTCATGCAATAAAGTGCAAGAGTAAAGCCGCGGCAGGGACGAGGGCTCACTGGGCTTGGGGGTTAAGGGGGGATACTTGTGACAGTGGGCTGCTGAAGGGGTGTGGCCTGAGCTCTCTGGTGTGAAAAGGTCATATTCTGGCAGAGACAGGGGACAGCATAGACCAGAACAAGCTGCCTTAATAGAGTTCAAAGTGTGGAAGATGAGATCTGCTACACTTTGAATTGGCGCCACCAGAGACTTGGATAAAATAGTTCATCGGGACACGGTAGCTGTCTGAAGGGCTGACAATGAAGTATGATCCAGGGAAAAAAAAAATAAGACCAAAAAGTGCAAGTTATAAAAAGGTAGATTTTTGGCTCTGGCAAGGTATCTCAATTGGTTAGTGCATCAACCTGACATGCCAAGGTTGCAGGTTCGATTCCTAGTCAGGGCACATACAAAAACCAACCAATGAATGCATTGATAAGTGGAACAGCAAATCAATGTCTTTCTCTCTAAAAAAAAAAAAAATCAGTAAAAGGTAGATTTTTTTTCTAAATACAGAGAAAGGGCTTTCAAATCTCCAAGAATTATAGTGAGTTGAGAACTATTTCATACAACATAGTGGAAACAGGAGATGTGAACAGTCGCTGAAGGGTGTCAGCCCAGAGTGCAGTGAAGGGAGAGGTGATTGTGGGAACGATGTGTCAAGAAGCAAAAAAAAAAAAAAAAAAAAAAAAAGGGATAGCAATCGGGGGCCAAGGTGAAGGGGCCAGTCTTTGAAAGCTGGAGGGATGTTTTCTCAGGAATACAGACTGGAACTGATGTAAAGGAAGGGAAACCCAGGTTTTTAGTTGAAGCAAGGAGAGGGTAGAAAAAGAAGACAAGGCAAGAAATAGAGTTTTTGTTCTAACTATAGAGATGGTATACAATTTAAGCCAAGGGTGAAGAGCTGTTTAGCTACGGCTAACCAAAAATCTTAGTGTTTGGTCCTGACCCCCATGGCTCAGTGGGTTGGGTGTCATGCCCCAAACCGAAAGGTCACTGGTTCAATTCCTAGTTAAGGCACATGCCTGGGTTGCAGGCTAAGTCTCTGTTGGGGACGTGTGAAGTAACCAATCAATGTTTTTGCTGCCTCTCTTTCTTGTTTCCCCTTTCTATATAAATAAAATCTTTTAAAAAATCTTAGTGTTTAAAGTACTTTTTCTCGGTGATGGGCACATGAACACCCATCTCTACACAGATGCCCTTGGTTTAGCTGGTATTTAACTCCACCCCACCTCTGGAAATCTGCTCAGCCCTGTTGACGGGCTCTCTCCAGCACCTGTTAAAATCCCAAGGCTTCGTGTTCAAACAGTGAACTTGCAGCGACCCCCAACCCTCACCAAAAAACATTCCTACAAATTGCCATGAACATTAGCTTAGAAACACACCACTGTACAAATATCTGGAAGTTGTAAACATTTTTTTTTGAGGATTTTATTGATTGCTAGAGGGGAAGGGAGGGAGAAAGAGAGGGAAAGAAACATCAGATTGCTGCCTCTTGCATGCCCCAAACCGGGGCTGGGTTTCATCAGCTGGGGACCTCTCACTTTGTGGGACACACCCTCAACTGGGGACCTGGCTGGGAATCAAACCAGTAATCCTTTGGTTTGCAGGCCTGCGCTCAGTCCACTAAGCCACACCAGCCACACATAACCACAGTTTACTCTTGTGTTATTATGTATCAAGAATTGTAGTATTTTCCATGCTAACAACTGTAAACCTACTTTTGCCCCACCCTGTAACTTGGGGCTTTCCAGTCACTCTATTCATTTCTATCTGGTTTCCTACCCAACAATCTCTGAAACATTTCTCCAAAATTACTAAATGACTTAACTTGTTGCAAAACCCAATGGACACATTTTAGTCGTATCTTACCTGAGCTGTTACATTCAACCCTTTGACCAGCTTCCTTGATATTTGCCACCTGGTTTCCTTCCTTTCTGTCGTTGCTCCTTTTCTCATGTAATCCCTGAAGCGCAGGTATTCCTCTCTCTAGGTTATCGTATTCATTTCTAAGGCTTCACCAACCATTTCTAGTAACACGTACATGCGCACAACTACCCACCAAACCTTTCTTTAGGGTTCCAAGTCCACAGGATCTCATTCCATTGCCTAATAGATAACCCAGGGGACCCCAAACTCATATTCCGATCCAAAACAAAAATGGCAACATTACTCCCCACCTGTTCAAATCAGAACACCGGGCAATATCCTGCATTTCCTCCCTGTTCTGCACACCCATTTCCAATCTATTTTTCCCACCCCAGGCTCCCTTCTAGCTATCCCTGGGCTTGGTAAGGGCTTCCCAATTGTTCTCCTTGCTTCTAACTTCGTCCCCTCCAGCCCACTGCTATCCCCAGTGCACTAGTGATCTTTCTAAAATGCAGATTTCTTGGTGATTGTTCTCACCTCTGCTAAGGCTCTTCACAGCCTACCCGGGGCTCTCAGGAGAAAACCAACCGATTTTCAAGGCTTTGTGTAATCGGGTCCCCTAAACTCACAGACCATTCCCGGCTGACCTCCCAGCCCCAGTTCCCGACGGTCCAGGGCTTAGCTCGGGCGACGCTTCCTTCAGGACGCAGGAGCTCAAACAGAGGAACTCTCGGCGGACAATGCTAGAGGGACACCGAGCAGCGCCCGGTGCCGCGGACCCAGGTTCCTGGACGTCCGGGTTAACAGGAAGCTCAGGGCAAAGGTCGAGTCCTCCGCGCGAACCTCCCCCCCCAGTCCACCGCAACCCGACCCGTCCCATTCCGCCCTCATGCGTCACGGCCGCCAGCCCGCCTTTCCGTGGGTCTTCGAATCGACACCGGCAGCTCCGGCGCCACCGATGTTCCCACAGTCACGAACGCGACCCTCTGTGCCCCCTTCCGCGGCCCCGCAGCCGCCAGCCGCCCAGAGACGCGCACGGTGCCAGGCTGCCCTAAAGCAAGATGGCCGCCAGCCTCCATTCTGGCCGCCGAGGTGAAGCCAGGCCCTGCCTGCGCCAGGCCGCCGCCGGGCTGCCCTCACCTGGCATGGCTCCTCGGCCCGTGCCCTACTGTGGCCCTGAAGCCGCCACCAGCTGGCCCACGGCGGGCCGGGTTCCGGAGGCGCTACTCAGAACGCCGCCTGTCCCCGCCCCGCCCGCCCCGCTCCGCTCCCCTCCCCCGCCCCACGCCCGCGCCGGCGGCGGCAGGAGCCCGGATGCGGCGCCGGGAGACGGCGGGGGGAGCGGCGCAGATGGATCCAACATGGCGTCGCCGAGCCTGAGCCCGGGGTGAGGCGGCGGGGCGCCCGGAGCGGGGAGGGGGCTCGAGCAGGCGGGGCGGGGCCGGGCGGGGCCGTGAAGGGCTGCGGGCTGGAAAGTGAGGGGCGGCGGCGACGCGCAGCCCGAGGACCCGGGGGAGGGAGGGGACGGCGCTGCCAGGTGGGGGAGGGGCACGGCGAGGGGCGTGCGGGACGGCCGGCGGGGCGGGGGCGTCCGCGGGCCGGGCGGCGGGACGGTGGGCGGCCGGGCGGAGCGGGGCGCTGTCCGACCGGGCGCGGGGTTGGGGGCGCGAGGTGGAGGGGAGCCGGGGCGCGGAGGGCAGGGCTGTGGCGTGCGGTCGGGCGGAGGCCGGGAGTCCCGCGAGGGGCGTTGGAGCCGTGGGCGGCGGAGGGTCGGACTCGCGACGTCTGGGGCAGGGCTTGAAAGTGCTTCTTCGGGGTGGCAGGGGCAGGGCCCGCGGCAGGACTCGGGTGGAATAGGCGAGAGCGGAGGTTTGGGGAGTGGAGAGCCTGCCGGTGTGACGAGGTGACGAGAAAGTTTGGGAGGGAGGGCAGTGGGCCGGGACGCGGGACCTGGGGCTGCGGGCGGGGAGGGGGCCGCGGCTGCCTTCGCGGGGCGGCCCCGAGCGGAGTTGAGGGCATCAGTTGTGGCCGGTCCCCGCTGGCAGGCCTTCACTCGTGCTAACGTGGGAGGGCAGCGGGGCGGTCAGGTGGGCTTGCAGAACCGGACTCGGCTGAGCGTTCGGCTGCGTTAGGTCTCGAGCGCTGCCTGGCTTCCTCTCTCCTTTATTTTCCCCGGTTAGGAAAGGAAGGGGAACCGGGGAAGACGGCGTCCCAGGAGTGTGGTCGGAGGGAAGGACTTTTCTGGGTGTTAGCGGTGCGAGAACTCGGGGAGAGCCGTGCTGGGTCGCCGGAGCCCCGCGTGCCCCAGGGTAGCCTCTGCACGTCCGGGAGAGGGACCGGTGCGCCGGGCAGCAGCGGGCTGGCGACATGCCTGCCTTGGTTTCCAGACCTTTCTTCTGCTGTTTGGGTGCTAGGAGGGAGGGGTCAACGCTTATATATAGAAAACGTCCCTGGTGCATGTCTGAGCGCTGCTGGATGCTGCCCTGCTGGGTATCTTGGTTTCTGTGTCTGCCGAGGGAAAGGACTGAGATAGTTTGTAGCGCAGTTCTGGTCCGATAAGTGACAGAGTGTATGGGAAGTATCTTTTTTGGTTGTAACACCTTCCCGGTTCTCCCTAAAGATGAGAGCCAACGTTAATATTGTAACAAAATTAGGCGGGTCTCATAAGGAACTGAGGTTTCAGCTGAGAAGGTGTCAGAGGATAATTGGTTTCCCCACAAGTTGTTGAATTTGGGACCTTTCTTGCCCTGAGTCTGGGAATTTTTAGAGTCGTTTTTGTGTGTAGATTGACTAGTGGAGAGGCGGCGAAGCCCAGGGACTTGGCTGGGGGTGAGGTCTCGGATTAAGAGCAGAGGAGGGTCATCTCCATCAGGAGGAATCCGGGTTTGTCTATTTTTGCAACCAAGATTGACTAACTGGGCCTTTGAGGTTTCAAAATAAGGCTTGAAAATTGACCCTTTTCCCTTTTATTTGTTTTTGTTTTGCTTCTGGCTTCCGATCTGCTAGGAAGAGACCTGGAAAATTATCTTTCTGGCAGAGGTAAGTCTGGAACTTTTTTATTGTTTTCAAATAATGCAAAGGATTGCAAATGGCGTGAGAAACGTGTTGGGGTTGAGCTCGGTAGTGGGATGGATGGCGGGTAAAAGGAGTTCTCACCTGCCAAACCGAGTGCATGGGTCTGTTGTGGTAACTGGGTGTTAGGTGTGAGGGAAGGAGAGCAGAGATTAGGGCAGGCTCCCCACTCCGTTTTGTTGTTGTCTAGTCCTCTTGGTCGGCTCTGGAGAGCCATTTTTTAACACATGGAACATTGCCCTTAGCTACAGTGTCCACTAACTGTTGCCCTGGAAGGTTGTAAACTCTGTCTCCTAGTTGTTCAGAGCATCACTTTTTAGTTCTTTCACTTAACTTTACTCCCTAAGGGCTTCTGAGAGAGTCAGGTACCTGTGGTTCTGTGAAAATGCAGAGACTGGCCCTGATCGGGATGAGCCTGACTTTGCTGGAAAGTAGAAACCTATGAATAACCAGTTGAGAGGAAATCTGGTGGACAGACTGCCTGCAGGTCCTTGGTTGGCCGGGACCTCCCTAAAGAGAAGACACAAACTGCAGCTCTAAGAAATGCAACAGTTCATCAGAGCACAGGATTATTTGGGAGAGACTGAAGTGGGGACTCATATTTTAGGTTCTCACATGGACTCAAACCTGCCAGTGGGGTCAGAACTCACATTGACTGGAGTATGTGTCTTGCGGTGTCTGTCGTTATTTCAGGCCCTGAGACGCTGCAGTTCTTGCTCACCTGCTGCTGTGAAGGGGTGTGTTCCCCTCACTGCTCTGGCAGCTGCATTTAGGTTCTCTGTGTAATTTAAGCTGAGTTCCCTTGCTTCATTGCCACAGAAAGCTGAGTGTATTTTGGTTTAAGAGGAAGTTGGCCATGTTCTTTTAATGCTGAAGTTAGATAGGTTCTTGGAACCCCCACCTGGGTTGCTAAGTGAGTGAACTCATCGTCTGAGGTGATAATTAAGTGGTGAGGGCTGCCTGTTATCCAGCCTCCTGACTTGTCTCCCAAGGATGTGGCCTTGGAAGACATAGGCCTCTCCTTCATTGTGCTTCATTGAATGAGTCTGATTGGCACCCTAACAAAGAAGGGGCGGCTGTTGGCCTAGTCTTAGGACTGCAGAGCTGGCCCTGAGGGTTGAGCGCAGGATCCCTTGTGTCTTTCTTGCACAGGGTGGCACATTCTCTTATCCTAGGTCCAGGTTGAACTAGGTCAGATGAGACCTCCCGGGATGGGGCCAAGGACGTGTAGCCCTACCACCTGCCGTTCACCTGAATGGCAACAGCAGGTGCTGGAGACCGAGGTTGGAGTGCGATGGAGCTCTTGGGTGCCGGTCGGGCCTGAGAGTTAGACAACTCTGTGTCTCGCTGTCTTCTCTTCTCCTGGAGTTGACGGAGTGGGCTTGAGTCCCTGCAACCGAGTGGGGTTCTTTTCCAGACCTCTGGTGGAGAGTGGCCTGCCACCTCTCTTCCTTCAGACTCTTCATCCTGCCCCGTGGAGAGGAGGGTTTCTCGTTCTCAGAACTGTCGACACTTTGGGCCAGACAATCCTTTGTTGTGGGCAACCGTGCTGTGCATTGTAGGTGCTCAGCAGCCCCTGTAACCTCTACTCACTGCTTGCCAGTAACTCCCCCCCCCCACCGCAGGACAGTCTAAAACATGTGCATACATTGCCCAATGCCCCCTCGGGGGCAAAACCGCCCCTGGTGTAGAAACACTGACCCTGAAGCTCTGATCACTTCAGGCACGGAGAGTGATCCGGCCTGGGAATCTAGAACTTAAAAGTGGCTGCTTTTTCCTTCAAGTGTAGGGAGTTAACCCTCGGAGGACTGAGGCCTGTCACAGAATTGTATCCTTGCTGAGTAATGAGAATGACTAGGACTGTGGTGCTTTCCTGTGCGCTGCCTCATTTCCAGTGGCCTGTTACCTGGGGCCGCGTTTCCTCACTTCCTGGGGTTTACAGTCGGGACACTTTGAATTAATTGGGAAGGGCTGCAGCAGCTTGGCCTTCTTATTGGCTGAATGTGAAACCTGCCCATCTGCTTTTTTGGGAGCCTCAGAGTCAACAGGTGGCCAGAGGGAACAGGTGGGATGGGGGACAAGGAGAAGTCACTGTAGCTCTGAGGAGGCCTGCTTCTCCTGGGTGGCCTGCTTGGAGCCAGGAGCTGTCTGTTCCAGTCTCCTGCATTCACACCCAAAGACTGCATCGGGGCAAACGGGAGGGAGAGACGAGGAAATCCAGTCTAGACTCGAACAGCTGTTTTCCCAGCTGTTTCCCCTGCAGTGGGTGGGGCATCTCCTGATAGATATGGGCTGTGTTTCCTATTCACACACCAGAACCCATGGGGTGGGGCTCAGCGACGCAGGAGTGGACCTCTCTGTTCTCAAGTGTGTTGAGTTTTGGTGCTTCGGTGGTTAGGGTCACTGAGGCAGAGAGGACCAGGCTCCACTGGCTCTCGGCTATTCTGAGGTAGCTTCTTCTATTCTTTCTCTTAACCTCTTTTCAGTTTCTTGGTGTTTGAGATGGACGGACCCTCTGTCTTGTCGAGTGCGGCGCTGTGGGTTGGGCGGCGCTGTGGTGTCGGGAGGCTGCAGCTGGCCGGAGCGTGTGTGTGGTAACCGAGTTGCACGCATCTATTTTTTATGAGGTCCTCTCAGTCGTGGACTTATTTGAGTGCACTTCTTAATGGGTGTTGCACGTGATGATCTCTTGGAGATAGTTCCGCCTGGGTGCCAGGCCCTGTCCACTGCGAGGCCCTTAGCCCCTCTCCATGTGCAGATTGCTGCAGTGCACTTGGGCAGGCGGGGCACCGGCAGTGAGCAGTGCCCATGGGAGCACAGGACAGGACCTCACACCCCAGCCCAAGCTCACTCTTAAAGGGCAAGGAGGAGTTGGCCCCTGGAAAAGTGTCGTGGTGGGGGCATGGAGTCGGAAGGAAGAGGGGCATTCGGGCAAAGGGAATACCCTTTGGACAGCACAGAGAAATGAATTGCATGATGTATGTGAACTATTAACAAACTGATAAAATGTTGCAGAATAAAAAGTGGGTTATGAGGTTGGAAAGGTAGGTAGGGCCAGGTCTTGGAAGGTTTGGTGTGTTGTGTAAAGAGTTTGGGCCATTCTCATAGGTAAGGAAGGGGGTGAAGATGGGTGTTAAGCAGAAAGTGATGTGGTCTCTTAGGCTGTTCATATGGCTCATTCACCTGGCTGTGGCAGTGGGTTTAGGTGGCTTAAGACTGATGGCAAACAGAGCCCGCAAAGAGGCTGTTGGCAAAAGTCCAGGCACGAGATTGCCGGGACCTGAACCAGGGCAGGGCCATGAATGAAGGTGGGAAGGTGAGGCGGGTCTAAGCAGCATCACCGGGGTGTCTGATGAGTGGGCAGCTGGAGGTCGTGGCCAGAGGGGTGGTGAGCAGGGCTGGACCTGGGGGCGGTTGTTGGCTGGGTCCTCAGCGTCACCTGGGGTGATGGAGGAACTTTGTGACTCAAATGCCGAATCATAAAATGAATGTAGGGCTGTGATCGGCCTGTGACAAGGGGGTCGGTAAATGACAAACATGAGGAAAAGTTAGAAGGCAGCCTGTCCAAATGGCATCTGAGCATCCTGGGGTACAAGGAGAGCAGGAGAATCACAAGAATGCTCGACATAGGGTTTCTGTGGCCCTGGGCAGACAGCGAGCTCAGTGGGTCAGAATGTCGTCCCCATGTGCTGAGGTTGCAGGTTTGATTCCCATCAGGACACATACAAGCATCAATCAGTGAATGTATAAGTAAGTGGAACAGTAAATCAGTGTTTCTCTCTCTCTCTAAAATCAATCAGTAAACTTTAAAAAACACATAGGAGCCCTGACTCGTGTGGCTCAGTGGATTGAGCTCCAGCCTGCGAACCACAGGGTCGCCAGTTCTATTTCCTGTTAGGAAGCATGCCCGAGTTGCTGACCAGGTCCCCAGTAGGGGGCGCACAAGAGGCAACCACACAGTGATGTTTCTCTCCCTCTCTTTCCTTTCCCCTCTCTCTAAAAATAAATAGCATCTTTTTAAAAAATTAAAAAAAACATTGGTTAGTAATGTTTCTGGATTTAAATTCATGAGTTTTGGTGTATGTTACCGACTAGCCTTCTGAGCAGTTATGCATCTGGACTTGGTTGGATTGGAGGAAACCGAAAGATAGGTTTATGGAATGATAGGATGAGTCTAGGCTACAGACTCTGGAGACTGCTCCAGACTTATTTCTTTGAAATCCCTTTCAGGACAATTTGTGTGAGATTCACAAAGTGATTTCACATATGTGTTTTCATCAGCTCCTTACCAGGTCTGAGCAGTGGTCTCCTTCCTGCCTGCTTGGTAGATCGGGCCATGAGACTCGCTTAAGGTCACACGGCGGCTTGGCTTGTTAGTGGTACAGACAGAACGGGAACTGGTTCTCACTCCGGAGATCTTTAGTTGCCCCCTCTCAGCCCCCAGTTCACCTGCAACAGCTCCCATGTCAAAGAGTGAACTTCACTTCTGCCCAGTTGTGCCTACATTTGAGAAGTGAACGGGTTGCAGCGGAGCACAAGGGACCAAGGGCACTGTGTTGGAGATGGGGGACACTCCGGGTGACATCTAACAGCCATGCCTGCTGAACGTGCGGCACTAAAATCCCACGTCGTGTCCTCACCTAGGTGGAGTGACTCCAGCTCCGCAGTGGTGTCTTGGACTCAGGGCACCATCTGTCATTGCGGGCAGAGCTCTAGGCCGTAGTTTTTAGCACACGCTCACTCGGCACTGCCCTGTGCCAGGCCTGGCATTAGCACTGGCAGTGCAGGAGGGGATAAGACCAGTTCTTGCTACCGATAAGCTCACAGGCTCTTTTGTCCTCACAGTGTGGTGGGGCTTGCAGGTGCTGAGCAGGGATTCCGGAAAGCATCACGTACCTGAGCCCCCAGCATGGCGGGCCTGAAGCGCAGGGCAAGCCAGGTGTGGCCGGAAGAGCGGGGCGAGCAGGAGCACGGGCTGTACAGCCTGCACCGCATGTTCGACATCGTGGGCACCCACCTGACGCACAGAGACGTGCGTGTTCTGTCCTTTCTTTTTGTGGATGTCATTGATGACCACGAGCGGGGCCTCATCCGAAACGGACGTGACTTCTTATTGGCGCTGGAGCGCCAGGGCCGCTGTGATGAGAGTAACTTCCGCCAGGTGCTGCAGCTGCTGCGCATCATTACTCGCCATGACCTGCTGCCCTACGTCACCCTCAAGAGGAGGCGGGCTGGTGAGGGGCAGGGGGCTGGGGACTTGGGAATGGGGAGGAGTGCCAGTGGGGGGCAGCACTGAGCCTGGGAGTGCCTGGGGCTGTGAGGAGGCCTTTGGAGGGTTGGACCAGGCGGAGGGAGGGCCGTGTCTTCCCGAATGACTCCCTCTTCCCCTGCAGTCTGCCCCGACCTTGTAGACAAGTATCTGGAGGAGACATCGATTCGCTATGTGACCCCCAGAGCCCTCAGCGATCCAGAGCCAAGGCCTCCCCAATCCCCTAAAACAGGTGAGAGGGTATTAACTCCCCCAACTCCATTATCAAGAAAGGGCACATGGGCCATGATCAGCCTGGCTTCCTGGGGCAGGCGTCGTCCTACTGAACAAGTTCGATTTCCAGGCAGGGTGCTTGCCCAGGTTGCATGCCAGATCCCCGACTGGGGGGTGCGTGAGAGGCAACCCAACCAATGGATATGTCTGTCCTTCCCTTTCTCTCTTCCTTCCCCCCTCTCTGAAAATAAAACTTTTAAAGAAAAAAGAGAGAGGACATGGGACCCATCATATTCCCAGCTTAAAATGAAAGGACACTGCCTCCCCCCTCACAGCCCCATAAAAACCAGGTGAGGTGCTGTTGTGTCCCCTGGGTCCTGTGATTGTCGTCACATTGTGGATCCTGCATTTCCTGCCAAGTCTCAGTGATTCCTTCCTCATTGTAAGAGAAGTGTTTGAGCTTCTGCATTTGCCCCACTGTCTTCTCCCCTCGCCTGCCAGTGCCTCCCCACTACCCTGTGGTGTGCTGCCCCACTTCGGGCCCTCAGATGTGTAGCAAGAGGCCAGCTCGAGGGAGAGCCACACTTGGGAGCCAGCGAAAACGCCGGAAGTCAGTGACCCCGGACCCCAAGGAGAAGCAGACATGCGGTGAGAAGCCCATGGGTCCCAGAGGCACGCTCTCCAGGGCCGGCTTCCTTCGAGTGCTGGTGCAGGGTGGGGCAGAGTTTTAGTGACGCCAGTTCACAGAGGCAGTGGCACAACATCCTCGCTGTAGGACCGCCCCCGGTCACTCTGTGTGAGGGCGGGTGCGGGTGTCCTGTGCTTGTTGATCAGGGAGATGCCTCCCAGAGGCAAGGTGCTGCTTGAGTGGCGGGATGACGGGGCCTGGGCACCGCCGCTCCGCTCTGGAGCCGCCTGCACTCAGGCTGGTTCAGGTGCAGCTGGAAAAGGGGGAGGGGCCGTCCGGTGCTCCAGCTTCGCTGCTCTGGTGCTCTTTGAACCTTTCTCAAAAACTCATCCCTCACGGCCATCTCTCATGCATCCCTTCTCTTCCCCGCAGACATCAGGCTGCGGGTTCGAGCTGAGTACTGCCAGCACGAGACCGCTCTGCAGGGCAATGTCTTCTCCAACAAGCAGGACCCGCTCGAGCGTCAGTTCGAGCGCTTCAACCAGGCCAACACCATCCTCAAGTCCCGGGACCTGGGCTCCATCATCTGTGACATCAAGTTCTCCGAGCTCACCTACCTCGACGCATTCTGGCGCGACTACATCAACGGCTCGTTACTGGAGGCGCTTAAAGGCGTCTTCATCACAGACTCCCTCAAGCAGGCAGTGGGCCACGAAGCCATCAAGCTGCTGGTGAACGTGGACGAGGAGGACTACGAGCTGGGCCGGCAGAAACTTCTGAGGAACTTGATGCTGCAGGCCTTGCCCTGACCTCCCCCACAGGGCTCCTCCCGGCACTCACCTCTGGAGCGCACACCTGTCTGGGTCTGTTCTCGCCCCTTCCAACCAATCACACCCCTGCCTTTTTTTTTTTTTTTTTTTTAAGGAAAAGACAAAGGAAAATGGAAGTGGTGTTCCCCACCCCTCCCTGCACCCATGTGCCTGGGCTTCCCATATCCCTTCCCACTCGGCCTGACGTGTCTGCAGCCACCTCACCCGGGCCCTGAGACAGCTGTGCAGGGAGAAGCCAAGTCTGTGGGACAGTGTGTCCCAGGGGTCAGAGCGGATGCTGCGTCCGGGGCCCCGAGGGGCTCTTGCGCATCCGCCTGACACACTAAAGGGCTGTGAGGAAGGAAGCTGTGTTGTGGAAGGTGAGACTCTCAAGTATATTTTGGAAATCAATCACCATCCTCTCCCAAATTACAGAGTTTTTTAAAAAGAAGCTGTGGCCCTTTACACTCTCTCCTGGCCTCTGGTGCTGCTCCTCTCTGCCTCGTTCCCTCCCTCCCCCCACCCCCGTTCCCCCACCCTGACCCCCTTCCCAGAGGTCGGGTGAGCTAGGTCGGTCTGGTCAGCCTGGCGTGTGTGCACACGCCGGGGGGACGGGGGCGCCGAGGCACAAACACTCCCCCTGAAAAGTGGGGGGTAGCGTGACGCTGCGTTCCCCAAGCAGTGAAGATAAGTAAGGTGCCCTGCAGCCCTTCCCCCTGCCTGGGCAAAGGGCGTCACGGGGGAAAGTGAAGCGATTCGGCGTCGGCCCTCCTGTGTCCCTCCCCGTCCACATGCACTGAGCGTTGCACTTTCATCTGGGTAGGAGGCGTGTTGGATGAGCCAGCGGCCTGGAACCAGGGCCAAGTGCAGCGGGCACACCACCATCTCCTCCTTCAGCTCCCAAAGGAGGTGTCCAGACACAGACTTTATGATGATTATATTTTTTTCAATGCTAGTGCTGCTCAGCCCTCAGCATAATTTCAGTTTTCATGAAATAAACAGTGACTGTATAAAATTCCACCTTTTCAAAACTAAAATCTGAGCTTAGGTGATTTCCTACTTTCCCAAGAAGCTGAGCCTGTGTTCCTGCAGAAGGCACGGTTCTCCCAGTGAGGGGAGGCGCGCCTGCGTGCCCCCCACACGGCAGCAGCGCCAGCTCACAGCGGGCGACCCAGGTTGCCGTAGAGGTCAGGCCTGCGGTGCTGGAACACAGGCAGGTGTTGGCGCACCTGTCGTAGGTAACCAAGGTCGATTCGGGCAAGGCAGAGGCCTGGTCCCTCAGAGCAGCGGGCCACCACCGTTCCCCAGGGGTCCACCACCATGCTGTGGCCGTAACTTGCTCTCGTCTCATGATGGCGTCCACACTGGGCTGCTGCCACAACGTAGCACTGGGTTTCGATGGCGCGGGCCTGCAGCAGCACCTGGGGAGACATGGGGTGGCGGCTGGGAGGAAAGTACTACACCAACCTACCCACCGTGACCATGCTGTGACTGCCGAGCACTGACGGACGGTGCTGACTACTACTGAGCACACGAGAGTGAGGCCGTGACCTAGGAACGAGTTTCCCAACTAGGTGGGAAGGCAGTGAAAATCTAACCTTTAGGGTCAAGGAAGAGGGTGAGGTTGAGAGAAGGCTGGCGTGTCCTGATGAGGCCCTCTTACCTCCCAGTGGGCCGGGCCTGTCACAGATCCGAAAGCTGAGGGGTAGGTAAGTATTTCTGCCCCAGCCTGAGCCAATGCCAGAGAGAGTTCTGGGAACCGTATGTCGTAGCAGACAGCCAGACCAACCTGGAATGAAAGAACTGTCCCATTTGCCATGTAGCATTTAGCACACCTGCGCTACCCTGCTCCTTAGGGTGTTCGATGTATGACCACATCTCCGTACTCCTGTCCTGCCCCTCTGGTTCCTCTTCCTCCCCTCGCTGCTCTCACCTTGCCCGCTGGTGTCGTGACAGGCAGCTCGAGACCGGGCCCAGGCGTGGTGGAGTTGCTTTCGCGCATTGGCCCCTGCCCTGGAATGTCTACGTCACACAGGTGTGTCTTCCTGTAAGTGGCCACTACTGACCCTAGAGGAGGGAGGAGAAGGAATATCTGGTGCTGGTGCTTGAGAAGCCAAGTTTAGCTCCTCTGCTCCCAAGGAGGAGCCCTTGGCCAAAGAGAATTAAAGCAATTCTGGAGAATCTTGATTTAGGTAGAAGAGCTTGGCAAGAGGCAAACAAAAGAGTTGTTTAGTCTCACCCTCGCTGTTCAGAAGCACGTGGCAATTGTAGATTTTCTGAGTCTGCTCCCAGTCCTGGCCACGCTCGTGGAAACCACCCAAGGACAGCCAGAGTCCACATTCCCTGGGGGGGAGTGGACACTGGCACTCTTCCCAAAGCTCCACCCTCACACGTGGCAATCCAGACACTGCCCAACAAAGCAGACTTCTCCCTCCCCCTTTTCCTGATACCTGGCAAGCTGGGTATATTCTCCCAAAAGCGTCCCTCCCAGTGGCTCAGACAGGTGTAGAGTCTCAGCAGGGTCCCGTGCAATGAAGTCAAATGCCTCCGGCAGGAAGGCCAGGCAAGCACCCAGTCTGGCAGCCTCTCTAACCAGCGCAGCACAAGCTTTGAAGTTCTGCTGCTTGTCTGGTGTGGATGTTACCTGGCACACAGCCACCAGGGGCATTTCCCAGGAGGAAGAGAAGCTAGCCATAGCTCTGGGCCTGTGAATGGTGCAGGTGGGACTCAGGTTTCCCAGCATGGGGAAACCCAAGTTCAATGGCAAGGGTCTCGTGTGGGGAGGCAGGAAAGCTGGGCTTCCCTTTGGTTTTGTTCTCACAAGGCACAATGACCTACCCATCAAATGTCCGGTAGATGGTAGTAGGTACCCCGCTGTTAACCATCACCATTCATTTCGTACTTATTGAGCATCTACTATGTGCTAGGCACTGAGGATACAAAACTTGTTACCTGGATCGAGCACAGAGTACTGAGCGTTGAGGTATCCGCAATCCGGGCCACAGAAGGGACAGGAGGTGGTGAGGAGGCCTGACCAGGAAGCTGAGCCTGAGGAAGAGATGAGGCTTAACCCCTCCCTCACGCAACACTGCCAGAGTTCTCTGACTTCCCGCTTCACACCGTGAGGCTGAATTTGGGGCCCTGCCGGTGAAGAATCCGCCCCCAACAATCTTCCAGACACATTTTTTAAGTAATTGTGGGCTACAGGAAGAGATGATGAGGTGGGAAGACAGAAGACACCTGCACTTCCAGCGACCTCACTTTGACCTTAAGCCCTGTCCTCTGCCAAGCACTTGCAGCCCAAAAGGCACCTCCCAGCAACTTCCCCGGTCCCCCCCTCTCCTGTGGACCGTGCATCTGCACAGGTGGATCGCGTACCCAGGATCTCTGCGGTACCCCGACCCCACCGCCGATCGTGCTCGGACCCCCTCTCTGCTCAACCCGCCCTCCCCCAGGGTGGTGTCTCCGCAGCACAGGTGAAGGCACCACTGGTGGGAGTCACCAAGCCCGCAGCTCAGGGAGCAGGTCCTACATGTAGACACAGCCAACACCATCCGACCGGGAGCGCTTACGAGAGGCGGGGGGGGATTCAGGGAGGGGGGAGTTCCGAGCGAGGAGGCGGAGCCCTGCTTCCGGAAGTGACCTAAACACCGCGCCGCGCGCCGGAAGCCCCGCAGGCGGCGAAGATGGCGGAGAACAGCGGTCGCGCCGGCAAGAGCAGCGGGAGCGGCGCGGGGAAGGGGGCGGTGTCGGCCGAGCAGGTGAGCTGCGAAGAGGGCGCCAGAGGGCAGCCTGCTGGGTCCAGAGAGGGCGCCCTCAGTTGCCGCAGGTTTTCGGTCCAGGCTCGCGTTCGCGCGGGCACCGGGGCAGGCAGGGTCCGGGAGAAGCCCGGAGGGCCGTTTAAGCCACGCCCCTCGGGTGTTAGGAGAGCCCCCTGGAAGGGAGCCCGGAGATGCAGGGTCTGGAAGGATGCTCAGGTCTGAGGGGAGCTGGTTCCACGCTCTCCCTACTTCTCCGCACCCCGCGACAGGGCTGGGAACGGCTGCTCGTAAGGAAACTCAGGGGATTAGTCTGGGGTTGGTCATGGAGTCGGCTACCTGACCCCGAAAGTGGATAGTCGCAGTCACTGCAGAGCCACGTGACGCACACACTGGATCAGTCCTGCGTTTTGTACTATTTTGATTCGGGAATCATTAGATTGAATTTCTTTAGAGATCAGAAACCCTTTTCTAATCCGAGTTTGCATTTCCTTCCAGTGCCTAACATCCGGAAACATTTTATAAATTAATCAGAAACTCCTTTGTCCTTGGACACCATGGTTTGTTAACCTTGGCTAGTGTTTAACAGATTAAAAGAAGTCTACATAAGAGAAAGGAAAACATAGTTAAACAATAGCTCTTTTAACTATAGATTCTTTTACCAGTTATTTGTTGAACAATTACTCAGGCAAAGGTATTTGCATGAGGATTTTTAAAACTGTCCCTTCCTGCCCTGGCTGGTATAGCTCAGTGGATTGAGCGCGGGCCTGCGAACCAGCAATTGCGGTTCAATTCCCAGTCAGGGCACATACCAGGGTTGCAGGCCGGTTCCCTGCAGGCCAGTTCCCAGCAGGGGATGCACCAAAGGCAACCATACATTGATGCTTCTCTCCCTCTCTGCTTCCCTTCCCCTGTAAAGATAAATAAATAAAATCTTAAAAAAAAAACCAAAAAACTGTCCCTTCCTTGCCATCAACGAGTCTGGGCGAAAACAAGTTACACAAAATGGTAATATGAAGCGGAAGAGGTCTAAAGTGCTGTAGGATTTTAAGGAGGGAGGAGGAGAGTTTCAGACTGGGGGAAAAAGGGAAGGGAGAGGAACCTAATGCTTTTTGAGGTTCTTCCGTGTGCCAGACACTCTGCTGGGTACTGGGAAACAAGAATGAAATAGACCTTGTAAAGTTAGCTCGCAGACTCATTTGAGAAAAGACAAACCAAGCCATAAGATTGACAGCGTCCCACACAGGTCTTTATTCTTGGCAGGTAGTGGAGGGACCCCTGAGAGTAAACTGAATCTTTGCATGGCAAAGATTTTGGGGCTTCATCACTTTTTTCCTTTAAAGATTTCATTTATTTATCTTTAGAGGGGAAGGGAAGGAGAGAGGGAAAGAAATATCAATGTATGGTTGCCTCTCATGTGTACCCTGCTAGGATCTGGCCTGCAACCCAGGCATGTGCCCGACCAGGAATCAAACTGTGATTCTTTGATTCACAGGCTCAGAGGATTGAGCTATACCAGCCAGGGCCATAATTTTTTTTCTTTAATTCTCACCAGAGGATATGCTTACTGATTTTAGAGATAGGGGAAGGGAAGGAGAAACATCGATCGGTTGCCTCTCGCATATGCCCTGACTGGGGATAGAACCTGTAACCCAGGCTTGTGCCCTTATTGGGAATCAAACCTGTGACCTCTCAGTTAACAGGATTTTGCTCCAACCAAACCACTCCACCTAGGGCAAATTTGGGACTTTTTAATGTAAACAGTGAGGGAGTCACAGAGTATATGTTATACTGTTCATTTGTTTTCTATTATAATTTTAAATATGCACATTGTGGAAAATGCAGGAAACTCAGGAAAAGGAAAAAATGAGAAATAAATTACCCATGATCTCACTATCGAGAGAGAACTATTCTTACTGTTTTGGAGTATATTTGAGAGTATACAGACTCTTAATGGGTTTGTATGTGTGTAGATGAAAGGGGAGGAAATGTATGTTTTACAGATTTTATAAAATTAGTATTATACAACATATCCTGTTTTGTAATCTGCTTTTCAAGCCTAGTAACATATCATGAACATTTTTGTATGTCATCAAGTGTTAGGAAAGTTAAAATGACACTAGTGTATTGAATGGATGTGGAGAGTCCAAAAGCAGGGAGACGATCCGGAAGATTGTGGCAATGGCTGAGATGAGAAGTAGTGAGGCCCGAACCAGGGGGCTGTCAGTGAGCCTGAGAAAATTGCTGAGGTGGGTGCAGTAGATTTGGCAATTGACTGGAAAGAGTGTGTTCCAAGTGGAAGCAGAGTTTTCTACCTGGAGGGCTAAAGTGGTGTCCTTAGCAGAAGCAGGGGAGACAGGGAGAGGAACCATTTAAAATGGGGTAGAGGAGGATCAGCTCAGCTCTGAATGACCTGAGTTTAAGATATCCACAGGGCACTTAGGTGAGATGTTCTATGATTATAGCAGCTGCTGTTAATTGATGATCTGCTATATGCTGGATGGATTGGGAGAGGTCAGCAGGGACCAAGTCTTCATGGGACTTCTTTCTGCTGTGTGGAGTTTGGGTTTTATCCTGATGTGAGCCATTGAAGGTTTGGGTATAGGAGTAATGTGGTGAGATTTTAATTCCAGGTCAGTTGTGCTGCAGTGTGGGCAGTGGGTTGAGGGGCGCCCCTGGAGGCAGTGCAGACCTGGGGCAGGGCAGCCGCGGGACAGCAGGAACCCGTGGGAGGGAACATGGACGGAAGTGCACGGATTGTGTGTATTTGGCAGGTGTAGCTTAGAGATCCAGTGGGTGTGGATAGTCTGAGGTTAAGATCTCTTCCTACTCTAAAAATCATTAAGTTGAAAATAATAAATGCACCATTAGGCTTCTGGGGAAACGTGTACATCAGAACATTGCTGGTAGCACCGTAGATTCACGTGTCCGTCTGGAGGGCGCTTCACAGCAGTGTGCACGAAGGCTGTAATCATGTTGCCGCCTTTCTGACTCCTTCATCTTACTTTTGGGAGTATGATTCAAGAAAAGGCTATAAAACTTTTTTTAATTACATTTTATTGATTATGCTGTTACAGTTGTCCTGGTTTTCCCCCTTTGCCCCCCTCCACCCAGCACCCTCACTCCCTCAGGCAGCGACCCCACCATTGTTCATGTTCACAGGTTGTGCGTGTGAGTCCTTTGGCTGCTCCATTTCCTACACTGTACTTCACATCCCCGTGGTTATTCTGTAACTACCTATTTGTACTTCTTTTTTTTAAAAAGGTTTCTTCATTTATTTATTTACCTTTAGAGAGAGGGGGAGGGAGGGAGGGAGAAAGAGAAGGAGAGAAACATCAACGTGTGGTTGCCTCTCACACGCCCCCCACTGGGGCCCTGTTTGGCAGCCCAGGCATGTGCCCTGACTGGGAATCAACCAGTGACCTTTTGGTTTGCAGGCTGGCACTCAGTCCACTGAGCCACACCAGCCAGGGCCCTATTTGTACTTGTAGTAATCACCGGACCTGTCACCCATCCCCCACACCCTCCTCCCATGTGGCAGCCATCAAAATGCTCTCCACATCCGTGATTCTGTCTCTGTTCTTGTTTGGTTTTTTTGTTCAGTTGTTGATAGGTATGTATTTATTTCCATTTTATTTTTCATAGTTTTGATCTTCTTTAAATAAGTCTCTTTATTTTTTTTTAATTTATTTATTTATCTTTAGAGGGGAAGGGAAGGAGAAAGGGAGAGAAACATCAATGTATGGTTGCCCTTTGCGCATCCCCTGCTGGGAACTGGCCTGCAGGGAACCAGCCTGCAACCCAGGCATGTGCCCTGACTGGGAATCAAACCGCGATTGTTTGGTTCGCAGGCCCGAGCTCAATCCACTGAGCTACACCAGCCAGGGCTAAATAAGTCTCTTTAATATTTGATCTAATAATGGTTTGGTGATGATGAACTCCTTTAAACTGTTCTTGTCTGGGAAGCTCTTTTTCTGTCCTTTGGTGCTGATAGCTTTGCTGGGTAGAGCAATCTTGGGTGTAGGTCCCTCTCTTTTCATGATTTTGAATATTTCATGCCAATCCCTTTCTAGCCTACAAAGTTTCTTTTGAGAAATCAGCTGACAGTCTTATGGAAACTGCCCTGTAGGTAACTATCTGCTTTTCTCCTCCTGCTTTTAAGATTCTCTCTTTATCTTTAACCATTGGCATTTTCATTATGACGTGTCTTGGAGTGGGCCTCTTTGCATCCATCTGGTTTGGGGCTCCCTGTGCTTCCTGGACTTGTGTGTCTATTTCCTTCACCAAATTAGGGAAGTTTTCTTTCATTATTTTTTCAAATAGATTTCCGACTTCTTTCTCTTTTCCTTCTAGCACCCCTGTGATGTGGATGTTGGACCTCTTGAAGTTGTCCCAGAGGCTGCTTATACTATCCTCATTTGGGGGGATTCTTTTTTTCTTGTTTTGATTGGTGGTTGGTTTTTTTTTTTTTTTGCTTCCTTATGTTCTACATCATTGATTTGATTCTTGGCTTTATATACTCTACTGTTGTTTCCCTGTAAATTGTTCTTTATTTCAGTTGGTGTATCTTTCGTTTTCTGGGTATTTTTTATGCTGCTGAGGTCCCCACTGAGTTCCTTGAGCATCCTGATCAGTGTTTTGAACTCTGTGTCTGATAGGTTGATTATCTACATTTCATTTAGCTCTTTTTCTAGAATTGTGATCTTTTCATTTGGGTCATGCTTCTTTGTTTGTTTTGGCAGCCTCCCCGTGTTTGTTTCTATGTATCAAGTAGAGCTGCTATGACTCCCTTGGTAGCGTGGCCCAATGTAGTAGGTGTCCTGTAGGACCCAGTGGCACAGCCTCTCCTGTCACCCCAGCTGGGTACTCGAGGTGCACCCTTTGTGTGAGCTGAGTACACCCTCCTCTTGTGGTTGAGTCTTGGTCACTGTTGGCCGGTAAATGGGAGGCATTTATCCAGGCCAGTCAGCTGCAAGGACTGGCTATGACCACTGACCACCAGT